AGCAACATCAAGAGTGAAATTAGGGAAATGCGTCTCCAGGGATGCCGTATATGGTCTGTTCATAGATATAAGAAAGTGACCAATTGCTTTTGAATGGGATTATCCAAGGGTGGTGATTAACATACAATGCAACAAGATTATTACCTAAAGTTTCGGAATTTAAATTCAGGTAAAATTGTGGTCCGTAATAGAAAATAATTTTATACCGACCTGTGTTTAATATTCTTTGGTTTGGTATACTACTTAGTTTAAGTTTATTAGCAATCATTCTTATTTCGTGTGTAATACAGCGTGTGTTGAATCGTGTGCGAATTATGCAAAATATGTGCGAGTCTAGTGTATCTCATTAGATGCTCCCGCCCAAATGTAGAAAACACTATTCTATTGAGACTAAGGAAGTTATAAACACTATTCTATTGAGACTAAGGAAGTTATAAACAATGTTTATTTGACTCTCATTGAACGTGGTGCCAGCAAGCAAGCATCTTTAGAAGAAACGGCCACATTGACGAAAATTCCAACATCAACTGTATGGAAAATTATGAATAATCCCATTTCAGCGAGGAAAAAAAGAAGCGATGCTGACATTTTCTCGAGTGTAGAAGAAAGTGATCAAGATATAATACGGCGTAAAATTGACCAGTTATACGAGGAACAAAGCGTGCCTACATTAGATATCTTAATTAGGAGGCTTGACAAAGATGAAACCGGTGTTAAATGTGGCAAAACTACCTTATGGAAGTGTATTCAACACATGTGTTTTAGATTAAAAAAAAAATGACACAAGGTAAGTTTTAATGGAATCTTTTAGAACTCGGAAATGGCTACTGGAATAGCTAGGAAAAATTAGGATTTACAGAGAACAACCAATTATTTACTTGGATGAAACCTGGTTCAACACTTATGATGAAAAGGGTTGGGTTGACTCAACTGAGAAGTGTAAAACAAACGCGCCATCAAAAAGAGGTAAAAGAATAAATATTTTGCATGCTGGGTCTAAAGATAGTTGCATTCCAAATGGACTTTCTCTGTCTGCGAAAAATATTACAGATTCTTCTCTGGATTACCATGAAGACCGCTGATTTATTTGTTGCTTTAAAAACAAACTAGTTCCAAACATTCCTCCTAATAGCGTAATGGTAATGGACAAAGCAAGTTATCACAGTAGACCGTTGACTAAAACCCCTTCCTCATGTGACACAAAAGCAACAATCCAAAACTACATGTATAATAACGACATTTATTTTCACGAAGAATATACCAAAAAGCAATTAATTGAGGTTCTACAAAGCTTGAACCTACAAAAGGAATACGTCTGTGATAATTATGCAAAAAATCTGGGGCATACCTTACCACTGAATATTTAATCCCATTGAACATATTTGGCACAAACTGAAATCTGCCAATCGTCGGAACAATGTTTTTCCCCGTGTTAACCCCAATGTCCTCAAACTTATAGAAACCGAAGTTTTTAACATCCCTCCACAAAGTTGGGCAAATTCTGTTAAACATATAGAAAAAGCGGAACAATCGTATATTGATATTGCAAATAATATAGAACATATAATAATTAGAACAGGCGATGATAGCGGTAGTGATACTGATTTATTATGTGAATAATTTTAAGTAATTTAAGTAGGTAATCAAAATAATTTGTAATTTTATTTTAGATTTAAACATAAATATATACATAAATTAATAAATAGTGTTTAGTATCTTTCCTAACAAAACCCCAAATAATTAAATTCTAAGCAAATTACGGACCTGTTCGGCCATATTTCATTCTTACAGCTTACCCGGATCTTTCCAAGCCAAGACATAAAATGCTTGTCTGCCAACTCATCATTAGTAAACTCGACCATTCTTCTGAAGAACTCAATTTAACAACTGAATTAATATATTAACGATATTGTTGTGACCATGCAGAGGAGAAGTTTCATTTTTTTAAGCGAACATCTTATTCCAAAAACCAAGACATTAAATTTCTTGGAAAATGATTGGAGATTGTAAGAATATTTTTTGTTGCAATAGAAATCAGTGGCGTACCGTCCATGCCTGGCAATGTAGGCAGGTGAAATTGTGAAATTCCTTACCGGAATGTGTTGCAGTCAAAGCGTTCATTTAGTAAATGTATACATTTACTAGCCAATGCATACATTTGCTAAACTCCGTAGTTAAAGTATTCATTTTAACCGAAATGAACACATTTGCTAGTGGATGTATGCATTCACGGACTGCTTCTAGTCAAAGTGGAAAGTGAGTTAAATTTACCTGGAAACCTAAAACCTAACCTCTTTATTCGTGCTTGCGCCGTTTGCTGTTTGTTGTTTTTCCGTTTGAGATTCTTGGTAAGTGATCGAGTGCAATCACAGATCAATAATGCCCGAGCAGAATCAAAAGAAAACTTACATAAACAAGCTAAGCGCATGAAATTAATTTCCGATGCTTCGCATCCTCCGGCGAAGGTAGGAATGACAGTAAGAATTAAGGTACCGGAAGTTGATAGAGGACGGGGAGATTCTCGTGGAATATTGGGATGTTTATTAACCAAAACGGATGATGACTATTTTCAAATTGGAACACGCAATGGAATTTTAAAAGGGTTATATTCCAGATCTCAGTTTAGCGTGTGTCCCGAAAATATATTAACGCCAAATGATATTCAAGACAATGCCATTGAATTACCATTAAGAACTATTGCAACCAAACAGTTGATAGGTACCGGAGTACCGGACAGGGATTTTCTAAATGCCAATGTAAAACAAAATGTATACATATATATATATATATATATATATATATATATATATATATATATATATATATATATATATATATATATATATATATATATATATATATATATATATATGATGACACTATATTCCGGGATATCATCCGTTCGCTCGTTGAACTCCGACTGGAATCCTGCATCCGACTGGAATCCTGCAAATCTTGCATCCGACTGGAATCCTGCAGACGTTTCGCCAAAATCTCACTTGGCATCTTCAATGCTCGCGCTGTTCGAAGTGTTTTCGGAGTGTTCGGAGTGTTCGAAGTGTTACTTGCTAGACCTAGAAGTATTCAGCAAGTAAGACAGTCGTGCAGAGAAAAGTTCAAAGAACTTAATGTCTTAACAGTAACTGCAGTGTTCATACAGGAGTGCGTCATGTACTTTTTAAAAAATAGATCCTGTTTTACTCCTAATGAATCACAAACTGTTTATGCAACACGCACACAGAATTTTAGTTTTCCTCACCATCGACTCACAGGGACTGAAAAGGGTCCTTATTACCAGCGCATAAAAATATTCAACCACCTCCCGGAATGGATACAGAAAATTAGAACTGTTAAACTCTTAAAGAAAGAAAATTTTAATATTCTAGTCAGAATAGAACTACACATTATGGAAGAGTTTTTCACCAATATCAGGAAATTGTAAATATTGTTATTTAGACGCTATTTAATGTATGTACGAGGTTAGCGCCAAAATTTCCCGACCGGACATAGATCCAGCTTCAGTATCACGGTAAAGCTTTGTCTTCTTTTAAATATATATCTTAGAAAACTGCGAAAAAAAAATTGAAGTCTTGCGTCAAATAGTTTTTTATTGACAGCATTTTAAACAAGACGTGTCCGAAAAATATCGCAAATAACGCAAATTGAGTATAGAGCAGTTATAAAGTTTTTGAAAAAAGAAGGGTTAGCACCTAAAATTATTAAAGAATGGCTAGATGGTGTGTACGGCCAAAGCTTTCCTTCGTATTCTGTAGTGAAAGAATGGGCAAAACGTTTTCGAATGGGGCAGGAGTCCCTTGAAGATGATTCAAGAACTGGTCGACCAGTGGTGGTCATAACGGAAGATATTGTTGCCATTGTGGAAGAGGTGGTATTGAGTGATCGACGTTTAAAGGTCAAGGAAATCTCAGAAATTACTAAGCTTTCTGATACAAGTGTCCATCGAATCCTTCATGATCATTTAGGTATGGATAAGGTTAGTGCAAGATGCGTTCCTAAAAACCTTTAGGCTCTTCAAAAACAACGCTGTGACGAGTGTGTGCGGTCTTTTTGTAAATCTGTGGGTCGGAACCGAAGGCTGTGATAGAAACTATTGTGACGGGAGATGAAACTATGGTTCTCTATTATGACCCTCTATCGAAAAAAGAATCAATGGAGTGGCGTCGTAAGGGTGAAGTACCTCCAAGAAAATTGAGAGTCTACCAGTCAACAAAAAAGGTGATGGCCACGATCTTTTGGGATTGTGAAGAAATTCTTTCGATAGATTTTAAAGAAACTAATACCACTGTCAATGGTAAATATTACGCAACATTATTGCATAAATTGCGGGACTGCATACGTGCAAAACGTCGTGGAAAACTGACCAGAGGCGTGCGTCTTTTGCACGATAATACACATGTCCATATTGCTGGTGTTGCACAAGCTGCCATTTTAGAGTGTGGGTTCAAACAGATAGATCATCCTCCCTCTAGCCCAGATATGACCCCCAACGACTATTATTTGTTTGGATATTTGAAAAAGGACATACGTGGACGGCGGTTTAACGACGAAGTTGAGTTAAAAGAGGCTGTTTTAGCTCATTTTGCAGACAAACCAAAAGAATATTTTTTTAAAGGGATTGAGTTGTTAATAAAGAGATGTAATAAATGTATTGAAGTTAAGGGGGATTATATTAAAAAATAATAAAAAATTGTTACTCTGCTTTGTTTCTTTCATATTTAGGCCGGGAAATTTTGGCGCTGCCCTAGTACATATACTTTAAATAAAGATATATTATTATTAATTATTTATTATATTTGACGTTTTTTTCCCGTTACTTTAAATAAAATGTTTGAAGGGGGCCGGGCACATTATAAGTGATCACCCGGTACACGTTTTAAGCTTTACAGATGTTTGTTGTGGGAACATTTGCATTTCCTGATAAACAGTAAATAATGATCATAAGGTTTCTTATAAGCTGACTGGATGGTCTTCTCTTCCAGAGTCAAGCCGTCATCTTGGCGTATATCGGAGACGCCCTCATTCAAGAAGAGAAAAGAAGCGTGAACTGCTGTTGCGACTTTTTAAACAAACTAACCACAGGACAACCGTTTGAGGAAGTCATTAGGCGCGAATTGAACGCTTTCATCGACCAGATAGCGACCAGACCCGCGTTCTTCTCAGCCGGCGGCTTCTTCAAAATCGATTACGGGATTCTGAGCATCGTCGCCTCTAACGTGGTCACGTATTCCATTGTTCTGATCCAGTTTTCGATGCAGAACCTGAACTCGTCTGCGGCTAAAAATGGCGCGAAGTCCTAGACAGTATCGTTTTGGTTCGGCGGAATTCAATATTCAAAATAATCACATTCAAATTATTATTATCATTATTATTAAATATTTGTTCCGTATTTGTTTTTCTTTTCAGTTTTGCTCGTTCTATCGGTCAAAACCTAACGCAGAAAAATCACTAGACAGGCAACGTGGTGAAATTTTATTGTTAAGTGATAAGTAGAAAATTATTAAGGTTTCATCCCAAAGAAAACCAAAACAAACAACGCGATTTGAGATCTGCTAATGCTCGGTCCCGTTACGATTCGCCGTTCAAAATTATCAAGGTGAAACTGGAATCGCTCATGAATGGAGAGAGGATTGTTACGACTTTCTTTTACGTCTCGCTAAGTCGTAACCTCGGAAAATCGTACGAGTCTGCAGATCTGAACGTCCGTTTTAGCGCAACATCCCAAGTGATGTGACTTCCACGTCACAGGAAAGAAAAATTAATTAGTAACAAAAGTATATTATTGTTTTTCAATAACACGTTCCTATTTTTTCTTTTTTTATTTTCCGACCAAAACATGGCTTTAATAAAAATGTTATTACTACGACACTGGAGGCAGCTATTAGCAGATGACTTACCGTTTTGGCTTAATTGGCAGATAAAATTAAAAACTAGGTATATGATTTAAATTATTAGAATAAGAAACTGGGAATTAGCTTCTTATCAACTTGTTCACCACCGTTATTAAAAACAGAATATTAAGCTTTGCACAATGTTGCCAAATTTCTCAAATTACTTATTTCTACGTTTAAATGTCTAAGTGAAATGATTACAAAAAATTAACACTAACTACTAATGCATATTACTTACAAGTAAAATTGATTAAATTAGACCGATTTTTTTTCTTTATTTATTTTCCGACCAAAACATGACTTCAATAAAAATTTTATTACTACGACACTGGAGGCAGCTATTTGCAAAAGAAGACAGCAAATAGGATGAGTGTTGACAGTTGAGAGGCAAGAAAATCAGTCAAAAGTAGGAAGTAAATTAGGAAACGACCGTTTCCAAATCACCACGAACACTAGGAAAAGTATTGAGGAAAAATGTCTTGCCCAAATGTCCAGAAAAACAAAAAAAAAGCTTCATATATAGTTCCAGAACTTAAAGTTCTAAACGTGAAGCTGTGGCGAAATCAACTAAACTAGACCAACGTTTGGTAAGCCAAGTACAACGATTTTATCAAACTCCGATATGTTAGAAACCGTTCACAAAAAAAAAATAGACAATTTAAATATATTAAAAAGTTCCAAAGGGTCCCTAAGCCCGGCTGTAAGTTAATAATAATAATAATAATAGTAACAATAAATTGCCTTTATTCTTGTATATTGTTATATACAAATATACAGTAGAGAAGAGGCGAAGTCTAGCAAAAGCTACGCCACTTAATCTCTTAAATGTTTAAATTGAAAACTAAGATATAATTACATTGATTAATTAATAGTAATATGGAACTATAGAAAGTTATTAAAAGTAAAAATTAAAAGCATAACATTGAAAATCAAATTATTTGAGAAGTTGGCAGTTTCAAACTGAAGTATTTTTTAAATAATTTAATTGAATGTGATTTTACTGAATCGGGTATACTATTACAAATTACAACAGCGTTATAAGAAAATGATCTGCCGAACAAAGATAAACGATATCGTGGCAGTGAGAATTTGTACGGGTGCTTTAAAGTCACTGACCCTTCCCTTTCCTTCAGGACAGATTAAAATTCACCAGTATATTAAAGTTTTTCAAGAAAAAACTCTGAAAAGCTGAAAAACGAAATAAGTGATGAGGAAGTCATTATTTAAGTAGATTTTGCGAAAAATTATTCTGTTATCTCTCATGATGAAGTGTAATCTGCTCAATAAATTATGTAATTCGTTGGCCTTCTGTAACTATGACTATTTTGTTGTGGTTAGTGACAACCTAAATCACGACAAAACTTGCTTCTGGTTTTTTCTGAAGGTGATTATTCAGTAGCTAAGCTTGTGTTAGAGAATCTGTTCGTTGTTAATTTTTTGTAATTTTTCAATTTAAATAAAAAATGAAGGAAGAATATACCGGGTCACACAGGAAAGTGGGAACACTATATTATAACTCCTAAACAGCTTGAGATAGAGATTTCAAATTTGGAAGAGTTAATATAGGCTGAATGCCCAATTTTTTGACAACATGTAGTCAATAGTTGCATTTCCGGTTTGAGCGGAAACGACAGTAACTTTCAAATTTTAAATGACAGAACGTATATTTTCTTGCATTTTTGGATTCAGGATATATAAGATAGAACGGGTTTTCTCTTTTTTTTGTATCTTCAAATTTTTATTTAATTTTTGAAAATTGTGTCTCGGAGGCTCTGACCATCATAAATACTATTTACCCGGTCTCCTAATCATGTGAAAAATTGTAAATGTAAGTTTTCTTTACTTGTCTAATGGCAAATTGCATTCAATGTAATGAACCATTAATTTTTTAGGATAACCTAGTTTTTTTAAATAGCACTCTAGTGGCAGCAAACACTTTTTAAAACCGGTACTTTTTTTGCAAAATTTTGACACAAATACATTTTTTTAAAAACATAATATGGCTTTGCTTCCATTTATTATTCCAGTCCAGTCGGTCAGATTAAAAATGGACAAGCTTATGTAATGAAAAGAAAAAAACAGATTAGTATTTAAAAAAAATTAAAATTCAAGGGAGAGTTTCTTGTGATATCCAACTATTATAATTTTTTGTTGAAAGTGTTCCATTTTATTAATTTTCAAAAATTAAATAAAAATTTAGAAAAAAACAAAAAAAGGAAAAACCATCCTATCTTACGTAGAATGATCTCCTGAATTCAAAAATGCAACAAATATAGGTTCCTGTCGTTTCTCGGAAGTGCAACCATTTAGTCAAAAAATTGAACATTCAGCCTATATTAACCCTTCCAAATTTCAAATCGCTATCTCAAGTCGTTTAAAAGTTATAGTGTTCCCACTTTTTTGTGTCACCCGGTATACATTAGCATTTTAATTTTGTTCCATCCATACCGTCCCGTCCGTACCATAAAATAAAATTAAAAATTAAGTCCTCAATGACAATTGGAAAAATTTAAATAATATTTTAAATGTTTTTTATATTTATTTTATACTTTCTCTCAATCTTTTTAAACCAAATACTCTGTATATTTTTGCCCTTTTTCGAATTTATTGACAATTTTTATCAATTTCGAGGCAATATTAATGAAATTGCTGGTTATTTGAAAATTCTTTAAATATTTTAAAAATCCTTTGTTAGAAAATAAACAAATTTTAAAATTTATTTTAATTTAATTAATTTTACATTACATTACATAATCGAAAAACATTCAAATTTAATTTGGCAGTTATATATTAAATGTGTACTCAATCTGGAAGCAATATATACCACTTGCATTATTCAAAATGGTGGACACATGGAAAATTATTACAGCGTTTTAAATAAATGATTATCGATAAAGCAATTTCATAAAAAAAATGTTATAGAGGAGTTTCTAAAATAGGAGTATGTTTCTCTGTTGTCCAGCAGAGTGAGATCGGGAGATCTTGCTGGCCAATACCCAAAAGTAAAATAATTAATATAATTCTTGTGAAACCTCTTCAGTGCAGTGAGCCGGCGCCTCATCTATTTGGTACCTATTTGGTACGAAGTTCCTGAAGAATAAGATTATCGAGAAAATTATTTGCCACTGTTCTTAATATTTGAAGGTATTTTGCTACATGGTAAATTAAAAAACTTACTTTATTATCTTTTAATAAGAAAAACACAATTAAGGAAACTCATAATCATCAACATTCATTGCCTGAATTTTGATACATTTTAAATTAAATTTATACAACCGAACGGTGGAGAGGAAAATATACATGGCAGCACCTCCAACCTAAAATGGTCTAAAATGCTTTTATCGGACTTGTGTAAAACAACTTAATAAATAATTTAACCTAATCCATGCTGTTACAATTAGGCCCCATAATTTAATTAATTTAATTTATTAATGTAATTGATTAAATTCATCTTCCCTATAAAGATGTACGTAGTAGAGGAAAAATTAATTCAGAAAAATATTTGAAATCGACAAATCAACTCGAAATATCAACAATTATAGAAGGCTGGAAACCACCGAAAAAGGCGAAAAAGCAAATTTTGTCTGGAGTCTAATAGAATTAAAACATAGGTTTTATTTTATTTTTGACAAATTTTTGGGAAATAATTCGGAATTTCTGAGAAATAAGCAAAAATTTCTGAATTGGTTTTCAGGTATTCTGACCTATTTCTCATAGTTTCTTTATTTAAATCTTTCACACTTATTTATTGATTTATGACATTACTTTTTTGTTCTAATCTAATTCTGTCCAAAATGTTTACTTATTTCTCAGAAATTCTACCTTTTTTCCAGAAATTTAACTTAAAATCAAAATTTCTGTCTTGTTTTTCAGATTTGACTTGTTTCTCAAAACTCGAAATTTAAATCAGAATTTCTGATTGTAACCTGATTTTCTGAGAAATAAGTCAGAATTTCTGAGAAACTTATTCCTACTACAATTCTTAATTAATTCAAAAATCCATACTAATTTCTAACAAATTCGGACTTATTTCTCAGAAATTATAACTTACATTTCAGAAATTCTGACTTTTTTTTCGGATAATCTGATTTCAGTCAGAAATTTAATTTTTTTTCTACAAAATTTGCCAAATTTGACTTAAGTTATAATTTCTAATAAGGATTTTTGAATTAACTAAGAAGTTTGCGTTTCCCAAAAATTTTGACTCATTTCTCAGAAATTCTGATTTGTTTGCGAGACATTCAAGAAAAAGTCAAAATTTCCTACTCGTTTTTCGGATATTTTGCCTTATTTCTCAGAATTTCTGGCTTAAATCCTAAGTCGAAATTTCTTGATTTTCTGGGAAACAAGTCAGAATTTCTGAGAAATAAGTCAGACTTTCTGAGAAACTTGCCGAGACTAATATTCTTCGTTAATTCAAAAATTCCTACTAATTTCTAACAAACTCTGACTTGTTTCTCTGAGATTCTGACTTATTTCGCAAAAATTCTGACTTGTCCAGAAATTTTTCCTTATTCCTGAAAAATTTGCCAAATTCGGCTTAATTAGGAATTTCTGGAAAAAAAAATAAGAATTTTAATCGCAATAAGTTTCTCAAAAATTCTGACTTATTTCTCAGAAAATCAAATTAAGATAAGAAAATCCGTCTTAAGATTTAAGTCAGAAATTCTGAGAAATAAGTCAAAATATCTTAAAAGCAAGTCAGAAATTTTGACTTTAACCTCAATTTCTGAGAAATAAATGAGAACTTCTGAGAAACAAGTTAGAGTTTCCGAGAAATAAGTCAGAATTCTGAGAACCTTATTGCGACTAGAATTAAACCATAAAACTCCAATTTAATTTTCTTTTGGCCGTTCAGCGCTTTCGTAGATGCGACGCCTCGCGGAATTACAATCGGTCCTCGTCTAAAGAATTTTCCACGATATTTGAGAGCAACCGCGCGGCGATTCAGTTACCTATCGCCGGTAAGTGGGTCACGGTATATAAGTGAAGTTCAAGGTACGCGAAGAACCATTTGCAGTGCTCATCTTCAAGTGTACGTTTTGCCTTTCATATCGGTGCTGAAGTGCTATTTATAGTGACGAACAATATCAAGTAAGTGTGTAAGTTTAACGGGTCGAATTCGACCGTGCTGAGCGAAGAAAGGAAAGAAGAATTCTAGAAAATCTAAAACGGTAGCTGGGGGAAAACTTTCTCTCGATCCGATTGGAAATTCTTCTATTTTAATGCCCGAAAACAACAAAATTAATACAAAAATTTAATAAGAAACGTAGAGTTAGGGTGGTATTAATTATCTTCGGATTCTGCGAAAGCGACTCGAATGTTCCGTTAGTCCTACACGCATCTTATATCCGTATAACACTTCATTACTTTCGGAACGTCCCCCGTATGTAAGCGGTATGCGCGTCGGTTTGGTGTACTTTACCGGTTCTTCACGGATCATGGCTGGCTAGCGACCTAGAAAACGCGACCGGCCTACTTTTCAAGTTCAGTTTTGTTGGGGCGGAAACCGGAGGACGGCCAGCGTGTTAATTAAATTTGCGTGCGGTGGACGTCCTGTTAATAATAATAAAACTCTTCATAGGGAATTGAGATATACAGGGTTGAAACTTGGAGGAATCAGCTGGTATTTTACACACAGTCGTGATTTAGTAAAAGTTATCGTAACAAAATAAAAGTGTTTCGGAAGTCTGTCACTAGAGGGCACCTTACCCTGAACATTTTTTTAATTGTCCCTGTATTTTATTTATTTAGACTGATATTGCAAAATGCATTAAATTGCCTTAAGCAGAATCGCAATTCCTCAAAGATTGTTACTCTGGTTTTAAGTCGATAAATGTTAATGCCCCGCAATTTTAATTTACAGAAGGGAGATGCAAGTGAAAATCCAGGATACGTGCACTGAATTTTCCCGAATGGTATCCTAAAAATTAAAAAAATGAATACAATAACATGTTTAATAAAAATTAAAAAATAGATCTATTAAAATTGTTAATAATAATAGGGAATTAAACAGTATAAAGTCTGTTCATAGATATATAAACTAACTGATACGAATTAAGGAAAGACCCAGGCAAGCTGTAAGAATGAAATATAGCCGAACAGGTCCGTACTTTGCTTAAAATTTAATTATTTGGGGTTTTGTTAGGAAAGATACTAAAGAATACTTATTAATTTATGTATGTAATTATGTTTAAATCTAAAATAAAATTACAAATTATTTTTATTACCTACTTAAATTACTTAAAATTATTCATATAATATATCAGTATCACTATCGCTATCATCGCCTGTTCGAATTATTATTTGTTCTATATTATTTGCAATATGGATATACGATTGTTGTGCTTTTTCTATATGTTTAACAGAATTTGCCCAACTTTGTGGAGGGATGTTAAAAACTTCGGTTTCAATAAGTTTGAGGACATTGGAGTTAACACGGGGTAAAACCTTGTTACGACAAATGGCAGATTTCAGTTGGTGGGAAAAATATTCAATGGGATTAAATATACAGTGGTAAGGTGGAAGCCTTAAAACCGTATGCCCTAGATTTTTTGCATAATTATCACAGACGTATTCCTTTTGTAGGTTCAAGCTTTGTATTACCTCAATTAATTGCTTTTTGGTACAATCTTCGTGAAAATAAATGTCGTTATTGTACATGTAGTTTTGGATTGTTGCTTTTGTGTCACACGAGGAAGGAGTTTTAGTCAAATGTCTACTGTGATTACTTGCATTGTCCATTACAATTACGCTATTAGGAGGAATGTTTGGAACTAGTTTGTTTTTAAACCAACTTTCAAATAAATCAGCAGTGATGTCTTCATGGTAAGACAGACAGAGAAAGTCCATTTGGAATCCAACCATCTTTAGAGCCAGCATGCAAAATAGTAATTCTTTTACCTCTTTTTGACGGCGCGTTTGTTTTACACTTATCAGTTGAGTCAACCCAACCCTTTTCCGGGGTATCATAAGTGTCGAACCAGGTTTCATCCAAGAAAATAATTAGCCTTTGTTGTTCTCTGTAAATCCTATTTTTTTTCTAGATATTCCAGTCGCTGTTTCCGAATTCTAAAAGATTCCATTAAAACTTGCCTTTTGTCAATTTTTTTAAATCTAAAATGTGTTGCATACACTTCCATAAGGTAGTTCTGCCACATCTAACACCGGTTCCATCTTTTTCAAGCCTCCTAATTAAGATATCTAATGTAGGCACGCTTTGGTCCTCGTATAACTGGTAAATTTCACGCCGTATTATATCTTGAGCACTTTCATCTACACTCGAGAAAATGTCAGCATCGCTTCTTTTTTTCCTCGCTGAAATGGGATTATTCACAATTTTCAGTACAGTTGATGTTGAAATTTTCGTCAATGTGGCCGTTTCTTCTAAAGATGCTTGCTTACGGGCACCACGTTCAATGAGAGTCAAATAAACATTGTTTATAACTTCCTTAGTCTCAATAGAATAGTGTTTTCTACATTTGGGCGGGAGCATCTCCTGAGATGCACTAGACTCGCACATATTTTGCATTATTCGTACACGATTCAACACATGCTGTTTTACACACGAAATAAGAATAATTACTAATAAACTTAAACTAAGTAGTATACCAAACCAAAGAATATTAAACACAGGTAGGTATAAAATTATTTTCTATTACGGACCACAATTTTTCCTGAATTTAAATTCCGAAACTTTAGGTAATAATCTTGTTGCATTGTATGTTAAAGACCACCCTTGGATAATCCCATTCAAAAGTATTTGGTCACTGTTTTATATCTATGGACATACCATACAACGCTAATTACAATTCATTTTCAAAATGCCCACAGTTCATTTCTAAAAACTTTCCTATACATTTTAAAAAATGATGTTTCTATTGTGATAAGCCTCGATATAAAGACGTCGTGCTTGATCTGCATTTCCATTTGCTCTTCCGTAGCAAAAATGCATACCGCGATATTCAGTATTTGAGTATTCCTAATGGGCCATCACAGGAGCAGTTGGGTAATAAGCTCTTTTAATAGAAACTCTATTTTTTAACGGATTGTGACTATGACTTTTTCAAATTTCATTAAATCCAGTTAAGTAAAATCTCAAAACAAGAGTATCAATTTTTGAGGATTCGTGATTTCTTGAGGATTGAATCGTTGTATGCATTTAAAAAGCATAACATGTTTATGTGGCACACAACCGATAATATCATAATATCATAAACGCATATAATTACCATTGAAGCAGGTGATTGGCGGAACCAATTCATAAATGTTTGTTTATGTTGGCTGCCGGGTCCTAGTCATTTTATTACTTGTCTTGTCTCCTTTCGATAGAATGTCTTTGGTAGCAACATAGTAGATGTTAAGAAAAGTAAAATTGTCAATTTTTTTTAAAGTGGTTCCAGCAAATCATTGCATAGATTCAAAAGTTCGAGAAATCTAGAAAACTAAAGGCTTGAAAATGGTTTCAGTGTTCGAGCAAACGAAAGTCTCCCCTAACTTGAATTTAGGTGGCTCCTAAAAATTTTGGTGGAAAGATTAAGTGAGATAATGCTAATCAAATAACTATAAAATGGGCAGATATTTCTGACATTTCCTACATAATTTTCTTAATCATTTTTCTATGACTTTTTGAAAAATTTACTACTTCCCTTATTTTTTGTTATTGCCATTTTTTATTCCACAGAAAGCGGAAGCTTTGGACGTGTTAAAAATATCTGAAAAGTGAGTTTTTTTACAATCTGCACAGAATATTCTGGGAGCCAGTTAGTGATATACTATGTAAAATACAATGAGAAAAAAAATAAGAATGAAAAAAATTAAAAAAGGCAAAATATCTTTACAAAACGATTGTTTTTTTTAACTATTTATAACGAACATTTTTGAAAAATGTTTGGAGAGGCTTCACCGAACGCCTAATTTATTATAAAATAGAATTTCTGGAAAAAGCTAATCAAATCACAGCCACGGTATTATAATAAAACTAAAATTATTGATTTTTCATTAAAGGAATACACTTTATGTAGTCATTCGGCTGCTCAGTGTTTTCCGAAGAAGTTGAGGTAAATTAGTCTTCTGCAAAAATGAATGAAAACAAAATGGTGCTGTAAATTAGGCTGCGTATTGACAAAATAGAAATTATTTAAAAAGCCTTAAAGTTTAGAGATCATAAAAATTACAAAAACGTACATTTATTTTCGTCATATGATCCCAAAATACTATAATTTTCGGGGGTTCCATTTAAAAAATACAACTTTGGTACTGTTGACTTTTTGGGACAATCTTTATAATATGAACGTAATCTTTCTAAAAATACCATGGCATCCCAAAAGTATATAAGGGGCATACCTTATCTGGCAAAGTATTTAGGCCGTGCTTTCTTACAAATAAATTAAACAAAACGAGTTTTACGAATAGCAGTATACGTCTAATTTGTCGCTTCGATAGAATAACGGCGTGTGAAATGCAAACACAACCTGCGGTCTTTGGTTGCTTCCCATGTGGGTCAACCAATAAAGACTTATAATAAGGTTTGCATAATAAACCTAATTTCCAAAAAATGCTAAATAACTGCATGAATATCTTCTGAATATCTAAATAGGAATGGAAATTGCCATTGCCATAATTTATTTGTTTATGAAAATTTTGGATTCAGCTTATCGGGACACTTTTTAAGCCAAGGGAAAAAAAATAACAACCGGACTTTAACACAAATTAAATTAGAACAAAAAATGTTCAGTTTTTATTACTTTATGACAGCTGTTTCGGCAACACCGTGCCTTTATCAAATACAAAATATTCCGACACTTAACAGGTAGCAATAGATTTTTAATTACAGGTATAGGGTTATAAATTTAAATTTAACAACGGAAGCGCATTTAAATCCAATTAGTTTTCTGCTTTTTGAATGATTATGTTTATGTAAAATATCAAAATTATGGTTAATGTTGTGTATTTCTGAATTCAAATGAATGGCATAGTTAGAATCCGAACTTTTATTTTTATACGCCCTTTTATGTTCGTTAACGCGTTTCTTAAATGTTCTATGGTCTGTTCATAGATATATTGCCGATTGCTTTTGAATGTGATTATTCAAACGGGCTCATTAACATACAATGCAAGAAGATTATTACCTAAAGTTTTGGAATTTAAATTCAGGTAAAATTGTGGTCCGTGATAGAAAATAATTTTATACCTACCTGTGTTTAATATTCTTTGGTTTGGTATACTAGTTAGTTCAAGTATATTAATAATCATTCTTATTTCGTGTGTAATACAGGGTGTGTTGAATCGTGTACGAATTATGCAAAATATGTGCGAGTCTGAGGTATCTCAGGAGATGCTCCCGCTCAAATGTAGAAAACGCTATTCTATTGAGACTAAGGAAGTTATAAACAATGTTTATTTGACTCTCATTGAACGTGGTGCCAGCAAGCAAACATCTTTAGAAGAAACGGCCACATTGACGAAAATTCCAACATCAACTGTATGGAAAATTGTGAATAATCAATCCCATTTCAGCGAGGAAAAAAGAAGCGATGCTGACATTTTCTCGAGTGTAGATGAAAGTGATCAAGATATAATACGCCAGTAAAATTTACCAGTTATACGAGGAACAAAGCTTGCCTACATTAGATATCTTAATTAGGAGGCTTGAAAAAGATGAAACTGGTATTAAATGTGTAATTAATTTAATTTAATTAAAATTTAAATTAATTTAATTTAATTTGTAATTTTATTTTAGATTTAAACATAAATACATACATAAATAAATATTGTTTAGTATCTTTCCTAACAAAACCCCAAATAATTAAATTCTAAGCAAAGTGCGGACCTGTTCGGCCATATTTCATTCTTACAGCTTACCCGGGTCTTTCCTTAATTCGTGTCAGTTAGACGTGTCGGAAAAAAGGTCGCAAATAACTCAAATTGAGTATAGAGCAGTAATAATGTTTTTGACAAAAGAAAAAACACCTAAAATTATTGAAGAAAGGCTTGATGGTGTGTACGGCCAAAGGCCAAAGGAGTCCCTTGAAGATGATTCAAGAACTGGTCGACCACTGGAGGTCATAACGGAAGATATTGTTGCGATTGTGGAAGAGGTGGTATTGAGTGATCGACATTTAAAGGTCAAGGAAATCTCAGAAATTACTAAGCTTTCTGATACAAGTGTCCATCCAATCCTGCATCATCATTTAGGTATGCATAAAGTTAGTGTAGATGGATTCCTAAAAACCTTTCGGCTATTCAAAAACAACGCCGTGTCGAACGGGCGCGGTCTTTTTTGGAACTCTATGGGTCGGAACCGAAGCCTGTGATAGAAACTATTGTGACGAGAGATGAAACTATGGTTCTCTATCATAACCCTCTATCGAAAAAACAATCAATGGAGTGGCGTCGTAAGGGTGAAGCACCTCCAAGAAAATTCAGAGTCTGCCAATCTACAAAAAAGGTGATGGCCACGATCTTTTGGAATTGTGAAGGAATTCTTTTGATAAATTTTAAAGAAACTAATACCACTGTCAATGGTAAATATTACGCAACATTATTACATAAATTGCGAGACTGCATACATGTAAAACGTCTTTTGCACGATAATGCACCTGTTCACACTGCTGGTGTTGCACAAGCTGCCATTTTAGAGTATGGGATCCAACAGATAGATCATCCTCCCTATAGTCCAGATATGGTCCCCAGCGACTATTTTTTGTTTGGATATTTTTAGCTCAATTTGCAGACAAACCAAAAGAATATTTTTCTAAAGAGTATTGAAGTTAAGGGGGATTATATCGAAAAATAATAAAAAATTGTTACTCTACTTTGTTTCTTTCATATTCAGGCCTGGAAATTTTGGCGCTGCCCTCATTTATTTTGTTGGCAATTATGGTGTTGGTGCTGTTGTTCTTGTGGTTACATGGAAGAGCGCAAATTGCGAATGTCGCCACTCTTATTTTGTTACTTATATTGTCACATAAGTACAGTTTATTATTATTGTTATTATTATAATTATTATTATATACAAATTTTTTGACCTCATCACATAACCAATAATTTTTGTCCTGATTTTAGAGCACTTGCGTTTACAGCGTATAACGCAACCGTCATTGTTCAAAGCTAGGCAACGCTTTTTGATTTCTATGAATACCTTAATGACTTTGTCGAGCAAACACAATAACAAGAAGACGATACTCCCGTCACACTTTCGAGCATCCGCCATCGTTTTCGTCGTACGAACAATTTCATTCCAGTTTTAGACCGGGAGGCGGCGGAAACATCCACGTAGTTGTGACGATAGTTTTTTTTGTTGCAGAATGTATACGCAAACTATCGGCTGGTGTCTCTTCGGGCTGCTATTCAGCGGAACCGTCTTAACTACGCTGGCTTATCCCAACAGCCAACCGATGCCCAGCTATAGACCCATCCGTGGTGCTCCGCCTACATTGCAACAAGTCAATAGCGTTGAGCAGATGCATCAAGAAAGGGAACGCAAATTTGCAGAAAAACCGAACGCGATCAAAAAGGTTGCCCTGGATGATCTGGATAACGTCCAGACAAACCAAATATCCGAATCGGCTGGTGGAGGATTCTCCTGGTCCAATTTGTTAGGTACGTCTTACCTTACGCCTTTGGTTAATGGTAAGTTTAACGAATACCTCGCTTATTACCGTAGAGACTCTCCTATGTCCGTGGAAGCCACCGGTTCTCTGTCCAGAACGAAAATTTTTGTGTTCCAACTTTATAAGATATCACTAATACTTTTGTATAATCAGGAAAAATTTGAACATTATACTACCGTTGCTAGGGGCAATACGGATAGAATATTTACAAATCAGTGTCAACTTTCTTATTTGAACTGAAGACAAATGTTAATTATCCCGTTGGTTTCAAAAGTTATTAGATGCACAATTTCAAATTATTTTAAATTATACAGAGTGGCTCAAAAAAGCGTGACGAACAACACCTCTTTTTTTATTTACTTTTAAAATTCTTTAACTTTTTTTATTAGTAATAATGCATACAAAGACCTAATAGTTTTTCGAATATTATTCTTGAATTTTTCTCTCTACTGTGGTAGAAACGGCTCATACAAGCTTGACAAATAGCTCTTGATTAAGATTTATTTGATGACAATCGTCCAGATAAAATTAGTATATGATTCAATTAAATTAGAATTACTTTCGTTCTTTGATTAGTAAATTTTACGATAATTTCAAAAATCTCCTCTCATAGAAATGAAAAATGAATGTTTAATGTTGGTGTGTCATTTAATAAAATCGATATTTTTCACTTTGAAATGATGCAAATATAAAGCATGTCGTATATATATATATATATATATATATATATATATATATATATATATATATATATATATATATATATATATATATATATATATATATATATATATATATATATATATATATATATATATATATCCTCCTTTCTGTCCAAGATTGCTATATTATTATTTGGCAATGACAAAACTATTAGCCATGATAAAAAAAAACAAAAAATTGAACAGGAGAAAGAGCTTTGTTGGGATCGTAGATAAAGCAACAGGCATTTATTATGGTCGGTACGATTTGTGATGGCATGGACAGAGTAAAATTGATTGTTTATCTTGCTTCCACTTATACTTCAACAGTTGTTCCGCCCTTGGCATTTATTAATTTAATTGGTACGCCCATATTCAGCGATGGATTCATGTATTTTCTATCGAATAATTGATCAGGGTGTTCCTTAATGATATTCGAATATTTAAGTAGACAAATCCATATGAAAAAATTATCACAATTTATTAAATGAATTAATAAAATAATACCAAAAAAAACGGAAAATTATCATACCTTGAAAATATAATTTTGCTAGAGTAAATATACAAGTAAACCATATTTATTAGATTCATTATCAGAGCCAAAATTGAAAATGGTCCTACCAGAAAATGACACATATCACAAATTAATTTAAATATCTATAACAGAAAATGACACATATCACAAATTAATTAAAATATCTATACCAGAAAATGATGCATATCACAAAATAATTTAAATATCTATACCAGAAAATGACGCATATCACAAATTAATTTAAATATCTATACCAGAAAATGACGCATATCACAAAATAATTTAAATATCTATACCAGAAAATGACGCATATCACAAATTAATTTAAATATCTATACCAGAAAATGACGCATATCACAAATGAATTTAAATATCTATACCAGAAAATGGCACATATCACAAATTAATTTAAATATCTAGGCCCGTTAAGTGGTTCGCGAAAAAACTATGATGCAATAACTTTAAAGTGTTTTATTCCACGCCACACATTAAGTGGCCAATGGTTGGTTAGTTTTGCGATTCCCGTTCCCAGAATAGAAAAACAGTTGAATACTAAAGTAGCTTCACCGGAAAACATTATTTTAGGAGAAAAATTTTGATCAGGCTCTATCGCTTCATTTATGAAGGTACAGAAGTTTCCCCTTTCTTCAAAATCACGGTCTAGAAGTTCTTGGTGCTGTTCCATATGGACATTTGGATTATCTGGAACTTAAAATAAAATTACCGAATTCCATTAAACACTGAATAGATTGTCTAGTTGGTATACGTCTATTAGGGTACACACTGCTAATAAAGTATTTTTTTCCGCCTCACCCAGTATATAAATCGTATCAATTAATTCAGCTTTAGGAAAATCCATACTTTTTTTTAATTTACTGACACTACAATGAATTTTATGAATTTATTTACTCAGTTGTTAGGTGAAAATTGGACAATGTCACAGAAAAAAGGGTAAATATTGAAAAATGCAAAATAAACCGTGAGGTATTAAAATAGGTTAATGGCCTACTCAATAAAAGATGCAAGTTTTTGTAAGTTCATTCAAATTCTGTTCGATATATCTTTTACGTCATATTCGAATGATATCAAATATCGTTTTTTTTTTGCAAACGTGATAAGTGATATTTAAAAAAAATAAAATATTGAAAAAACTATTAGGTATTATTATTAATAAAAATAATAAATACCTGAACCTAATAGTTTGTTCAGTATTTTAATTATATTTTCTAAATACCAGTTGTCACAAGGTGAAAGAAGAAACTAACCAAAAGATATATGCAACGTAATTTGAATTAGTTGCTACAGGGTGTTCGAAATAAACGCCACAGTTGAATTGAATTTTAAAAGGAATTCAAAACATTCACTAATGATTTATATTTCTCAGAAATAGAGCATAGTAATTTCGTTTATTAATATTACAGGATGGCGACGAAATAACAATTCAAATTACAATGAATAAACTAGCGAAAATATTTTTACGATCTCATTTAGGGTTAAAAATTGGGTCTCTTTGTATTCTGAATATTTACAATTTTCTTGATAAATACGATGTTTTTTTTTTGCTCGGTATATATCATAACAACCCCACATTTTGAGTATAAAAGGGAGTATATACTAATGCTTTATCAAATCGTATACGGCTTTATTACTGTTAATTTCTTGAATAATTTTTGATTCTAAACTTACATCTATTATTTTAATTTTATAAAAAATTATTTTTCTATGCAAATAGTAGCAGTATTGATTATTTTAGAGCACAAATTCCCTTTTCTTCATGATCACCAGACGGGATAGCAGCCCCCACTCCAATTGCTCCGTTAGTTCATGCTTAAACTTTAGTGACAGCAAATCCGATTTCAACTAGTATTTAATGAAAAAATTATATTTTTAATGTTATTTTTAACTGTGGTGACTATATTGCAGCTAATTTTGAGAATGATTTTATAAAAATGCTCTATCTACATTCAGACAATTGCAGGGTGTTTTATTTTAAAATGTATAAGTTTGATTTCCCACATGTTTATGAATCACCCTCTATATTTGAACCTAACTTTAAATTATTTATAACTTTTGTACGTTTGGACACCCTGTATAGTTGGAAACGTCTTATTTTGCAGGCATGTTAATGCAGATGATCTTCAATCCGGGAGGTGGTGTCCCGACAGGTCCTAACAAGTCCGAAGGTCTGGATGATGGTGGGGTCGCACCTTCTCCATGGGCCAACTTAATCACCATGGGTCTGAAAATTCTATCCGCCATCCTGGGCGGTGGTGCGGCCGCTCAAAACGAGGGTATCGACAAAGTGGACAACGGGGGCGGTTCGCCATTACAGGTACATTCAAAATGGACATTTCAAATAACAAAAATTCCGACAGGGCTGTTGAATGTTAAATTTTAGTTCGCAAAATTGCCTACAAAAAACGTCCTTATACATTTTTTGCCAGGAATCGCCGTTTCTAAGTTATTAGGAGGTTTACCTCTGAAAACGTTAAAAGATGAAAACAGTCCCTTATCACTCGAAAGGATGTGATGGTGTTATGAAACTGGGTTTACAATCATTGACCATTCTTCCCTTTGTTGATGCAGGGATGCTTGTTATCCCCATCTCACCTCTAGCTATATGTCAATGTCAATCAATTTGAGGCAGGCCTAGTTGCAATATTGAGTTCTGTCCCACTTCACCCTTGACTGTTGATGATAACACTTGAAACGCCTTAGCACCACTACATTTCGCCTTTTTTTTTTGTAAATAGGGATAGATAGTTTTTCCAATAGTTAAATTTCTCTAAAAAAATACTAGTTTTCACACTTGCAAAAAATTAAGACAGGTCCATTATTTGAACTTTTGAAACCAACGAGATAATGAACTTTGCGCTACCGCTGACTCACCCTGTACATTACTTCAACGCTCATTTCTTCCACCGTCTTCCCCTTGACACTTCCTAGTCTTTAATTTCTTTATTGCGGTTCATTTTTCGTCACTATAGCACAACAATATTGCTTCCATGCAGTTTTCCCTAGGGTATATTTAATAATTTGCGATAGAGTTAGACTCTGTCTCAAAATATCGCCTTGGTTTTTGATAGCAGTTACCAAAATAAGCTACCAACTTCAAAGAAACACCTGATCAATCAATATATATTTTGTAACAAATATTGTTGAATTTCAAATTAAGTTTCTTCTAGATAAACCAGTTTAAAAGACGATATATTTGAGACATACTGTACAACCGAGAGCCATTTTTTTATGTTCTGTGTAAATATCAACGGTGTTGGTGTAACAGTAACGATATGAAGTGCAGAGTTATTTGCTTAAAATTAATAGTGGTGCCAAACACTTACACTACAGTGTAAATATATCGTGCAGTATACAAAAGTAGTTGCTTTGGACATTACACAGGGCGTACTGGCGGCAGTTGTGTCTACAATGGTGGGCGGAAGGGACCCTCAACAAGTCAATATGCTCGCAAAGCAAGCCGGTGAGGTACGTTAGCATTGCATGAAAGAATATCCAAAATTCTTGGCAAAGTAACCGGTTAATACGTCCGCACAAAGTAGTAACTCTCACGAAAACTAACCAAATTTTAAGGACACAGGTTAAAAGAAAATAGGAATATAATAAATTTGAGTTTTTTTATGACTATCCAAAATTGTATTTATTTTAAAAAACCAGAAATAAAAATTAAAATGCAAAGACAGAGTTGGCGACCTAAACAAGCGTACCTTTCGCATGAAAAACTATCAATTTTTATTATTTAAACTTTTTCGAATTGAACTCCGGTGGCTTCTACTTAAAGTAGAGGAAATATCTAACTTCTGCATCCTCCAACCTTTAGATAGGATCTTGACAGATTTCCAACCAACCCAAAAAAAAATCGAATTTAATTAGGCTAGTGTACGAGAGATGTCGCGTATGAATAGCTCAGGTTTTGGACGCCAGGTGTCACCCCGAGATAGGAAATTTGCTAGAGTAAATTTGTTTAACACAATTAAATGAGAACTGAAAATGTTCACATTTTCATGGTTATTTATTGCTTGCCATTCTTATCCAATTGCGGTAGATACAAACTTGCACTCCTGAATTTCAGTTAATCCAAACTGTTATTTTTATATTATCTTTTATGTTCGTTAATGCGTTTTTTAACAGTTCTACCCGTTTGTCAGATATAAATTTTACATGCACTCCGGATTTTTGAGTTTTTTGTTTTTCAAAAAATTTTTCAGTTTTAAAAGCAATCTTGAGACCAAATTTAGATAGATGCTTCTCTTCTTTTCTTTCTTGATAGGATCTCCTATTAATTTTTTTGTTTTTTAAATTTTGGGTTTAGTGTTTAATATCTGATAGACAGAGTTGAGCTGTTTGAAACTGTTTCTTAGTTAAAATCTGATCCACCAAAGAGCGTTCGTAACTATTGTTAAAAGTTCTATAATATTTAATTCTTTTTTAAAATTTTCTGTAGAAAATGGTATATTAAGTAGTCTGTGCTGTTTCTATTTTCAATAGTCCTTGTAACTCACAAAAGTCGGGTTAGAGACCTTTTGGGATCGGTAATTTAAATTTGCGCGTTCACCCAGTTTCTCAAACCCGCGTAACCCATGTGACGGCTTGTGCGCAACCGCACAGGAAAAAGAGGAAGTTTTTGACATTGAGATTCAAAAAAGACACTTCTGCGTGGTACGGCGCCAGAAACAGAGCCGATTCCGCAAGTCCGCAAGTTTCAAACGCGAGTGCAATAAACGGGGCGCCGTCCAGAACCGACGACACGAGAGCCTGCGGTAAGTCTTCACAGTGGGTCGTTGCCTTTCGTGATCGCTTTTTTACCATTTCGCATCCCAAAAGGGTTAAGCCAACCGTGAATCGTTCGACCCTATTGGGACCCTCAGTAATGGACTGAGTGGGTTTGATATAATTAATCCTTCTTTAGCAATATCAAATGGACAGTTAAATTGAAAATAATTTTAGGCTAAACAAACCATTGAACTATCCAGTAAATCTTCTATTATGATAGGGTTTACTTGTCTCTGTATATTTATCACATTGATCCGTGGCAAGAAATAGAATTTGTACGTCAAAAGAAACTAGAACTGCATTTGGTAAAATGATAAAACACCTGAAAAAAAGAACAATAAATAACTGCGAAAATCTGAACATTTTTTGTTATAATTTGAAAACTTTCTCAATGGATGGGAAAATTCCGACATTTTTATGATGCACGTTTAACATAATCATAATATTTCGGCGTCTAGAATCTCCAGTTTAGAATTCCAATTCCTTATAAACCTGCTTGTAATAATAAAGGATTTAAACATTGCCGGGAACATATACACGTGTAAATAAAACAGTTAACACCTTAATAAGCGTGGATTTTTTACCGGAATCTATCATTTTAACTTACTTTATGACGTTAAAAACACGTCATCACGACCCGTGAAGTACGAACATCCGCCCAGTATGTCGGCGGATGACAACGTCATAACGTCAACAGATGACATTTATGACGTTACAAATTAGGATACATTTTCTTTTTTGGTTACATATAAATCCGTAGTAACGAATTTCAAAGAAATATGAGAATACGCTTTAATTTGTTAAAACTGAAATTCTACAAACACTTCTTTAAGAGCGTTTATGGTCCTACAGTTACCGACAGTTTACTTCTGACTGAAAATAAATTTCTTAATAATAAAAATAATGAATAAATAAAACACAACTAAATTAACTATTAAATTTTAATAAAGTTAACGAACAAACAAACAGTCTCAATATATAACTGGTTAACAACAATTTAATATAAAGGTGCATTGTTAATTTTTCACTTTGTTTACACCTTAAAATTAATTTAGTAAAATAATTTTCAAGATTTTTTTCATATATTTTTTTATTGTTTTTTTAAGTTGTTTAATCGCGTGTAACATAAACCGATTTCAGCTTTTAATGTATATATGTCATATTCACGTAATTCAGTTTTAATGACGTCATAAACCGATGACGTTAATAATAAAATAATAAAATGGCAGCTTGTCACCTAGGAAACGTACACAGCTGCAGTACGTGTAAAGAATGGGAATGATTGAAAGTAATCTTACGCTTTTACAGTTCATCAATATCGTGGTAAATCTTCTGGATGCATTGAAAACTTCTTTCTCGCACCGTTCATTGGCGGCACGTAACTTGGGCCGCAAGGATTCCGTCAGCGACGCAGCTATAGCGGGAATATCCATGATGAAGGGTTACGCAAAATCACTGGGCACAGACGAGAGCAACTGTATGGCGAGATACATGTGCCAGGCGAATAACGAGTGTTCTACTGATATAGGGCAGAGTTCTCTGTTCTGTCATCTGGGAAGGTAAGGCTACGCTGATAAACAATATTTGTAATACCACATACCGGTTCACTGGGCCAATTTTGATCCATCGAAGAGTTTGTGCATCAAAAATAATAAATAAATCAATGTATTTAAACATTCGCCTTGCTATTGGCGTTATTTTTGATAATATCGTAACTAACTATTGTCATCAAGAGAGTGAGTGTTTGACTTGAGTCCGTTGTTTCCAAGTTGGGCCTTCTCTTTCATATTAAAAAAAATGGGTTCTTTACATATGTAAATGACAGTACACTTACACTTTCTGACATTAAACTTTAACAAATTATCTTTTGACTATATTATTAACACCACTACACACTAACCTTCAATCATTTTCGGTATATTTTCGTGTCGTCCGCATACAGGAATATATTCTAATGCTTGGTACTTTGTTCGTGTTTATAATAAAATTACAAATGTGTTATTTTGGGTCAAATGGATTCTTTACATATGTAAATGACAGTACACTTACACTTTCTGACATTAAACTTTAACAAATTATCTTTTGACTATATTATTAACACCACTACACACTAACCTTCAATCATTTTCGGTATATTTTCGTGTCGTCCGCATACAGGAATATATTCTAATGCTTGGTACTTTGTTTTTGTTTATAATAAAATTACAAATGTGTTGTTTTGACATGTATTTAAGATTTGGTTGTTCTATGTGAAGCTATGGTTAGATGTTGCCCTGTTATGATTACAATAAATAAAAGGAAAAAGAATTAGTTCCATGGCTGAGACAAAAGAAAAGCTATATTCCGTGCATAAATGTTCTGCATTATTGAAATGTAACTGCTGCTCGTGTACCCTTTTGCGATACATTCAATAGTTCTGCGTCATTTATAAACAACATAAATAACAGTCGGCTCAGCGTTAATCATTGTGACATCCCTGCTGTAATTTGTTGCTTCTCTGGACGATATGTGTGTTCTCTTTTCAGCTACGCCGCCAGCTTCGTCTTGGACAAGGCCACAGCATCGACGACCTTCGACCTCCTCTACGAGGCAGGTCGAAGAGGAAGATCGGGCGACAACTGCCAACAGGCCTATCTCGAATGCAACGAAGTGTAGAATGCGACAAACCATAGACTGTTCCAAACGTTTAATGTTAACATAATTTATTTTTGTATAAAATATATTTTTCAATTATCTAAGACCGATCTGGTTTTTGGGCGGAGCTTTTGAAACAATATCTGTGAACCATTTTTATTTTCTTAAACGCTCCACCAAACGATCGCCTAAGTAATAAAAACACTCTATTGATGTAGATTAAGGCATTATTTATTGCTTACTTTATAATAAATATGAGCGTGTGTATGTGAGAGGGAGTGTTCCTGGTTATGCTGACCGAGAGGATAAATGATATGTACAGTTGGTCATTAACTTTGTTACTTCGTAGTCTTTAGACCCTTTGTTCACAAACCTTTTGTTTTTGTTATGACTTAATAAAAGCACTTTTATTAGATTTATTTTTTTTTGCAACGTCCTAATAAATATTATTTTAACAATTTTATTAATATTGTATGAACTTTTCAAAAATATATAATACACATTTCAAAAGCAAAGCATATAGTATCTTGATTTTGCAACGGTCATGGCCCACGGATAGTCGTGACGCGAACTTTTTGACTGTCAGCCGTCAGATAGGTTATCCTCTTTTCCTTTGTATTCTTGATTCTTCGTCATGTAACATTTTATGACATAAACTTGATTAAACGCGAATGTGTAATGCGACGAGTTGTGATTTCAATTAAATCCCGCTACAATTTTTATTTTGCGAATAGTCCATGAACAACTGTAGATGTGCTTCTAATATACTTCAGTTGTCAAATCGTAGTGAGTTTTGTGATTTTTATTTTAGTTGCCGTCTTCTTTTCCTTCTACTTAAATTCCTCAATTTGACCCAAAATATGAATGTTATCCAAGATAGACATAAAAGCTTTGCAATGTGCATTTAATATATTTTGGCAGTTAACTTTTTGTAATTGAAATTGTCAAATTAAATTAAATTAAAGACATACAAGGTGTTCCACAAGTTCATTTTGTATAAAATATGAGTTTCAGAAGAAACCCGACTTCCACTGGATGCTGCGCAAAAAACACCACACTTTTTCGATAAGTTGGCACACTAAAACGAGTGTCTAAAAATGAAAAAATTTCAATGAAAAATAGTCTCAAAACCAGCAGTATTAATAAGAGAAGCACCTGCAAAACCATCAAAAGTGGGACACACTGTACATATAGAAGAAACCGGTAATAGTATATTATGTAACAAGTGCGGTAAATGGCATTTGACTCACGAGTTTATTTGACACGACCGGAGCGCAGCAGAGCGAGTTTTTAATAAACGAGTGAGTTAAAAAGTTTACCGAACGTGTTGCATACTGTACTTTTTCTACGACCGTTAGTTTTTGGGTACATTTTTTCAAAACAACACGAATACATTCACTGACATGACTGTCAGAATTGACAAACGTCAAAATTCTAAACGTGGAAAATATCTCCGAAAACATCCGATTGCTCCCAAATCCGTGCGGTAAAATCCCGGAATTGTCCGAAGTGGCTAACATTTATGGGAAACGGAACTGACGTGGTAAAGTGACACTTCCCGCACGCTAGATCGGTGGGTAATTAGGTATTTTACAGACGGGAATAGAAAAATTTAAAAATAATTTGACATATTTGACACCAGTTTGAGATTCCAACTAAATCAAACTGAAATATTTTATTTTTAAAAATATAAATACAAGTAAATAAATAGTCACTTGTTATTAAAACAACAAAGCAAAGCTCACTAATGTTAACTATTTTTTTGGACAGCCTGATCACCACTAAGTGATACTGAACATATAAGGATATTGATTTGCTCCTGGGAGGGGCAAGCGATTTGCAACTGATCATCCTGAGAATATCCTCCTCGCGCTAAAATCTGCTCCACTTGCATAAAACCGTTCAGTATGTTATTTTTTACGGGCCTGAATAAAATAAATTCCGTCTCCCGATTGGCTAGATACAGTTGCATCGAACGTTGCAGTTCCGGTATTTTAATCTTGATTTGTTTTTGGGCCTCCTTGATGATCCCTAAAAATGTGAACAATATACGATGAAACAAATTAATTCAAAAATCAACTATTGCTTTTCGCAGTAAATCGAAAATATACAGGGTGGATCAAAAATGAGATAACGATCCATTTTTGAAATGAAACACCTTAATTCATTCTTTTCTTACTTGATCAAATCAAAATCTTACTGGAGCCCGATATTTAGAATTTCTTCAAAATTACCTAATTTATATAATTAAATCAAAATAATTATCTGGTAGCTTTGGTGCTCCCCTTGCGTCGCACAAAGGATGGAAGGATGGAAAAATTATTTTGCGAGTAGATGTTATTCAATGTGTTAAAACTATAGTTGCAAGATTAACACACACAATCATACTTTTGCAGATTCAGGTTAAAATCACCACTTAGCTAAGTTCTTGATGTATAAGGTGTCCCCAAAGTCAATAGCAATCAGCTTATTTTTGAACCAGTAAAGTAAAAAATGGGATATATTTTAGACTTGACGTTGCACATACATTCAAAAAGATATTGGTTAAAAAAATTAAATAAATTATTTGTTTTGTTTTTTTTTTTTAAATAAATACATAAATTCAAGTCAAATATTTCATAAATGTCTTTAAATCGTCCTAAAAATAAATCCTAAACTCCGATTTTCCAAAAAAAGGCATTTACCGAAATTTCGATTATTCGAAATTACTTTTTCCTAGATTATTTCGAATAATCGGGACTGTACTGTACTTACTAAATAATTTTATACTTAAAAAACTCTTTTATAAATATGGAAACTGTCATTAAAATGTGAAAGAGCAGAGAACCATCTTCGTTCGTTATTTTGAAAAAAACCTACCACCGAGTGAAGCAACTTTCGACATGTTACGACAATTCTAATATTCACTTGTTTTTGTTTAGTGATACTCCAAAGCCTACTTGACAAAATTTTGGCAAATATAAAAATTTGTGCCAGTAATAGCGATTTCCTATGATATTTTACCAAAATTCTTCATGTACCACTATTTTACCGATGATTTAAACGACACACCCTGTAGATAATCGCAAAAATGCCCGAAGTAAAGGTTCTAGCACCGGATCTTTCACATTTCCTGGTATATGAATTTTTCCAATAGGGTAAAGGAGAAAATATTTTTTTATGGCAATTTTTTTTTGCGGGCATTTCTAAAACTTATTTAGAATCATAGCGTTGGCAAGAACCCGTGCAAATTCGATTTTTAATTTTTTACCTCTCTAATCGAAAAGTTTAAATATTGTTAAATATTTTGTTTCGTAGAGATGTCGAAAATCGAAAAAAAAAGATCTCGGGTTGCTCGAAAAGGAGCGAAATCTAGCTCAAACTGTTTGGAACAGGAACAACGAACGGACCGAGACAAAATTATTAAAGGTTAAAGAGGCCCTGCCTGTGCCAATAATGCAGAAACTGGTGAGGTATCTACCAAAAAAACAAATTGAGGTCTATTCAATACCCGAATGTGCGACGGATGGCGGCAATGGGCGAGTGCCCATGGTACACTTGCCCCATAAAAGCAAGAAAAAACGTCTTCAACACACGCACCGACCAGATTCAAAATTTCGTTTTTAACCAACAATCGTAAACCTAATAGGATTGCCTAATCCGCCAAATCTGTCCGCAAGTGCAATGCGAAAACTCTCTCTGGCTGTGACGTAGGTGGCGCGTTTACTATGTAAATGCATGGAAATAATCTGAAACTGACCCAAGTTTTGATGGACTTTGAGTATTTTGAGTAGCTAATATAGCATTATGTTTGGATAATCACTCGTTATTTTCATTTAATGTCAACATTAAATCGTTTTAGTACTTATTTAATAATTAGGGTAGGGTAGAGTCTCAGGTAGGGTAAAACTAATACTATTGCAATCAAGTTTGGCTTATATGTATTATCTTGAAATACATATATTAATTGAATATTGTTACACATAAATACATAAAACTAGCGAACAAAACGATTTACATGTAAAACTTTGTATTTTGCGGCATTCTACGATTTTAAACATACAAAAATCAACAAATACTAATAAACTAGAAATCACTATTCTTGGATATATTAAAGAACATATTAAAAAACAAAAAATATGTATTGATATGTACCCTCGTATGTAAAAATGATGAGAAAATAAGCAGACATAGCTTTTATCTGGATTAAGTCTGTCCTGTCTTCTACATCGAACTATCCACCGTTCCGAATAGTTCGGGATACTAGATCTTTCCATTTGGGAAAGCGATGAAAATTTCATTTTCGAGAACTTGCTTTTTCATCAAAATAGTTGTTATTGCACCCACACAGGGCACATCTCGTTCCAGGCATATCTAACTATTTTTTGATATAACTTATCCCACTGAAAAAGGTACAAGAAATGTATTTATTTCTTACCTTTACCTATATTATTATGTGTAATATTTTGAGCTTACCTCCTAACTAATAACACCGCTAATAAGCAGCACGAACATAAAACTTTTAAGTCTTTGTTTAAGGTTAAAAATACTGTTTTTCTCAGTTCTCGCCATTCAAGCACATACAATTGTAAAGTATTTGTTAAAGCTTAGAAACACTGTTTTGTCCAAGTTTTTTTTACAGAAATACAATTAACACAAACATAAGCGCACTACTCACTAGTTAAAATTATTTTAATTGTTCAAAATACAACGGTTTAATACGCCGTCAAATGCATTGACAGAATACACAAAAACCGTTAGAGGACTTCGCTTACGTCACATGCGACCACGTGCGATTGATTATTTTGGCGAACATATATCTTATGAGATTGGGCAATGGGTTGGGTTTTTAATAAATGACGTTGCGGCATTCAACAACCGACATGGCCGGTGACATATTGTCAATAAGTTTGGATGCGGCAATTTGAGGGCAGCATTTTCTATATGCCTGGATCGCGTGAAATGTTCTGGGAATACGAGTTAAAATCCCTGTTTATAAAGAAAATGGCGCAAATTTAACCCGTGATATAAAATTTTTATACAAGAGTAGATTTGGGAAATAATATACACTTTTTCGAGATTTTCGATGTGTTTAGTGCACTTCGTGGGTCGCATTCTATTTACCTGCCACGACTTCCGGTTTACCGAAGCCCTGTCCCGCCACCGTGAGGTCGTTGCTCGAACTATCCTCGGCCCGAACGATCTTCAGAATGTGCTCGGCTTTGCCGACAAACTCCGAAACGCTTCCGATCAACATATGCGTGGCGTGCGAGATAAACGACTCACAGGACCGTTTCAGTTGCTTGTCGATTTCTTTCCTCGAATCGACCAGGTACTCCTTAACTTTCGGCGTGCCATCCAGCAGGAATTCCAAGAGGGCGTTGCTTGTGCCGATCGCGAATATCTTGCCCCGATTGTGGACCAAATCCGCGGCCGCCTTCGAAACCGTCGTGAAATCCAAGGCCAACTCTTTGGTCGTAAAGTCCACTTGAAACGGGGCGATCTGCTCCCTTACGATAAGCAGGTGTTTTATTTGAAACAATCGACCGTCGATCGCTGTTTTGTTTTGACCAATCAGCTCGGCGGCTCTGTCGACGGTTTTCACACAAACGATCAGCGCCTCCTGGGCCAACCCCTGGAAGGTGTCGCGATCGACGCAAAAATATAACCTCGACAGGCACACCAACGTCCGTTTCACCGTTGGATACCACATACCGTGCAAATCGGCCGGGGAGTTTCCGGTATAAGACCTCAGCTGTACGGGAGTCATGTTTATGTGAGCCACTTCCTGGGAATCCATCGACACGGTAGAAGACCTCGAGTCCGACCTGTCGACGACGACGTTCTCCATCTGGAGCAGCTTCTCGGGGTAGGCGAGGTCGCCGGGCGACGGTTTATACTCCATCAGATCGTGCTTGAAGAAGAGGTTAGTCCTGAAAACTAACCTCTCCTCGACGTCTTCGAGTAACTGTTTAACGAACTCCGCGTAGCTGCTTAAACGGTCGTTAACGAGAACGGTGTCGGTCAGCATTTCGCGTTTCAGTATGCCGCAGAGCTCGCACAAAATCTCCACATGGTGTATACCGATGAGGCACGGCCGCAGCGTGTCGTACAAGTATTGACACAGCGTCCTCAGGTAATCCCGGAACTGCGCGCACGCCCCCCCGAAGAAATAGTCGTAGCACCTCGCCTCGTCCGCGCACACTTTCAACATGAACAGGCAGCATGACCTGAACAGCACACTGTGGTCACTTCGGTGCTTGTCCCTCAGCTCGGTGAGCGCTTTCGACACGGCCACACTCAAAATCGGCTGCCTCTGAGCGAAGTAGCTCCGCTTGCAGTCATAAAGGGTGTTCTTGTAACAGTCGTTTCTCGTTTCCGCGCGCTCCAAGTACTCCAAGATAACCCTGACCTTTATGGAGGCGCTTTGGAACTTACCATAGTACAGGGAGAATGCGGAATCCGCTGGCGCTTCGGACGTCATCGGCAGAAGGTGACTCTTAAACTCGGGGCTTACCACTTGCCTCGTCGAGGCGACTATCACGCCGTCGACGTAGTTGTAGACATGCGTGGTCGCCCCGCTCAGCAGATTTTCGTACTTCATCTTGAAGATCTTCGCCTCCTTAAAGGTTAAATTGGTGCTGAGATAATCGATCGCGTCGTTAATGTTATCCAGAATCTGAGTGAATTCCGCGCTATTGGGTCGATCGGAGAGTCGCTCGACGTTGTCCTGCGCTTTGTTAAAATAGACAAAATACCGCCCTTTCTCTTCGATGGCCAGCTTTTTGCCTTTCAACACCTCCTGGTGCACGAGCAGCTGTTCGCTTAAGTCGTGCAGGTGGTTGGTTTTCTCGGTGACATTCTGATATTGTTGTTTCAACTGATTTAAGGAAGTGAGTGTCGCGTCGGAGAGGCCGAAAAACTGCTCGCAATGAGCGCAATACCGACTCAACACTCGCCAATAATCTTTGTATTTGTTGAGCTCTTCCCCCTGCACTTCCCGCTCGGCCGATATTATCCACCGTATGAAATCCTTGTTGCTGTTGATCACGGGGATCCCGTTTTCAGACTCCTCCCCTTTCTTATCGTCGCGAGAATCGCAAGTTTCCGAATAATACAACGCATTTACAGCGTCTTTGATTTCGTAAATTAAATCGATTTGTTCTTCATCTAAAGGAGCCAACGGGTTTGTGCTAGAGTGCCAGTCGGCTATGTTTTCCTGTATTTGTTTATCAATCGCATCTTCTTCCGTGACATTCATGATGCCACGCAAACTAACCAAACCTAACTTTCAACATATTTTTGTCATATAATCTGAAAAAGCGTACAATACTGCCGGGATTATTAAACTACTTTTTAATTTGGTTGGTTCTTCTTTTTTCATTACCGTAGTGGCCAACTCTGCTAGGATCATTCGGCCCATCTTCTTGGTGAAAGGTTTCATTTTTTTTTTTTTTTAATTTAGAAGAGTGACTTAGTCAAAAAAAGGCTGGACGATTTTAATGGTTACTGCCAGTTTTCTCTTCAGTAACCTGAGAAGATGCCTCTGCGGAAGAGAACTATACAATGGAGAATATCATCATCAAATGTATTACGAATTTTGTCTAAATTTAGTGTAATTTAAACATTTTTAGATGACGCTTAAATTTAAGCATTGATGTCAGCCCTTGCGTTGATTCCCGCCGACGCGGATCACTTTATAAAAAGAAAAAGGAGCAGACTGACTCTGTCCTTTTCTCTCGGCTCGCGCGGATGTGGTGAGTGATTCCTCTGCGCATGAAACGGAACGGAAATTCTGTTCTTATCACCTGCATTTAATTTCTTTTCGAAGCGATATTCCAATCATTCGCATAAGCGCGCACGATGAACGATTGTTACACAATCTTCTCACTAGGAAGCAAAAGATATTTTGTGTAATGGAGTTCAATTTTTTTTTCGTAATTGGAGCGATTGATCTAAGTAATTTTAGCCAGCGAGAAGAAGAAGAAGAAATTTAGATTATGTCTTAGCTGTTTTACTATTGCATTTGAAATAAACTTGATTGTTTAGGCGAATAACAATGATCATTTTAAAGAAAGGTAATTTCGTGTTACACGGCTTAAGAATCTTAACCCGATGGAACAATAGCAAACCAGCTGAAGAAATTAAAAAGCTTGTTACAAATAATAAAGTGGTGATCTTTATGAAAGGAGTACCTGATCAACCTCAGTGTGGTTTTAGTAACGCGGTGGTTCAAATTCTGAGAATGCATGGTGTATCATATGATGCGCATAACGTGTTAACGGACGAATCTCTTCGGCAAGGTAGGGGCTTTAAATTATTTAGCAAGCTGGGTCAAACCTTTTTGTTTAAGGTATAAAGACATATTCAAATTGGCCGACAATTCCTCAGATTTTTATCAATGGTGAGTTTGTTGGTGGCTGTGATATCATGCTTCAGATGCACCAGTCGGGCGATTTAATAGAAGAACTGAAGAAGGTGGGTATACGAAGTGCCCTTTTAGATAAGGAACAAGAAGATAAAAATGGAAAACCTTAATTTAATTGCTATTTTTGTGGTTGAAACCAAAGTTTTTATTGTATAAATGTATAAAATGATAATGTTAGTTTGAAAATTCAAAATAAAACAGTAAATATTTAAAGAATTAGTTGTACATTCTGCATACCAAATATTTTTTTATTGGCTATTGCTAGTGACGTACTAAAATTAATGAATTATAATTTTAAATCCTTTTCATAAATCAACATGTTTGATGATATAAATCCTTTTCCTAAAATCCGGATAGTGGATGGGTGGGGAGATAAGGTAATGGTGATGTTTTGTATTAACTCATATTTATGGCGTCCTCTGTATTCCTAAAGTATTAAATATTTCCTATCGGGGTGAATAAGTAAAGAAAAACGCTCTGGACAACATAAACAATGTTTCCTACAATCAAGAATCATTTTTTGTTATATAATTAATTAACAAATGGAATAAATAACTTTCTAACTGCAAATTTCTCAACTGTTATTTAGTACAGTGATTTGTTATTTACAATAAGCAAAGAAACTCTTAGCAATTTACAGTGAATATTTTGTCTTTAAATATAGAAACAGAACTAAGCATGAACAAAAGACTCCAGCGCAGGATGTGGATTTAGGATTTAGGCTGACAAAGTTATTCGGACTATAAAGTAATAGAGTAAAAGTAAAAAAAAAAAACAATATGTTGCAGAGGTGTATATGTAGGTAGTGATTAGTAAAAAAAACTTACAAAACAAAACTATAAAGACTCATATGACAGCATTCAATAGCAAAAAATGCGTAATATATTTAACCGTAATCTAATGTTACCGCCAAGTATTTCGTCAATTTCTGTTTTGCTTATACTGTATATTTCTCCTCAACAACATAAATTATTTAAAAACTATTCAAATACTTGCCGGTAACATTGGATTACGGCCACACATTTAATATCTTAATTGCTTGCAATATTAAGCCACAGTGCTTGTGCCGGTCTGTGACCGAAATCTCGTCGTATATCGACACTTTGCGAATGTCCTTACTTTACGTACGTTATTAAAAACGAAGAACAGAATTAATTTTTTAACCTCTTCGTTTGTTTAAATGGTAAATTATGACTTCACTTAGTGCTTTAGTAGATAGTGTCGTCGCTTTCGTATTCGAAGAATAGGGAATAACTAAAAAAAAAAACGCTCGGTGAGAGAGGTAAATAACTTTTATTGAACATAAACAATTTTTCCTACAATCACGCATCATTTTTTTTTATATAATTAATCAATTAACAACTGGAATAAATAACTTTCCAACTACAAGCGATATTATTACACGTATATTCAACCCATGTAAAACTACCGTGCGATTACGCGCGCGCTACTCCGATAAAATTAAGGAACATCGGACGGGAGCAGATCGCGCGGTATCAGTGACCACGTGCCGGATCCGCACGCGGAAACGACGACCGGAATGGAGCGTTGCAACTAATTTTATTCGACTCGGGTCGTTTTTCCGCCGCTGCCGTTGCACGTATCCATCGTGTGTTTCGGTTCCGGCACGTTTTCGATCGTACCGCGGAAAACAGTCGACCGATTCCACCGTGTAGACGGGTCGACTCAAGCCGTCGAGGCTCACCCTCCCCGGCGACTTGTCGCGAGGTCTACGTGTCCGACGCCCCCGAAAACCTTCCTAACCGAAAAACCGCGCGAAGCGTCGCGATTAAGATCGCTTAAAGTGACACACACGACATTTAGAAGTATAAAGGACAACCGTTTTTTTTGTAAAATATATACCGGGCGGCCTGCTTCTTCGACGACATCGTGCCGGGACGGCGTCGATTCAATCGGACACAAGACGGCGACGTTAAATTATCCCATGGCGGGCCAAAAAATATTTCGAAATGACTAAACTCGTAGAGAGCTAGATCCGCCATCTCTTTTGCATATCGCATAATATTTTACTTTCCCGAACATTTTCTAACTAATACAAACCGTAATAACGGCGAATTCAGTGAATCCGGATCGCGTTGGAAACGCGACCCTTTGAATTTATAACCTCAAAATCAAAAACGAAAATTTTTACTACGAAAAAAAAACAACTTGACGAGTGGGCACGCACCGTTACCTTTGTTTTCTTAATTTCAACGTTAAATTCGTGCTAAATAGATGTTTACTGATGCTGGCGAATTGTAACGATTCTAGGCAATTGAACATCAAAACTTCGACATATCAGTGACGTAGCGTCCGCCATTTTGGTTGATAATTGTCAGCGGACAGGTTTTTCCGTGCAAGTTTCTACGGCTGCTTCAGTTTTTGTGCGTTTTTTAAATTATTATTAAGGGACTGATAGTTTTGTAAATGAAACAACAAGTCAAAGCCTGAACTTTCCCTTAAATTTGCTGAAAACTTGACGGACGTGTCAAACTCAACTCATCGTTTCCTTTGCGGTTTTAATACTACCGATGCGATAATCGCGTTAAAGATCAGGGATTTTGTTAGTGTCCGATAATTAAAAACTGCTCACAAACGGAAACAACCGTACGTCACACTAATGCAGCGTATTTTGAACCACTGTACTACAGAAGTTGAAATTTTAAACGGAAGGAACCCCATTTTTGAGAATTGTTAGATTCTTGATAAAAAAAAACTAACCTCACATTATAATTAGTACTTCATGAATTTAAATAAATTGAAGGATAAGTTCGTCATGTAGGGTGCCTTCTTATAAAATTAATAAATACTGTCTAATGCAAATGTATCACACACCAAATTAAATATCACCATTTTTCTAACCAAATTTATCAAACACTTGACCGAAAATTGGGAAAATTCCGATTTTCAATCTTTTTTTTTTCTCAAAAAACGACAAACACAAAGTGCCGATTGTAAGATTAGCTTAGTTTTTGAGAAGGGAATCGAAAAACTAAAACTTTAGTTTTCCTGAAATTCGAAATACTGGTCCAAGCTTACTGAAATCCAAGAATCCGGTCGATTTAAAATATTTTCTAGTCCGCCAGTGACAATTTAATCGCGTTGCCCTTTTATATCTAGCTCGACCGGCCCCGCATCTTTAACTATTCTTAACGTAACCCGTACGATGATACCGTCGCAAAAGGGGTCACCCTGTACAATTTTATTTTCTAACTAGCGACAAGCGGTTCATGCAAAGAGCTATTTTTTTACAGTGCCAAAAGAGGATAGATTCTTTGTAATGTACTTACAGCTACCCCCCTCAAGTTCCAAGAACTATATAGGTGACGTAACTGTGTGGAGTGAAGAAGCTGTGACTGAGGGGGAGGAGGAGGCTAATTATACATCGACTCTTTTACATATGTTTTTAAACTAGAATAACACGTTTCTTGCTTGTTAATGGTTTGACTTTAAACGTACTACGTCCTTTTTTTTTTGGTCTAAACGTCGACGACCATCTTCTTGTGGATGTCCGTGTTGCCGACGACGTTGCAAAACTCCTCGAAGGATATTTTGCCATCTTCGTCTTTGTCGGCGAACAATATGGTCTTGTCGACGATTTGCTGTAGCTGGGTATCCTTCAGATTGTTACCGACCATCATTTTTAGGACCTCAAAACGACATTTATTTGAACCGAGGTGGAAATTCATTTAACACAATAAATAAGAACTAAAAGTGCAGATCTTCAAGAAATTATATATTATATATATATATATATATATATATATATATATATATATATATATATATATATATATATATATATATATATATATATATATATATATATATATATATATATATATATATATATATATATATATATATATACATTACAATTGTTTCGAAAACGCCGCGTCTTTATCAAATGTAAGATTTACAAACTACCTGTTACTATTAATACCGAAAAATGACAATAAAACCTTAATTAACCAATTAAGCAATACATTTGAATGTCTTATTTTGTTAACCTCCATGGCTTCCAATAAATTTAATTTTCTATTTCTCGTGGCTGTATGTAAAATATCAAAATTGTCTTCAAAAATGTATTTTTCTGTGTTTAAGTATGTAGCATAATTAGAATTTAGACTATTGTTTTTAAACGCTCTTTTATGTTCGTTAATGCGTTTCTTGAAGGATCTACCTGTTTGTGCAATATAAATTTTAGGACAAGATCCGCAATTCAACCTTTTGAGATTTGGGACATTTCGTTTTATTGTTTTTTAAAAATTTTCCACCACATTTTGACAAATATTTTCAAACTTTTTCACTGGATTCTCAAACCAGAACTTTTCCAATGTATCAAACTCGATCCTACCGAGTTATATCAAAGACAAGTCAAGGGAGTAATTACTAACTCCACATTATTTAGTGACAAAGACAAGTATTTTTTCACAATTATGAATCCATAACCGCCGAAATTATATTCTTTAGTTAAATTACATAAACAAGATATGCCCATTAGACCAGTCGTGTTATATGTAACAGCTCCAGAAGTTAAACTCTCAACAAAATTAGTAAATATTTTAAAAAATTTGCAATAAAAAATTCTTTTGAATTAATCAACAAAATTAAATATATCAAAATCTCTTCTAACACAACACTATCGTCTTTTGAGGTACATAACTTATTTCCCAGTATTCCAAATATGTGATAGATTTAGTAGACTTCACCCTCACTCGGAAACAGGTTAACCCATTGGTGAACCAATATCACATCTCTAAGGAAGGTTTGATTATGGGAAACCCATTTAGTCCTTTGTTAGCCGAGATTTTTATTGATAATTTGGAAAATATCATACTAGAACAATCTTTAAGTAAAAGTTTTCTATGGTGGTTTTCTACGTGGATGATGTCTTTGCTTGCTTTATTGGAACGGACAGACAATTGAATTCTTTTTTAAATTACATTAACCCATTACATAATCGTATAAAATTCACTATCGAGATTGAACAGGATAACTATTAATTTTTTAGACTTAACTATTACGAAAACGCAAAACAAACTAGATTTTTCCATTTACCATAAACCTTCGCACACGGACACAGTTACGAACAATTGAAAACAATTACATACATAGGAGAACCCAGTGAAAAAGTTTTAAAACATTTGTTAAAATGTGGTTTAAAAATAGCTTTCACAACTAACAAAACAATAGGAAAATTTGTAAAAAACAATAAAACGAAATGTCCAAAATCTCAAAAATCAGGTGTCTACAGGTTGAATTACGGATCTTGTCCTAAGATTTATATTGGACAAACAGGCAGATTCTTCAAGAAACGCATTAACGAACATAAAAGAGCGTTTAAAAACAATCGTCTAGATTCTAATTATGCTACACACTTAAACACAGAAAAACACATTTTTGAAGACAATTTTGATATTTTACATACCGCCACAAAAAGTAGAAAATTAAATTTATTGGAAGCCATGGAGATTAACAAAATTCTCAAATGTATTGCTGGACGATCAATTAGATTTAAATACCTCTCCATTATTAAACTTAAATTATCAACATTAATTAAGGTTTTAATGTCATTTTTCGGTATATATAGCAGCAGTTAGTTTGTAAATATTACATTTGATAAAGACACGGTGTTGTCGAAACGATTGTCATGTGAATATATATAATTTCGTGAAAATCTGAACTTTTAGTTCTTATTTATTTTGACATTTATTTATTTATGTGCCGATTAAACCAGTTATCTCCAGAAATAACACAACTATCACATTGTTCACGTTCGGAGTGTAAAAAATCGGTGAGTCTTCACCCAAAAGTAGGACAAATGTCGATCGCTTTTAAGGTTATACATTTTGATTGAGTTCTTTTTTATTTCAAAGAAAATTCCACAGATTACAGGTAATACTCTTTACAAATCCTCTGGATTCCTACTGGCCGATCAACCTGAGGCCTTCTTCCTAGCTTAACTTAAACTGGCTACTCTATACCTGCCTATATATTGTGTGAGGGGGGTGTAGCTACAGGAAGGCCATGAACATTGTCTCAGATGACTGATTCCTATATTAGTGAAAGGCCTAAGTCGCGGTTAAGATTGTTTAGTTGCTTATGGATTTATATTGATTGTCGGATTTTGCGTTGGTAGAAATTAGACGAATTAAAAGAACTGAAAAATTTGTGTTAGTTTTTTTAAGTGTGAGATAATACTTTACTTATTTTAAATACACTGTGAAATTTAATCATTATAAATCCTTGTTTCGCATGTTACTATCCTTTTTTAATATAATTATTGATGTATGATACATAATTTTTTTGATATATTTTGCCTTGAGGCGTGTCCCTAACTGAAAGGGAAATTCCCACAAGCAGGTTTGTGGAAAACGAGTCCAAGCAACAAAATAAAAGATTCATTATGGCCAACAAAAACACCACTAACAATAATAACAATAAGTATAATGACATTTAGAATCCAAATACTGCTAGATGCGCTAGAATTTTCTAATCTGTCTAATTTTGAGGTATTTGGCCTCAGTGGCGTGCATTACATATAGGCAAAAAAGCATTGCCTACCCTTAATTTTATTCAAGACAAACATAAATTGAAAATCTATTCATCTAACAACGCTCATTCATTACGTACGACATACCTATTTAAAATGACCTACATATTTTTATTTTTCTAAATAGTAAGTTAGTATAGTCTTTATTACGGTTGCAAAGCCGGAAACATCATACAAAACAAACGCCACCTGTTCAACGTCTTATTATTACCTAAAAAACACATCCCATTCTTCGAAGTCGAAACGCACGGCCGAAGCTTCTCATTACATTTAAATGGGGAAGCAAAAGCAGTGCGTTACTGCAAGCAATGAACACACGAAAGCAGTCGGGACCGTCCGATCCGTCGGATGCACTGCGATACCGCGGCCCGTCGCATGCGATATTGCCAATGCCGATGTTATTACAGAACTATGTAAGAAACGGTCCCACGTTATTTTACGTAAACGATCAATTCTATGATGTTTTATGTAGCAAATTAGAAGTTTTGTTGTAAGTCATCTGTATATTGTTTCCAAATGATTTCGTTTACTATTTTATTTGACTGCAAAATCATTCTGCCATAAAATATATTAGGCAGTGCTAATTGGAAATCTGTCAATATTGTGTACGATATTGTTTTTGTTTTGGCATTCGCAAGTCGCTAATCGGCGTAATCGCGAAGAAATTAGAAATTATGATTGAATGATAGAGAGATTATTTGTTTTGTTGGTTTTTGGCGTGATGTCTCTTGGCTACCCTGCAATACGTTGTACTGCACGCCACTGTCTGACCTTCATATTCAACCCCATATAATTGAAAGGGGTACAATCAACAGGAAAAGTACTAACAGCCAAAAATTGAACTGAGGTGGCTTTTACTTGATGAAAATCCATTTATCAAAATAAATAAAAACTAAAATTTCAGATTTTCATGAAATTATATATATTTTTACATGACAATTGTTTCGACAACACCGTGTCTTTATCAAATGTGATAAAGACACGGTGTTGTCGAAACAATTGTCATGTAAAAATACATATAATTTCATGAAAATCTGAACTTTTAGCCAACAGCCAAATTGAAAACCTGCCTATCGTCTAAAAGTAGGTTTCATTAATTAATTTTTTATTTAGTGCTAACGTTATAATCTCTAACCCTCTGTTATAGAGAAAGTCAAAAATGAGGTGATTCATAAAAAGACTTAAAAAAGATGATTCGACTAATTTAAATAATAAGAAGTCTACGATAAAGGAACTTGGGAGGAGAAAATAAAATTCATTTGATGCAAAATATATCACCAGAATTGTTAGATAGTATCATATATGAAATATACAAATACATAAATAAGCAAATACAAATATAAATAAACAATTGCCAAACTGTTAATAGATATTTGTATGGCCCCAGCGACGGTCCGCAACTTCCGCCTGACCTATCAACTTTTTTTTTTTGAGTATTCGACTGGATTCTACATAAAGAGTCCGTTTTCATTATATCATTAGGACGTTTAAAGTACAAAAGGTAACTAAAATAGTCAAATTTTGCTGTTTCAAAATGCTTTTGACTTGACTTGACCATCAAAACACAAATCAAAATCATCAAAACACACTTTTGATATCTTGCAAAATTGTTTAAACTGCTCAGAGTCCTTTTTAAACTCTTTTGTAACTCCCCTTTTTTCCTTATATAGTTTTTATTTTTCTTAAATGCATACTGCGTCTTAAACATTTCAAATAAATTAGGACTATTATCAATAAACACTGGCTCAAACAACATTCAAACATAACCTCTAAACTTTGTCAAGAAATTATAATATATATATATATATATATATATATATATATATATATATATATATATATATATATATATATATATATATATATATATATATATATATATATATATATATATATATATATATATACAGGGTTTTTCACTTAAAACTCCGCACGCCAATAACTCCAAAACGAAAAGAAATATTTAATTTATGTAAAACGTAGTCAAAGTGTGGGGTCAAGTAGATATTTCCTAAGGTTTAAAAAATTCGACGCCTGCAAAAAGCTGGGCGTCGCGACGCGTCGAAAAATTATTCGATTGCAGAGACTTTGGAAATACGCGCATACAAAAGTACATATTATTTAAAAACTTTTTTGTTATTTACTCAAACTTATTTACTTTACCCGTTTCTAAGTTATACCGATTTAAAGTAAACATTTCTTGATTAATAAAAAATGTGATTAACGCTTATTTTTACAAGTATGCCATGAATGTTAGTTCCTATGGCAACCATTGTTATCGCAGTTGTTTTAAGTGCAATTACAAACAATAGATTTCAACTATTTTAGTATGATTTTATTTATTATTTTTTATCGATTTATTTCTGATAATATGATAAATAAATGAAAAAACAGTAAAATACCTACAAGTTAATAACCAAAATTATTATTGCAATTAACTACATAATAAGACACTTCAAAAATTTTGTTCTGCTCGAACACAACTATCAAAAACTTTTAACAGATGAGATTGGGTCACTTGTAGGAGAATCCTTCTTGTGATAGCGGCACACGCTGCACTAATTTTGTTAATGAGATCAGCCAAATCTTCGATAGGTTCTTCATAGATAACGTTTTTTAGGTAGCCCCAAAGAAAATAATCTGGTGGTGTAATGTCCGGGGACCTCGCCGGCCACCTTACCGGTCCATTAGTACCAAACCATCTATTGGGATATTCTCGGTTCAAATACCTCGTTACTATTTGAGCATTATGTGCAGGCGCTCCATCCTGCTGTAGCCACATATTCATTCTAGTGTCAAGAGGCACTTCTTCTAATAGTTCCGGAAGTGTAGTTTGAAGAAATCTTAAATAGCGATCTGCATTTAAAGTTCCTTCGTAAAAGTAAGGTCCACTAAGGAATCCATTTAATATGCCGCACCAAACATTGATACTAAAAATTCGTGGGTTACCTCTTTCTGTAATCCAACGAGGATGGTTTTCGGATCAAAAACGACAGTTGTGTCTATTAACGATTCCATTATTTTGAAATCGACTTTCGTCGCTCCATAAAATTTTCGAGAGAAAATTTGCATCTTGGCTATACAAATCGGACAATGTTGCTAAGAATACATTCTTCTAGCATAATCGCCTGGTTCTACTTTATGAACTAGTTTACTTTTGTACGGGTGAAAAGAGTTTCTATGTAGAATTCTCCACGAAGAACTTATGGTAACACCCGTATTTTCTTTCTCTGATAGGGATATCTTGGGGTTATTATCAACCTGCTGAATTACAGCAGCAGTATTTTCATCATTTGTAGCCGCCCTGTTTCTATCTCTTTTAGGTTTTATGGAGCTGCCATATTCTCTTAAGTTTTTACATAAACTTGAAAAGGTTTTTGCATCGGAGACTCTTCTATGCGGATAACGCCGTGCGTAAACTCTTTTTGCTTCTCTACAATTGCATCTGCATTGTCCAAATACCAGTAACATGTCTACTTTTTCCTCATTGCTAAATTGCACTATTTTCACATAATAATTCTTAGTTTTTTTAAACCGAACAAATTTGGATATTACTTGTGTCAAAATGTGACAATTTTTTGATACAGCAATAACAACTTACGTTTGTAATTGCACTTAAAACAACTGCGATAACAATGGTTGCAATAGTAGCTAACATTCATGGCATACTTGTAAAAATAAGCGTTAATCACATTTTTTATTAATCAAGAAATGTTTACTTTAAATCGGTATAACTTAGAAACGGGTAAAGTAAATAAGTTTGAGTAAATAACAAAAAAGTTTTTAAATAATATGTACTTTTGTATGCGCGTATTTCCAAAGTCTCTGCAATCGAATAATTTTTCGACGCGTCGCGACGCCCAGCTCTTTGCAGGCGTCGAATTTTTTAAACTTTAGGAAATATCTACTTGACCCCACACTTTGACTACTTTTCAGATAAATTAAATATTTCTTTTCGTTTTGGACTTATTGGCGTGCGGAGTTTTAAGTGAAAAACCCTGTATATATATATATATATATATATATATATATATATATATATATATATATATATATATATATATATATATATATATATATATAAATACATTTATGTCATTTATCATCTCATTATAAAAGTTGTTAAATTTTACTACAATTTTAGCGTTTTTGCTCAATTAACTTGCATTTAAACTTGTTGCTGTTTTACACTTTTTTTTGAGGTTATGACGGGTAGAGAGTATTGGGGAACTGTTGAAGCTCCACCAAATTGCCTTTATTCATTCCTTCCTTAATATAAAATATTTGGTTAGGTTTCCACAACAAGAAGTATGAGTTATGTCATACATAACCTTTGAGAATCTGCTAAATTTGCATGACTTAGAACATCGAAAAGATGAGGTGGAAATCTATGTTAATTTTACTCGATAATTTTGTAAAATTTAGTTTAAATCTTATTATTCATAAATAAACTGTCTAGCTTTCTGAAGGACACTATATCAAAAATATCACTAAATAAAATCAGCTTAAATCCTAAATATACTTAATCATTTTTAAGAATACACAGTTAATAATTTTTTTCTCTTTCCAAAATCTAATAAAGGTAGACATTTTTAACTCACCTGAAATAATTCCCCATTAGAGATGTATCCATCGTTATCCATATCATAAATTCGAAAAGCAAACCTCAGTTTGGACAACTTGTCCCCTTTCACACTAAATTGAGAAACACCTTGGATAAACTCTGAAAACAAAATGAAAAAACAAAACCTAAATAACAATAACACACACACTTTATTACAATAAAATTAATCTAAAACCCCAATTTTTATTAATAGAAACACAAGATTTACAAAAAATGAAACAAAATACCAAGCCCTTAGTAAACATGGTTCATGTATAATAGGATCAATAATTAGATGTAATCTGGAATACCGCAAGGGCCTTACTATGGATTCATTTTAATCTATTTGTGAATGATATTCATAAGTTGTTTTGCATTCTCCAGTGCTTTTTTAATTGAAAATTAGGTCATTGCTATTATTGTAAACGGATTACTTTGTTTCTCTAGTAATGAAGAACAATTGTTTACAGAAACAAAACATACAATGCAATTGGGCTGTCACCAAAATCTTTTAAACATTTTTTTTTATAAAAAACTTATAATTTGCTTATAATCCAGACTGAAACCAAGAAAAAATCATATCTACCTTTGAAATCAACTTCCCCATTGCCATCGGCATCAAATATATCGATAACCCTTTGTACTAAAGGATTCTGTTGCAGTTCAGGTAGAGACATGAACTCGTCAATGCTGAGCGCTCCAGAATTGTCGAGGTCCAATTTTCGAAATCTTTTCCCCAGCCTTCGTATCTCATCAGCATCGACTAAAATTCATAAGGATCCAAATTAACATCAAAGGCAAATGAGAGAGTTGATATACTCACAGTTGGAGCAAAGCTCCATGGGCAGGGAACTTTCGTTACCCTAAAACACGTTTTGCATAAAGAGTTAAGTCATTAACATTGTTTCTGAGGTGTATCGCAATAATGTAGGCTTGCCCTGGAAAAAGTAGGGTACAAAGGAAAAAATAAAAAAATGTAATTCCGAGGTCATGAAAACAAAGCTACAGCGTTAAACTAACTAATTTTATACAAATTTAGCGTGCATTTACCATTTTTGCCCGTTCTCTACCCGTTTATAATAAATTAATTGCTCTGGTAAAAAAAAGTACAAATGAGTTAACAATTTGACAGAATGCTTCTCTATCGATAAGTTATCGACAAGCACATTTTGCATTATCGATTACTTTTCCGCTTCGACATAGTGAAGCAGACGTTCGGTAGATGTCGCATTTACAATTGGGTCACATGTTAAAATAACAAATGTGCGTTATTACAAAGACTTTCCTTACGTGCGCGTAATTGCACTACAATTTAAGTCCATTTTATCAACCACTAAAGGCCTACGCGCTTGTACATTTGGACACCCACGTTCAAGTATTTTCAATTCAACTGAATTAAAATCAAGTCACTACAAGATTCATTGCATTATCTTTATTAGTGTTATATATCGAGCAAAAAACTTATACAATTTAAGTACAGTGTAATCACAGTTAGGCCGTAATACATATAATATGTATTAATAATAATTTTAAAAACCTATTTGGTATAAAATATATAGAACTAATCAATCCAGTGTACACCATCACAGACTACTAAACACTTTCTGTTCTGTGATCGGACCATTGCAAATTGAACTTGCTATTCTGTGATTGCTAAACTTCCCATCCATAGAATATATTGTGATATCGTCTGATTGGTGTTGAATATTATTTCTTTTGGTCGCAATGATAACGTTTTTTCTTTTTAAATAATATAAGGAAATGAGGGTGCGAGTTGAACACTGACACATAATAATTGAAGCGTGCGAAAAAAATCCAGAACTTATAACCAATAAATTTAATGGTCGGGAAGGTAAAATAAAAGGTCACGCTTTATGGCGAACTGTCAGCCTGAAACTTAACAACTTGGGGTTTGGAGAAAAATCCGTTGAAGGATGGCGGAAGGTATATATTTGAAAAATTTAAGTAAAAATGCATAATTCAGCTGATTCAGTCTTGAGTTTAATTAGTTGTATTTAATTTTATAAATATCTATTTTTCACATCATCCATAAACTAAATAAAATATTCACTAGTAATACTACTAGAGGTCATATTATTTCCTGATTTAATTTGACTTCGTGTGGTATTCGGCAAGGAAATTCCACACCAGTAGTTTTTAACCAATCATAATTGATTTTGTTGACACATTTTCCAATAAATCCAGTATAATTCGCTGTTGGCGGTAATGACCACTAAAATTCATCCGTTGCCATGGTGATCTGTGAAAAAAACATTTTGATTGCAGGAGGGGGATTTTCTAATTCATTTTAGAAAACTTATTTTAAAGCTCGTATTGTTTTCTGACAAATATATGCAATAAATTTGTTTTTTCTTAAAAAAAAGCAAATAAAATAGCCAAAAATTATTTTTTGCTTATTTTAGGCTTTAATAGATTGGAAATCAAAGACAAAGGCAAAAACCGCCAGAATTAAAAAAGCTATTGGGAAGGCAGGCGGAAGTCGCACAAGTTACATAACTTTGTCTGACTTAGAATGCAGATTATTAGAAATAATGGGGTTAAAGCCTATTGAGGGTTACAATTTACTGGCACTGGGCAAGGTATTAATTTATTCATACACGATTATATTAATATTACACTAAACACGTGTCACTAAGAAAGATAAACCATAAATAAGAAGAATATTGATACGCAAATGACAGATTCTGCAGCTACATTATATACCTAGAAATTGAGTTATTCTGGCTTCAGTTCCATGAAAAATTTGATTAATATTACAACACGTAGGTAGCTCAAACACAAAACATTAAACAGGTAGCTGTCTAGTAGAGTCTAATTTCACCCAACAAATTTTAATAATGGTAGCAGTTATTTGTTTGTAACCAAGGAACATTTTAAATGTATTTCTACTATTTTAAAACCCCTTTCCAAAGAATCTACGTGATTATGAAAGTGTTGTCTAGGTTGTTTATAATAAAATAAAAATATTCGAATTCATCTTTTCAGCGGTTATTTTTAATGTAAATGGACCCAGATTAAATTCTAATTCCTAGTATTTCACAAATTACAAGCAGTACATGCACCTCACGTGGCGTTGATATTTTCGTAGTTTCCTTGTAAACAGCGATTTCCACTTACCTAAGTCGTTTTTCCAAAATATTTAACAAGATCTAGGCATATTTAGAGAAAAATGCCGTATCCAAACTCATTGTCGATCTGTCAGCGGCCATGTTGGTTGTTGAATGCCAGAACGGTTAAAAACGAGATTTGAAATCTCGCGCATGATTCTGTGGTGGAGCATTGCACGCGGCGGTCTAACCTCCGTCCGCTCCTAGCAGAATCCGCTGAATTCGTTCGAAAACCCTTTGGTATCGGTCTTCAATTTGTGTGACTCTGTTTCGGCAGTGTTTGGTGTTTGTTTTAAGTGTAAAAGTTCCGCCGGCCCCGTTGTTTTAACCGTTCACGCCGGTATGGAGGCCGGATGGGCCCGGATGGTCCGCGGTGGAAGCGGGGGCTGTCGGTTTTTTTGGTATCGGTCAAAATTGTTTTTTGCTAGTTGAGCAAATATTGGTTATATGTCTTCTTTGTACGTGTTGGTCCATGACCAAAAGCGAAGATCCTCGACGGAAGTCGGCAATGGGCGAATGATCCTAGCAGTCGAGCCCAACATTTTTTTGTGAAACGCATAATTGAACTTAAAATCTCGCGCATGCGCATGATGGACAGACCTCGTGATAATGTTTTTTTATAAGTTCATGTACTATCGGCAGAGCTTCTAGTGGATATATAGTGCTGACCGGCTAGTTCTGAACATGACGCCAAATTTAAACTGAATCTGTTACTCGATATGTGTTTACAGCGCTATTTAGGTGTTTTCTTGACCGTAGTCCTTTAGTTTGATTATTTTTGACAAATAAACATTAATTTGCTGACAAACCCTAAAAAATATAATAATTATTCTTACTTACTGTTACTTACACATTACTACACATGTAATCTTATATAATCATATAATCTTCACTGTCTGGGTGAGCTCTTCAACATTCTTAAAATACAAAGTAGATTTCTTTATAGTTAAGTTATGATAAGTATTTAAGTGTTTAATTAAGTCTGTCGATGTCCATATCTCGAAAACAAAAATTTCACTGCACTAAGTGGTTTTTTATGTAATTATGTATTTCCCAATGGTTTTATTTGTTCCGTTTTTAGGACACAGAATCAGAAACATGTAGAGGCGGATCAAACAGGGCAAGAAATCAAGAAAAGTACTGTCCGAAAGTAGAGTCACCTGCACTGACTACTGAAGGAACGCCAGTTTCCCGTAACAACTCTTCATATGAACCCTTTCCCGAGATTCAAATGGAATCAAACATTGACACACCAGTCAGATCGAGAGAAACCGAAAGGCTTTCCCAAAAACTGCTTGATATTAACGAAGAATCTCTACGATACCTAAGAAGTATTAGTGAAAATATGGAAAGTATGGCAAGTTCCTTGAAAACCATGACGGCTATTTTACAGCAGCGTTTTAGCACATAAATCGCAGTCGATGCGTGTTTTTATGATTAAAAAGATGTTCCCACTTTTTAAAATTTCTTAATAATATTGTGTTAGTTCTCAAAAGTACGATGTTCTGTGGTACTTTCGCAGTGGTGCCCAACGGGATACGTGAAAAGAAGAAGAAGAAGAAGATGTCCTGTGGTTCGCCATTTTTTATTAATTTGCTTTCACCTCGGTCGCTTCATTTGACGTTCATACCTGTTATAGACAGAGTTGCCAACTGATAAACAGGTCCATAAACTAAGAAAAATTTATTTTAAAACAAGTATCAACATAAGCACTTTTTTTGTTATTTTAATATAAAGAAGTTGTTTTATAATTGTAGATTCCCGTGTATTTAATATTCAGAATATTTTTGAATTTTCGTTAAGTTCTAAATAAAAATCCATAGAAGGAACTCATTTATATATTTTTTCACTAGTTAACAAAAAAAACTACAGCATAGTTAAGAGTTCGAATGACGTACTCAGCCGAAGTTGACCAAGTCGTTCTCGACCACTCGCGCAAAGAATTCGAGTGACTTCGTGTCTTGTCAATAATGGGGCATGAATTTTTTTAATAGTTAATAGTTAACACTTCCCAGACACACATATTCGCTGATTCGCTCATTTCTGTAGAAATATTTTAGTATCAGTTCGATTGTGTCTATGGAGCATGTTTTAAGTGTGGGAAGGGACAGAAAATAAATGTGCGCATGTTTATAAGATTTCTATTTCAACAAACACCGATTTATAACAAAACAAGCAACACACTTTCACGGGAATTATCTTGTCGTCCTACCAATTTATCACGATGTGCGAGCTATTCTACCGTGATACGGTCTACAATAAACAAATAAAAAGTAAATATATATGGCAGCGAAGAGCTGAAAAACAACGAAACAAACTATTTTTTAAAAGTAAATCAAGTTTCACATGCATCCAAATTTCACATTTCCATTCCTTTTCAAGTCAATGTCAATGTATTTGTTGACCAATTTCATAAAAAAGTGCTTCATTTGACGTTGGTTTTTTGTTAAATTTTACCAAAATGCGGTACTGCTTAACTTAAACCCGCAATATTGAATTTTAAAATACTAATTGACATATCACATAAAAGTCTTCTTTGATTTACTGATTCAATAAGATACTAGCACTGGCCAAATTTAAAACACCGATTGTTGGGTCGTAATTAAATAGACATGGCCAGTCGCTATTCGCGTAGTATTGAATAATTTAAAAATTGCCTATTAAGTCCACAAGATCGTACACGCACAAATACCGACGCCTAACTAAATAAAGTCACTGACCGTTATAATTGCCGCCAGCAGAGTACCTGAGATACTCTGAAAAAATTAACATAATCAGTTCATTGACCGTTCGGCGACTTTATGGAAGAAAAGTGTTTTTGTTTTCCATCAGAATAATGATCCTTTTATCGGACGGACGGATGTGGATCACATAAATATTAGATAATGGCCCTAGTAAGGCATAAATTAATGCGCCTCGGGCAGCTGTGCTATTTCGTAGGTGAGAATGATCTTCCACGCAAGCGTCTAAATTTCAACCACTAAGTTGTACTTTGCGCCATTTTGTATTTAAACAACGACCCATTTACACACTTAATTCGTTTTCCCGGAACATTTGGACATCTGCGCATATTTTGTGGAAGTGCTTCCATAAAAGTGCTACATCTAAACTGAAACTTGTCGAAACAACCAACTGTCAGCGGCCATGTTGGTTGGTTTGAAATGTCAATGGGTGCAAACCGCGCATGAGCATATTAATATTTTCTTATTACTGTCGCTTAAAAAATACCTGTATGATCAGCTTAGGCGGGGTTAATATATATCTAGACCCATGACGCCTTCATTTTAAAAATGTTATATAATAAGATGTCCGAAAAACGCCATTCGTATCGCGAAGTTTTCTTTCTTAAATAGGATACCCTGCATATTACTTCATTTGTGATTTGTACTATCCAAATTAATATGAGTTTAATTATTAAAAGTAGCTAAATGTTGTAGTTTTTAGATATCTAGATAGATATGAAGTAGGTATTTTATTCTCTAGTGAGTATCATTATACTATCCTATAGCTTTCATTATGTAAACTGATTCTAGATAATTAGCTTAAATAATGTAGAGAAAACTATTTTTTATATAAATTGTTCAAAATGACGACAATCCAAATACAAACGTGATTTTTTTTGCGAAATTTCCATGCTCTGTGTTATCCTAATTAATGTTCTTTATTAAGGTTATGGTCTGTAGATTTTTGACAGTCCTGCTATTCACAGATCAGAGGTTGTAGAAATAAGTATGGCTTGTATATTTAAGCGCAAGTTTAGTTCACATTGATAGGCGAACGAGTAGAAATATATTCAATTTCGTCCATAATCACCACAGCGGAAACGAAACAAGGAGATCTGGACAAGGTAATCAAGAGTTTTAATCGATTAACTGTTCTGCCTGTAAGGGAGCTATACAGTATTGATTACAGGAAAAAACATAAACAATTGTTATTTAGGATTGGATGGTGGGTTACACCGAGGGTGGTACACTCAGTAAAATACTGTATACGGATAAATGGCTATTCACGCCTTGATTTAATTTTCTCGGTAGCATCGTGTCCCATTACATTATAGATCCTGTGCTTTGAATCTATAAAATAGCAAAGTTATTTTTAATTTATATTTCAAATAGAAACAAAAAAAGAGCATGAAATATTGAGTTTTTAGATTAAGTTAAGGGGAGTTTTTTTTCCCACTCAGGAATTGATGGTATCAGCCGGTTATTCATCAATTGATGAATTGACTGGTTCTGGATTAACTGGGATAATTACACTTTTAATTTATTTGTTTTTTTTATTAGAATTTGATGAAATTATCCGACAATTGATTATTTATTATGAGGAGAAACGATCATTGAAGGGTGTACATTCCTCATTAACAGAGTTGGAAGGATCCGCAAGCCTGGCAACCCCATGTTCCAATTCAGTGGTGAAAAAAACTCTCTCATTACTATAATTTTTGGTGGAGCTGCCATATACCAGTTTTTGACTTGCTGACGGATAACTAACCATTAGATCTGTATGAACTGGACCGAAAAAGTTTTTAATTTTTTATTTGTGTCATAATATTTTATGAAATTGATGGTTCAGTTTATGGCCACAAGGGTTTGACTATTATTTTGCAGCATCAAGTGTGAATGTATTTTCATAAAAATTTGTAAAATGAAATCAAATTTCAATGTAAAGTGGAATCACATAGAAGCTGTCTACAAACCGTCGATTGTATCTTAGATTACTGAAGTAGAAGTTTTTTTTAGTTGCGGGACTGAATTTTTAGCTGGATATAAGTTGTCGCTTTCGTTTGCCAACTTTTGGGCAATGAACCGATATGATTACTACGCGCCATCAATTTTGAAGGTGACGTAATTTTTCGATGAGTTCTTCAGTGTGTTTCTGCCACGTGGGAATAATTTTTTAAGTGTTTTAACGCGAATTGCAATTAATTTCCAAGTAAGTATGGAATCGTGAATTATACTGTGAATAAATATGGGTGTAAAGGACACATCGGTCACCACAGTTTCTCTGACGCTCATAGCATGCAGTGTATTTAATTAAAATCAAAAATATAATGTTAATAACACTTAATGATACAAGTTAAATGAAAGATGTCACCAGCTTTTTTTTTTGGTATGCTTTTTGAAAATATCGCAGTTTAAGGTGCCACCATAATAAATCAAATTTAGACAAACTGGAATATCTATGTTTCCAATTTTCTCAATGCCTCTTAACAGAATTCATTTTGCTTTTTTCCTTTCTCAAGCAGTTTTAATATTTTCTCTACATTGTTATCACATGTTAAAAAAAATAATTGTAAAAATCAGTCAGTCTGCTGAATTTTACCATCATCGATCCAATGCCCTCCTTTTTCATCGTGAAACACTCAACCGCTTAATTTTCTTTGTATAACTGTACTATTTTCTGTATCTGTACTATTCTTTGTTCCTAGGTTTCGAATTATCCAGTTTTGCGTATGAGAGTTGGGGACACGTTGCTTGAGATTGTGGTTTTCTTGTTTTAGGGTTTTTACATCAACTAAAACTACCCCAAAACGTTTTTTTTGCCCTTCAGAAGGCAGACTTAGTCTCAGAGTCTCCTTTATAATGGCTTTAATCTTTGCCTCTACGATATCCACCGAATTTTCCGATTTTTCAGTAAGATTTTACGTCACCAAACTTCAATTTTCGATTCTACCACCCTAGGGTTGCAGTATTTGCATTTGTTTCAGGTAATAATTGACTTCGCAACCACATAGCCCGATATTATGTCAAACTTGCACATTGATACTATTTAGGGTCTCATTTTGCTACTTTTAGCACTTTTGTATGATAGTAATTTTAAATAGCTTTGAGCGTCATAGAGAAACTTGTGCTAAGATCGGACCTGTGACTTTCTTGAAGCTCGTTCATCATAGTCCGTTTACACTGACTAGAATGTTGCGAACATTTTTAGACCATGTCGTGGGTCGGCTGGAATGCTGCTAGCGCACCACCTTTGGGTACAGTAGCAACACCGACTGAATCTGTGACGCCAGGCGTGCAGTACACTCCCGAACAGTGGGCCCAAATGCAGCAGCAAAACTGGCAACAATGGGCTCAATGGCAGCAACAGTACCAGCAATGGCATCAACAGTACGGAGCCGAGGTATCTAGTTTATTAGGGTCATTGGTGGGGTTGTTTTTTTTTGACTTTGTCCATAGTTAATAAACCTTGACCATATTTTTCCAGGACAAAATGAATAAGTATTTAAAAAAACTAAAATTTTATACTTAAAACTTTAAAGTAAAGAAAAAATATACTTAAAACAAAATATATTATATTTCTAAGTATTTAAGGAATACCTAAATAAAAAGTGTCGTTATCTGGTATACCAGGCCTCTAAATTAAGTAATAAGTCTGGTTGTCACCTTCAAAATGACTTCCTTCTGAAACCACACAGCTCTGAAGTCATTTCTTCCACTCCGATACCAAAATAGCTTGAAGTGACTCATGTCAGGTGAATAAGACACCTACGGAACATTTTTTCTAGCCAAAACCTCGAGCAGGATTGAAAGGAACATAAAAGTCTGATGTTTATATCCCTGTATCCAGTATGCAGCTGTAATTTGACTTAATTTGGATCTCCACGTGAGGGTCCTCAGTAAGGCTAACGGTTAGTTCTTAATCGTCCTTACGTCATGCTTTTTGAAAATGATGCATTTTAAAAAGTTACTTTCAAAGCACCATCTACCACTTTAATCTTCAGCACCCTTGTATCCGTCTTCAGTTGATTGATTGCAATTTCCCTGATACCAGCTTTCTCAATGCCTCTTAGCAGTTTTGCTATTAACTTTTTTCCTTTGTCAAGCAGTTTAAATATTTTCCCTTTGTCTGTGAGTGGAACTATTTTTGTTATGCGTTCTTTTCCTGATATATTTTGTACCTTTTTGTAGTAAATATATATCCTGTCTCTGTTGTGGTTCTTCGATTTCAGTGCATTATTCTATATATCACGCTTCCGCAGAGGATCTGATCTTCTGTCTAATTAGTTTGTGATTGAACAAAATCGCCAGTCTTATTACCTAAATTACAGACCTGGTCTATGTTTTAATATTATTATTTTTTAATTTAATTAAAAAATTTAAAGAAACTAAGAAAGAAACTTCGACAAGTTATTGCAATATTATTTACAAATCTTCTGGATTCCTTCTGCGTCGGTCGCTGATAAATCGAACGGTTAATGAAACCGCCAAAATCTTTTAAAAATCCAAACTTCAGTCAAATATCCCAAAGCCTGAACCCATTGCTCCAAAGTCTCTAAAATATATGGAACGCCTCACTTCTGCCTGTTAATGCTTTTTATTATTAGAATCCTATAAAAAATGTCACTCTCCCGTCTCGTAACATTTCTCGTCTGGAATCTTTTGAGATGAACTTATTAAAACCAAAATTATACTTACGACACTTTTGTTATTTGGTCTCTTAGTCATTTTTCAGTGATGACTAAATATGCAAGATGGATTAAAGCTCTATTTGTTCAGCACTGCATTATTTCTTATATAGTTCCCAAACTGTTTAACTCTGAACTAAGTAACCTTTAAACCTTCAAAAAGATGGTTTCTTGATACTGGGTTGTTTAATTATCTCTGTGATATTGCACACTTTTAGCCCTGATGCTATTAATGTTGTAATCTTGGATTGATTCTAGGATTAGTATGTTTTGTATTTTGTAACTAAATATTATTAATTTATTTGTTGATTCTTACGACGTTGCTTTTAATTTGTATTCGTCAAGTTTTGTTTTGTTACTCGTGAATGCTTGGTTAATTAAAAAGTAATAATGATCTCCTATTTTTGGATATTAATAGAAAGAAAAATAAAAAAAAATCCGGCCTAAAAATGATCGGTTATCAAATCTCTTGTTTACAGAACCGTAAAACAATATCAACCCGGAATTAAAACACCTTACATCTTCCATTGTCTCTAATAATTTCGACATTATCTAACGTCAAAACCAGATTTACTACTTGTCCAAAATTCTCTGAACATCTTCGATCAGTCCGTTTGGGATACCAGAACATGAAAGAGCCTTAACACAGTCACGAAACCGGACATCAAATCCTGGCGGCTAGTGCAGTAGTCTAATTAATTTTTTTTCGTCATAATGATAAAAAATTATGCTGGTCAATTTAGTGTCTACTTAGACCCTATACCCTAGGATACCTGAAGGGGTAATGTCCATTTCTCAGAGTAAACATACAGCACTTTCTCAAAATATGAAATTAAGTCAATAAAAATTCGCAACTTATCAAAGCTTGACTAACGAAACACAAATGATGAAAAACTGGGCATGGTGAATAGCGAGGTACATAGGTCTTTAAAATTCTGCCATGCGACGCAGTAGGGCTCCTAGTTATCGGCGTTCTCTTGATAGGTGGTCTATTTTCAGTATCAAAAATCGATGAATGCGCTTTCTCAAAACGCCGCGGTCGCGCCTCTGGTGAACACCAACGCTCCGCCTCCACTTCCCACCGAAAGCAAACCGCCTCCGCCTCCACCACCTGACGATAGCTCGCCGGCCGTCCCATACGCTAGCGCTCCGCCCAAAACCGCGGGTTATTCGACGGTCGCGACCCCCCAACCCGCTTCATTCAACACGACGGCCGCCCATTACAAGACGGGACCCCAGTACAACGTGCCGCCTCCCCAATTTCAAGCCGCCTCCCAGTTTAGGAACCAGAGACAGCCGGGCGCTTGGCAAAATTCCAATAAGAGAACGTTCGGACAGCAGGGGACGCAGTACGAGGGCGGTAAAAGGCAAATGCTGGACAATCAGTACGCTAACAAAGAGAAAACCTGGGCTAACGTCCAGCAGCCGCAGCCGCAGCCGCAGCAGCTGCAACAGCAGCAGCAGCAAACGCCGAAGATCTTGAACCTGGAGGAGTTGACGGAGGCGGAAAAGAAATTCGACAAGGAGTTCGCCGCGTGGGAGGCCCAGTTCGACAAATGGAAGGAGCAGAACGCGAATCACCCTGACAAAACGCAGTACATGGAGTACGAGAAGAAATGGGAGTCCTGGCGGAACTCGCTACTCGACAGGCGCGAGCAGATGAGGAAGAAGCGGCTCGCGCTGCTCGCCGCCCCCGCGGGCTCGTCCAAAAACGATCAGCCGGCAGAAATGTTCACCAAACCTCCCCCGACTCAGAATAACGAACCTCTGAGTTTCAAGCCGGCTAAAGGGTTCCCGGGGGAGGAGCTGCTTCAAAACGATGCCGGGTTCTTGAAAGGCTCCTCCCCTAACGCGGGCGGCATCCCCGGTCTGGATCTGGTGAGAGACGACGACGTCAAAGAGGAGGAGCAACGCACTCGCGAGAGCGTCGCCGAACCTCACGCCGCCAAAGGCCCGGACCTGGACGCCATTTCGAAGGGGATCAATTCGATATTGGGCGACCCGAAACTGATGAACATGCTGTCAATGGTGTCGCAGAATCAAAACCTCAACGCGGCGAAGGTACCTGCGATTCCGCGTCTCATGGATTTGGCGCCCCCCATCTTCGAGCAGCCCGATCCGGAGGACTTCTCGGAGAACCAGAGAGAACTCGTCACCAATTTCGACGACCAGACCAGGATGAGTTTCACCAACGGTCCGAGCGAAGATTACAATAACGGTTTCAACGGCAGATACAGAGAGAGAGTGAACTTCAATAAAATCGGCAACGGTTTCAATCGTAACAGAGGAGGCAGGAACAGGGCAGGCGGTTTCAATCGCCACGACCGTTTCGATAATTTCGGCAACGACAGGTGCGAGGATTACGAAGAGGACAGCCACAATAACAATTACGAAGAGTGGAACGACGAAGACGACTACGACAAGTTCCACGAGAGGTTCAACGACGGCGATAGCGGAGAGAACGGGGTACCGTCCGCCTTTACGCGAGGCGAAGGGATACCTCCGGACGGTGCGGTCGAAGCCGCCGTACCCGCGTCTGAGGAGGAGGAGTTGTTCGTGCCGGAGATAGTGGTCGATTATGAACACAAGTCCATCAGACCAGGTAAGGTCTGTTCATAGATATAAGAAAGTGACTAACTGATACGAATTAAGGAAAGACCCGGGCAAGCTGTAAGAATGAAATATGGCCGAACAGATCCGTACTTTGCTTAGAATTTAATTATTTGGGGTTTTGTTAGGAAAGATACTAAACAATATTTATTTATGTTTAAATTTAAAATAAAATTACAAATTATTTTTATTACCTACTTAAATTACTTAAAATTCACATAATATATCAGTATCACTATCGCTATCATCGCCTGTTCTAATTATTATTTGCTCTATATTATTTGCAATATGGGTATACGATTGTTCTGCTTTTTCTATATATTTAACAGAATTTGCTCAACTTTGTGGATGGATGTTAAAAACTTTGATTTCTATTAGTTTGAGGGCATTGGAGTTAACACGGGGAAAAATATTGTTACGACCGCAGATTTCAGTTGGTGCCAAACATGTTCAATGGGGTTAAATATAACGTGGTAAGGTGGAAGCCTTAAAACTGTATGCCCTAGATTTTTGCATAATTATAATTATCACAGAAGTATTCTTTTTGTAGGTTCAAGTTTTGTAGAACCTCAATTAATTGCTTTTTGGTATAATCTTCGTGAAAATAAATAATTGTTGCTTTTGTGTCACATGAGAAAGGGGTTTTAGTCAATTGTCTACTGTGATAACTTGCGTGGTAATCCAGATAAGAATCTTTATTAGTTTTCGCAGAGAGAGAAAGCCCATTTGGAATCCAAGCATCTTTAGAGCCAGCATGCAAAATAGTTATTCTTTTACCTCTTGTTGATGGCGCCTTTGTTTTACACTTATCAGTTGAGTCAACGCAACCGTTTTCCGGGGTATCATAAGTGTCGAACCAGGTTTCATCCAAGTAAATAATTGGCCTTTGTTGTTCTCTGTAAATCCAAATTTTTTCTAGATATTCCAGTCGCCATTTCCGAATTCTAAAAGATTCCATTAAAACTTGCCTTGTTGTCAATTTTTTTAAAATCTAAAACCCATGTGTTGAATACACTTCCATAAGGTAGTTCTGCCACATTTAACACCTAACCTTCTAATTAACACAAATCTAATTAAGATGTCTAATGTAGGCACACTTTGTTCCTCGTATAACTGGTAAATTTTACGCCGGATTATATCTTGATCACTTTCATCTACACTCGGGAAAATGTCAGCATCGCTTGTTTTTTTCCTCGCTGAAATGGGATTATTTACAAATTTCCTTACACTTTGTTGTTGGAATTTTCGTCAATGACCGTTTCTTCTAAAGATGCTTGCTTGCTGGCACCACGTTCAATGAGAGTCAAATAAACATTGTTTATAACTTCCTTAGTCTCAATAGAATAGTGTTTTCTACATTTGGGCGGGAACATCTCCTGAGATACACTAGACTCGCACATATTTTGCATAATTCGCACATGATTCAACACACGTTGTATTGTATTGTAAGAATGACTACTAATAAACTTAATCTATGTAGTATACCAATATGTAGCAAACCAAAGAATATTAAACACAGGTAGTTATAAAATTATTTTCTATTACGGACCACAATTTTACCTGAATTTAAATTCCGAAACTTTAATAATCTTGTTGCATTGTATGTTAATGATCACCCTTGGATAATCCCATTCAAAAGGAATTGGTTACTTTTTTATATCTATGAATCGACCATACGTAACTCTTTCGTAAATCATCAATGATCATTAAAATTGGAAAAATACCGATGCGGTGAGCGATGATAATGCTTTTACCAAAGGTCTAGTCGAATAAAGAGGGAGGTGGGGGGGAGTCTAGCGAGAAGAACTTGCAGTGTTTCTGGTCAGCAGTTCAAATCGAATTAAAATTTTAGTTACGGATGTATAACATGATAAGTTATACAAAATAATTACTCCGATATAAAGGTCAAATTATGAATGTGATCACCGCCACTGCTAATACTCAAAAAGCGGTTCATTATCCAAAAATAATACAAATTTGACACATAAAACAAAACACTATCAATTTTCTGACATATAAGAATACATTATATTTTTTTATGGAACACCCTGTATATTATATATCTGTAGAAGGAATATCTTATTCTTATTATATTGATGCAACACACTATATTTTAGTCCACTCGTTTTTGACAATTCGGCAAAAATAGGAAATTTTTATATAATTTCAAAGAGTGACCTGACTGACTGCAACAACAATAATTATTTATTAATTAAAGTGGAATAAAAACACTAAAAATGACGACACACTGAAGTAAAAAATTCTTTAACTATTATAAATACTGCTGTATGTGACCACCATTTCCCTGAAAACATTTCTCATGCACCCTAATTTTCCGGATTGTCTCTTAACTGATTAATTGCCTCTGAAATCCTTTGCCGAAGTTCCACGACATTAGTATAAGCAGTTCTGTGCACGTGATTTTTTATTTGTCCCCAAAAGAAAAAATCCATTAAAGTTAACTCGGAGCTGTTGGCTGGCCAATCCATAGTTCCGCTGTTCCCTATCCAACCCATGGGATATTCCATGTTAAGCAAATTTTTAATTTGCACAACATTGTGAGGAAGGGCACCGTCTTGCTCCCATATAATAAGCCCATCTTTAGAGGTAAATCTTCTATATATTGTTCTATTTGGTGCTCTAAGAGTTGCAAATATGATCTCCAGTTAACTTTTGATCTATAAATATCGGACCCAAAGTATGCCCATTTCTGACACCACAGTATACATTAATTAATTGGTACCCCTGTGTTTTTATTACGTGTATTTGTCTAGGATTATTTAAAGACCAATATCGCGTATTTTATCTATTACAACCCTTTCTTCTAGTGAACGAACCTCCATTAGTCCATAAAATGTTTTTAGAAAAATTGTTATTCTCATTATGTACCTATTTAAAAAAATAAGAACTAAAAGTTCTGATTTTCACGAAATTATATATTTTGACGTGACAATTGTTTCTACAACACCATGTTTTTATCAAATGTAATATTTTCAAACTACCTGCTACCATATATACCGAAAAATGACAATAAAACCGTAATTAATGTTGTGAGAATTTAAGTTCAATAAAGGAGAGGTATTTAAATCTAATTGATCGTTAAGCAATACATTTGAATGTCTCATTTTGTTAATCTCCATGGCTTCCAATAAATTTCACTCTTTTATACACAGACTTCTTAATACGCCATTCTTAACAGAAAATTACAACAAAGAACTTAATAACATTAAACAAATTGCACTGAACAACGGCTACAATCCGTCCGTTATAGATAAAATTATAAATAAAAAACAAATCCAGACAACAGTAAACTAACTCTATTTATCCGAAACCTAATACAGAATACGAACAATTTGAAACAATTACATACATAGGAGAACCTAGTGAAAAAGTTTCAAAACATTTGTCAAAATGTGGTTTAAAAATAGCTTTCGGAACTAACAACACAATAGCAAATTTTTTAAAAAACAATAAAACGAAATGTCCAAAATCTCAATAATCAGGTGTCTACAGGTTGAAATGTGGATCTTGTCCTAAAATTTATATTGGACAAAAAGGTAGATTCTTGGAGAAACGCATTAGCGAACATAAAAGAGCGTTTAAAAACAATAGTCTAGATTCTTATTATGCTACACACTTAAACACAGAAAAACACATTTTTGACGAGAATTTTGATATTTTACATACAGCTACAAAAAGTAGAAATTAAATTTATTGGAAGCCATCGAGATTAACAAAATGAGACATTCAAATTCAAAAAATTAAATTTTAAAACCTCTCCTTTATTAAACTTAAATTCTCACAACATTAATTAAGGTTTTATGGTCATTTTTCTGTATATATAGTAGCAGGTAGTTTGTAAATATTACATTTGATAGAGACACGGTGTTGTCGAAACAATTGTCATGTAAAAATATATAATTTCGTGAAAATCTGAACTTTTAGTTCTTATTTATTTTGATAAATGGATTTTTATCAATTATACGCCACCTAAGTTGAATGTCTATTTAAAAAAACTAACTAACCAAAACTGCATCCTCCTTTGACATAATTGTGCATTTAGTTTTTACCTGTCTCTTGATATACTCCAGTAATAGAGGAAACTGGATGTGCTTCATACAATTCTAATATGTTTGCCTTATTTTCTTCATTTAAAACATTATCATTCCGGCATACCTTCTTAGCATTTAATACGTTACCGATTTCTGCCAATTTCTTTGCCAGCTTTGGAAATATCTGTTTTGAAGGAGCTTGGCGCTCTGGATAAGTCTAATACACTGACGACGAATTGTGGTTGCACTTTTATTATTCAGAAAGTATACTTGAAGCATATCACTCCTTTCACGAATGCTAAATTCACGAAAAACCATTTTAACAATAATGAATTGGACAATAATTCAATAATTTGTTTTTTGTTTACCTTAATATATCTAAAAACAACAAAGTTACAGCGAATTAAAATGTTATCATGATAAATTGAACACACGGTCCAAATTATTGATGTAGTGAGCTCTGATAAAGCTTTTACCAAAGGCCTAGTCGTAGAAAGTGGGAAGAGGAGGAAGAGTCTAGTGTTCAAAATTGAAAAATAATTAAATATTAAAAAACAGTTCCAAATAACTCTCCATCAATCTATTCCATATTAAACACCGAACCCAAAATTTATAAAACAATAAAATGCATAGGAGAACTTAGCAAAAAAAAATCGAAACATCTATCGAAATTTGGTCTTAAGATTGCTTTTAAAACTCAAAATCCATAGGAAAATTTTAAACAATGAAACCAATTCACGAAAAACTCAAAAATCCCTAGTCTACAAGTTGAAATGTGGATCATGTCCTAAAATTATATCACACAAACAGGTAGAAGATTAAGACACGCTTTGACGAACATAAAAGTGCGTATAAAAATAAAAGTTCGGATTCTAACTATGCACTTAAATTCGGGAATACACAAATTTGACGATAATTTTGATATTTTACATAACAAAACAAAAAGCAAAAAACTAAATTTGGCGAAAGCTATGGAGATGGATAATGACCAAGTGGATATAAATGCGTCTTCCTTCTTAAATTTAAATTTATCACCCTATAATAATGGCTATTAAGAATTTATACTGTTATATATTATGTTAAACCGTTACACTGTTTAGATATATACGGTCGGTCGAAAAAGTCTCCGTACACATAGTAGTAGTTAAGATTTTCACGAAATTATATACATTCACATGACAATTGTTTCGACAACACCGTATGTTTATCACTTTGTGTCTTACATTTGATGGTGTTGTCGAAACAATTGTCATATGAATATATATATAATTTCGTGAAAATATTAACTTTTAGTTCTTATTTATAGTATTTTTTCAGTTTTCTTTTAGTTTCTTGTCATGAAGAGTAATAAAAATAAAATAAAGCCAAATTTGATAAAAGCTGACTTGATAAAATATTGATAATTAATGGAGACTTATTTGACATAGTTTCTTGCTTCTAAAACTGCATTATTTTTTATCGTTTAAATAAAGTGTTTCAAATGATTTTTATTTTATTTTTATCACTCTTAACGAGATTGCCCATAGTTACTTGAACTGATTAAATGTAAGTGAAAGAAGAAACTAAAAGAAAACTGAAAAAATGCTGTGTACGGAGACTGTTTTGACCGACTGTAGATGTCGTAATATTTTCTTATTTTGTGTTTGACAAAGGCCGAAACAAATATCATAAACTGTGAAAATCTGAACATCTTTTGTTCTAATTTAATTGTGCTAAATGTTCTGTCTATTTATCAATCACTATCACGTAGAATTTCCCACGGACGTCAGTACTGGGCTGTTGGCCGGTTTGTTATTTGCCATTTCACCCCTTACATGGAAAGGATGGTTTACGTAAAGTTTTCCGAAAAAATCGTCAAAAAAAAAGAAGGATTCTTTTCGTTTTAGCGGAGCCGGAAATCGCGCTCGAGCCGATCTACATGTTCGATTACCGTCACAAGCCCGTCTCCCGGATCCCCTACCCGCAAAGGCCGAGATGGTTATACGACGCCGTCAAAAATATCAGGCAATTCGATCCTTTGGGAGGCGGCAGGTTCGGTTTCGAGCAACGCAAACCCGATTTCGACAAGTCGCGTGCGTTCGAGGCAGACATTTTCGAAAGGCGACCGTCGCGTTTCGAGACATCCGAGCGTTTTTCGCATCCGAAGGACAATAACTACACGAACGATAGAGAATACCGCGTTCGGTACAAAGAGAAGCGCGATTTTCACAAGAGAGGTCACGAGAACACGCTCGAGTTCGAAGAGTTGTCGGACGACGATTTCGACGAGCAGAGGCCGCAGAAGGAGAGCGGGGAGAGGGCGAGAGAGTCGCCGGATCTTTCTCACGCCACGAACCCTGCCAACCCGGAACAGGGCTGCCAAAGCAGTCCGGTAACGCCCATCGAGGATTTGGTGAACGCGCCGGGACGATATAACCGCCCGGCTCGGATCGTTATCATATTGAGGGGCCCGCCCGGCAGCGGTAAAACGTACCTCGCGAAGCTGATCAAGGATAAGGAGGTAGGTGACCTCGTGAAGAGTCAAATATACGAGGGTCACTTGAAAAGTTCCCGTCCTAACAATGCTTGCTAGACGTTTTTCTCCAAGAATAATTGTTCGCGAAGGTGATTGCCTCCTCATCTGATGGAAGTCTCCTTCGTAGTCCACTGTTTTTGATTTGAGCGTTAATAATGGTGTATCAAAGTTTCATCTACAGTAATTAATCGACTCCAAAACTCGGACAGCTTTCTCATCTTCATTTAAAATGTGACATGGGCATTTTCATGACCTCTGCTATCTCTCTCACTTTAATTTGGAATATTATCGTCGATAGTTACGGTTTTTGAACATCCCGAATGTTGATCACCTCCTAAGCGCTTACTGCCACGTTTAAATTCAGCTGCCCAAAATCTCAGTGTCCAACTTAACTTTAATTTACGTAGGCTTGTTGCTTCTCAAAAGCAAATATTTTATAGCAGCTCTGTACTCATTTTTTTTCCATTTTCACGAAAACACACAGCGATTCAAACGACTCTCAACTGAAAACCTACGCATTCAAAATGGCTGAAAGTTTGGTAAGTAACTATCAACAACGATTATTAGCTTTTAATAACTAGTGCCGCCATCTTCACGGTGTGGTCGGAAACTTTCCAAGTCACCATCGTATACAATTAGCGTCACAAAAAACGAAAGGTTTACATAGCAAAAGGAATTTGACGTTTTGCGATATTTTGTTGTCTTGATTTATTTATTTATTTCGCTATTAGTTCAACTTGCAAAAACGAGTTGCAATGCATTAGTTTAAAATCTAACTACTACTGCTACAGTGAATATTTTCCAATTTTAAATGGCAAAACCTAACGTAAGTATTTTTTTTACCAGAAACTCGGAAAAACAAGAGAATGGAATTTTTTTTTTCGTTTCAAATCTGTCACTTTTTGTTATAATTCAACACAATATTTTGAAAATCTGTTATAAAATAAAATGTCAGCAATGTCGGTAGAATCGATTTGTTTTACATTGACACAAAACACCACACCAATTTGGAACTAAACAATGTATTTTGAGATGAAACTTTCATAGAATGTTTTCAAAATGTCCTCCTTCTTGTATACGACACTCCCTGGCTCTTAAAATCTCTAAAATTATACATATTTAATATCACGGCAAGGGGTAAATCGTCTAACGAGTCTTCCCTTAGGAATTGTAAATATCGTGAACCAGTTAAGGCACCATGAAAAAAACAGGTCTAATAATTCGCCTTCCTATCACTCGTGCCCAAACATTGATTCCGAAGACCGAAAGACCAAAGAACATAGCATTATACTTAAAAGAATGTGTTTTTTAAAATTCTCCTCACAGATTTTGTTGAGATGTCTAGTTTCAATGCCACTTCTCTTAGCGACGCAGCTGGATTTACGTTGACGTATCCCACAACATTGATTTCCATTTCTTCAATTCTAATGGAATTAGAATAGAATGTATCTGGTTTTTTGTCTTCCTGTGAGCTTATTTTTTAACGGATTTTGAACATTTTGGTGTCAAAATATTGCAAAAAAAAAGTATGCAAAAAGAAAATCCCAAAGCCGTTAACACTCAACTGACGCGATGGTGACGTGCAACAGTTTATTTGTTGCGATGCTAGCGACAATCGGTTGTAGCGCAAACTACCAAACCATTTCTTTTTCTAATATATGATCGAGTTTTTCCATCGAAAAGATGCCAACTAGGGCGGTAAAATATTAGAAAAAATTAAATGTTCTTTTTTTTTATTGTAACCTAATTTAGGTCGAGAATGGTGGCTCCGCCCCCCGTATCCTGTCCCTGGACGATTACTTCCTGACCGAGCACGAAAAACAAGTGATGGAAGATGGTAAACTGGTGAAAATAAAAGAGATGAGGTACGAATACGAGGCGGCGATGGAGGACTCGTACAGGCAATCGCTGGTTAAATCGTTTAAGAAAACGATCACGGACGGTTACTTCAATTTCGTCATCGTCGACAACGTGAACGACAAAGTCAAGTATTTTGGCGAGATGTGGAGTTTCGCGAAGCAGAACGGTTTTCAGGTAACAACGGTGACATTTAATGATAACAATTAACGGTTATTAACTCGATTTACAACACGGTCAAATCATTTTTTAAATCACCCTGTAAAATACTTCCTTCAAGGTAGTAAGTACATTTTTTACTAAGTATTGTGTTGCTGGGGGCTAAACAGGGCGGTACATTTGAAGTACTTCGTATGCCTGACGTATACTTAAATATATATTTCATTATACCTCTGTATACCTTTCCAATACCTCCACATACCACTCTGACACCTTGACATTCGAGCCCTGACAACTATGTATATACCACAACAAGGTCAAATGATTTTTTATATTACCCTGTAAAATAGTTCCTTCACGATAATAAGTACGATTTTTAGTAAGTATTGTGTTGCTGGAGCTAAACAGTGCGGTACATTTGAACTACTCCGTATGTCTGACGTTTATTTAAATACATTTTTCATTATACCTCTATATACCTTTCCGATACCTCTCTGACACCTTGATATATGAGCACTGACAACTATATATATACCACAACAACGTCAAATTATTTTTTAAATCGCCCTGTAAAATACTTACACTGAATATAAGGCTTGTTGAATGGTTGGTGGTGGTCCCAGATCAACTTCTTCATCTTCTTCTTCCTGTTGGTGCTCTTCCTCACCCTCTTTTACTTGTTGTAATTTGGCTTCCTTAGTCAAGTCTGCTGTTCTAGAAAAATCCTGATCTATCACGATAAAATCTTGCAACTCCTATACACTTGTAAACGTAATTGTAGTTTGAAACTATTTTATCCATTCGCTTAGTGGCTGATCTTCTTCCAAGTCCAAGTTCCAAGTTCGCATTTGGTCTTGGTTAATAAGTCCTGCATAACGATAGGAGTATGAAATTGTTTCTGGTGTCACCTCTTTCTAAGCTGTACTAATAAAATTGACTGCATCTAGCATATTAATGGCAAATTTGTTTTCGGACTCGATCATTTCCATTAAGATGTTTTTCCTGTATCGACTCTTAAGACTTTTTATTACGCTCTAGTCCATCGGCTGTAATACACTTGTTGTTTTTTCTGGAAGAAATGCCAATTCAATATGCAGGGTAGTTATCTAAGAGAAGTAATATTTTTCTCCCCTTTAAGTCTGCGTCCCATTTCAGTATCTCCTCTTCAAAAATTTGCGGCATCATCCATGCAGCGTGCGTGCTGTCTTGTAAGTGACCGGCAAATGCTTGATGTTCTTAAAACATCGTGGGTTAGTTGATTTTTCCAATCATGATTAACATACTTTTTTCTCCTACTCATATTGACAGCTACTAACACTGTTATACATTCTTTAGAAAGTTTTTCACCCACACACTTTTCGCTTCGAAGTTTAAGAGTTTTATCTAGCGTCATTTTGTAAAAAATACCAGTTTGGTCAGCATTAACAATGTCAGCAGGGTACTTTTCTGCTAGTTTCTCCACGTCTCGTCTCTGTTTCGGCAAACTTTTCTGCTTTTAGTTTTACAATGGGTCCAGAGAGTGGTACATTTTTAAGACGTTGCTCTTGGAACCAGTGCAACATTGCTCGATCCAAATCTTCAAATTTTGGCTTTCATAGTGTTTTACTAGAACTACCTGCCGCTTCAGTTTGAATGATTTTTCCTGTGCACTTCCAAATCGTGAATACAGTCGACGGTGTAAGTGCGTATCGACGTCCCACATCACTTTTCTTTTCTCCCCGTTTATCATCTAGAGATAAAATTTTTTGCTTACTAGCCATGCTCGCCGTATTCACTACGTCAAATTAAAAAAACATTTAGGACGACCAGGTTCTCGGTAATTAGATTATTAGGGTAAGGAATTCTGAGTAGGTCAGAGAGTATTAATTACTAGTCGGCCTACATTGCTTACTTTTTTACCGGATGTGCCCTTTTTTTCTTCGGTATAGAGAGAAATTCGTTATACAGAGTGGATTAATACATAGCTTTGTATGGAGACCTAATAGTACAACAAATTTAGTTCGTAATACATAGTTTCGCTATAGGGAGTTTTAGCTTTATATGGTACATAATGTATTTTATAAACGGAGTTTATTGATAGTTTGATTCCTTCCTGCTTTTTTCCTTAAATAGCGCTCGGAATTGAATAAATTATCTATAGTAGTGTCTGGATCACATTTGAAATGACACCAAACGTATCCTTACGGCATTTGCTTGCGCCATCATAATGTCATAATCCTTCTAAAAGGGTCCTTTGTTTGTTCCTAGGTATACATTTGCCAAATGGATTTGGACCCGCAGCTTTGCACCCGTCGCAACGTGCATAATAGGAGCGAAGCGGACATCGAGGAGTGCATAGCGGCTTGGGAACCCACCCCCTCTCACCATCCGATGGTGGACGCCACCGGTTTCCTCCAGAGTTTCAACACCATCACCGAAGTCGAAATGGAAGAAGTCGATACGGAAAAGGAGGAGCGTGACCCAGGCGGTGCGGCGGGGGTAAGTGTAACGCACATTCACCGAACCCAAAGACCATTTCACTTAAGTTCCAGTCCGTCTTTTACTCAGTCCAGATCATTCTGGAATTGTTTCTTTCTTTTGCAGAGACGCTTTGCGAATATTATTTTGTGTAATTGTATTGTAACAATGTTGTGCTAAAAATTCAGTCTCCTACAGGATCATAGTAGAAGCAAGTGGGACGCGTTCGACTGTTCCGTTAACAATCTGGGTAAGTTTAGTCAGAAATTTTAAACTAAATTGTTTATCTGTGATTTTTGAAGGTAACGCCTTAAACGCCATGTTTTCTTATATATTTGTTTAGTACGAAAACGTCCAGGGTAAAACAATAAAATATACGATGTGAAGTGTATTTATAAATGCAAAGAATGCGATTAGTAAGTAAAAAGGACACATATTTATTTATATATTTATTATCCAGGCTCGAAGAGGTGGAAACTCAGCAGGTTCGTGACATCAAAACGATTATTAAAAACAATTGAGTTTTTTAAAGAAGTTAATTTTTTAATTGGATTTAAACTAATCGATGATATCAGTACGGTCTCTAGTATTATAATAAAGTAATGAACCCTATCTTAAAAATAAATATAAAAGCGTTAAATATTATTTTCTTGTTCGCTGGTGTATAATCTATCGGAAACATAGAACATAAGGGATCCTATGTAAATTTTTAGGTGACCAAATATTGACTCTCCCGTACACCCGGTGCCAAATAGAGATAGATGATAAGAAAAAAAGTTTCTGGGACTCTGCTGAAGATTTAAAATATTACGACATAAAAGACATTACGACATTACCTTTATTGTTTTAAAGGGAACGCCCTGTATATTTCGACACATTTTGAATCCTTGGTTAAAATAAACTTCACTTTGTTAAGAAATTTCTATTCGAATTTTGCATAGTTTAGGTAGAAAGTTGCCCCATATAAAATTGTGTTGTTACGCTACTGATCCAGGTATTGCAACGAAAATTCAAGCACAGGGTGTCCCAAATAGGTGGTGCCGTTTTGGAGAATTCACTTGACAAAATCTCAAGATTTTCAAATGGAACACACTATATTTTTACTCAGATATCAATTCTAAGATAAACAATAATGTAAGTTTGTAAACTATCTTATATTTAAATTTTACTTACTTTTTGAGATATTCGGCTTAAGATAACACCCGTATAAATTCTTGATGAATTTAAAACTGCCAACATTAGGTCACTTATTGGCAATATTAGGCATTTTTTAAATAGCAAAGACACGATACTACTGCTTTTAAAGATATAATACTCCATACTTTTTAAGAAGAAATATGAAAAACATCAAAAACAAACAGTAATGTCCAAATTTGTTTATATCTTAATGCGTCAAAAAAAAAATGTGTTGTCATAGCCAACTACATTTTTAAATATTTTGATATTTCTTTGTTGTTTTGATGTTATATGAAATGAGCATACGGATGTTACTTTAAACGTCGAATATCTCAAAAAGTAAGTAAAATTTAAATATAAGATAAATTACAAACTTACCTTATTGTTTGTCCTAGAATTGTTATCTGAATAAAAATATAAGATGTTCCATTTGAAAATCTTGAGATTTTGTTAATTGAATTCGCCAAAACCGCACCACCTATTTAGGACACCCTGTATAAGCTGAGGCGCAAACTGATTCAGTAGTGCATCATCTGCTTAGTCATAACCTCAATTTCTGCCTAAACTATGCAAAATGCGAGTGGGAATTTCTTAATAAAGTGACCTTTATTTTAACCAAGGATTTCAAAAAAAATTAAAATTACAAAGATGATGTCGGTGAGTGGGGGGGACACTTTTGGAACACCCTGTTCTAAAAAAATTGTAATATTTTCAGGAATATTTCAGGAATGTCCAAGAAATACTGTTTCGGTCAAACTCTGAAGAAGCCAACAGGATGATTGGCGAAACATCAGCAAGTTCGACTCAGCAAAAACCGACGCAATAGAAATCCAGAAGTCTTTTTAAAAGTACTACAGTAGCGTGTTGAAGTTTCTTTGAAAAATTGAAAAAGTCTAAGAAACTTTTGCACGAAACTTTTTTTTTCGTATCTCCCATAGGTTTCCAGATCGTATGGTGGATCGTTTTATTTGGCACACGGTGTACATTTTACGGCAAATTTGTAATATAACTATCTTAAGTTATTCAATTAAAGGTCAATACAACAAACACCAGCTAAAGTTTGGTTTATAAGAAAGATATGCAATTTGGTTTCACACATTCAAAAAAAAAAAACAAGTATGTAGGTATATTATTGTTTTCCTTAGGATCATACTCATGCTCGGTTCTTCAGGCCTCCTTGTCCCTTAAAGCATTCTTGAAATGGATTTCATTTAAAGGACGGTTTAAGCAACAAAGAAGCTTCAAATTTGACCCTCAAGACTTTTATTAAAAACAGTTAATAATTATAATAAAAATGTGGCTACAAAACATTGCTGAAAGGAAATATTATTTAAAATAAACATTATTTTCTAAGTAAATGTTCAAACAACACTCCGTTAACAGTTAAACAGTATCATTAGCGATCATAAAATTCATTTGTAACATTGCTCAGTTGAAATCTTGTCACATTCTAACGTTTTGTAACTGGTTAAGATTTTCAAATTTAATATTTATATATATATATATATATATATATATATATATATATATATATATATATATATATCCTCACGTATTGATTCACGGATGGAAAAATGTGATGACACTATATTCCGGGATATCATCCGTTCGCTCGTTGAACTCCGACTGGAATCCTGCATCCGACTGGAATCCTGCAAATCTTGCATCCGACTGGAATCCTGCAGACGTTTCGCCAAAATCTCACTTGGCATCTTCAATGCTCGCGCTCCGAAAACACTTCGAACACTGGATGCAGGATTCCAGTCGGAGTTCAACGAGCGAACGGATGATATCCCGGAATATAGTGTCATCATATATATATATATATATATATATATATATATATATATATATATATATATATATATATATATATATATATATATATATATATATATATATAAATATTAAATTTGAAAATCTTAACCAGTTACAAAACGTTAGAATGTGACAAGATTTCAACTGAGCAATGTTACAAATGAATTTTATGATCGCTAATGATACTGTTTAACTGTTAACGGAGTGTTGTTTGAACATTTACTTAGAAAATAATGTTTATTTTAAATAATATTTCCTTTCAGCAATGTTTTGTAGCCACATTTTTATTATAAATATATATATATATATATATATATATATATATATATATATATATATATATATATATATATATATATATATATATATATATATGTATATATATATATATATATATATATATACTGTTTAACTGTTAACGGAGTGTTGTTTGAACATTTACTTAGAAAATAATGTTTATTTTAAATAATATTTCCTTTCAGCAATGTTTTGTAGCCACATTTTTATTATAATTATTAACTGTTTTTAATAAAAGTCTTGAGGGTCAAATTTGAAGCTTCTTTGTTGCTTAAACCGTCCTTTAAATGAAATCCATTCCAAGAATGCTTTAAGGGACAAGGACGCCTGAAGAACCGAGCATGAGTATGATCCTAAGGAAAACAATGATATACCTACATACTTGTTTTTTTTTTTTGAATGTGTGAAACCAAATTGCATATCTTTCTTATAAACCAAACTTTAGCTGGTGTTTGTTGTATTGACCTTTAATTGAATAACTGAAGATAGTTATATTACAAATTTGCCGTAAAATGTACACCGTGTGCCAAATAAAACGATCCACCATACGATCTGGAAACCTATGGGAGATACGAAAAAAAAAGTTTCATGCAAAAGTTTCTTAGACTTTTTCAATTTTTCAAAGAAACTTCAACACGCTACTGTAGTACTTTTAAAAAGACTTCTGGATTTCTATTGCGTCGGTTTTTGCTGAGTCGAACTTGCTGATGTTTCGCCAATCATCCTGTTGGCTTCTTCAGAGTTTGACCGAAACAGTATTTCTTGGACATTCCTGAAATATTCCTGAAAATATTACATTTTTTTTAAAACAGGGTGTTCCAAAAGTGTCCCCCCCGCTCACCGACATCATCTTTGTAATTTTAATTTTTTTTGAAATCCTTGGTTAAATAAAGGTCACTTTATTAAGAAATTCCCACTCGCATTTTGCATAGTTTAGGCAGAAATTGAGGTTATGACTAAGCAGATGATGCACTACTGAATCAGTTTGCGCCTCAGGTTATACAGGGTGTCCTAAATAGGTGGTGCAGTTTTGGCGAATTCAATTAACAAAATCTCAAGATTTTCAAATGGAACATCTTATATTTTTATTCAGATAACAATTCTAGGACAAACAATAAGGTAAGTTTGTAATTTATCTTATATTTAAATTTTACTTACTTTTTGAGATATTCGACGTTTAAAGTAACATCCGTATGCTCATTTCATATAACATCAAAACAACAAAGAAATATCAAAATATTTAAAAATGTAGTTGTAGTTAGTAGTAGAGCGCGAGCATTGAAGATGCCAAGTGAGATTTTGGCGAAACGTATATATATATGAAATATTTTACTTGAATTTATGTAGTTAATTTTTAAAAAAATAGAAGAAATAAGTTTTTTATTGCTCAAAAATTTTTTGAACATAGTACTAGGTACAACATAACTATATAGATTCATAAAATGCATCTAAAATATATATCCCATTTTTTACTTTAATGCCTTAAATTTTAACTGTACTACTGCCACTACTTTTGATAAAAAGAACATCCGTGGCAGTTGCATTTTTATCTTCTGCATAAATTAACGCTTTCTCCAAGGCCTCTAGTCTTCCTGAATGTGATATTTTTGACTGGGATCATCATCGTCATCACCGTTTTTTACTTCAATAGCATTTTTGCAAACACTTTACTTCTTCCCAGAAACAGAATTTTTGTTTCTTAATGGTTAGTTTATTTCGGATAAACCGGATTTCGGATAATCGGGATGGTTATCCTTCGCGGTATAATAAATTCAATTTTGGGTAGATATTGTATCGCTTCGGTCAGACAGGTCGGTACATTTTAACTACTCCTAATGGCTGACATATACTTCCATATATTGTCTATTCAACCTCCATATACCTCCAATACCTCCATATATAGTCCGACACACAATAAATCAAACCGGTACAGGGTAGTAGTAAGGAAATTGAAACACAAAATATATGAATACATACTATTGTATTGCGTACTGTATAATTATAATTATAATTAATTAATAATAAATATATATTAAATAAAATTAGTCGCCAAAATACCTTGAATCTGTGCTACCACTATCATTCAAGGATATAATTAATGGTTTTACGTTGTCCGAAGTACAGATTTTCTTCAATTGCTCCAATAATGTTAAATTCTAGCCTACTCTAGATATAAAACCCACCTTTTGATTTAAAAAAAATAAAGGTTTTTATCAAAATTACGTTGTATGGTACTGAAAAATATAAAACTATTCCAAGCAATGCCCGAAAGCACATTTTCACTTTCAAAAAGTCACTTGTCTCGCAAAAAGTAAGCAACAGCAGACGTAGTATAAGACGCTAGTCCAATGGACGTTGAAAACTCCCGTCATATTAAAAAAAGGACATTTCTTAAAACCTATGTCGGCCTTGTAACAAAAAATAATTATTTGTTGTGCGTAATTTCAATTGAATTTCCCATTCATCTATACTTTCGTAAGCATAAAAATATTCTTCTGTGCATGTTACTATGTTACTATGAATTTAAAAAAATGTATAATTTTGTGTTTTTGCTGCTTTAACTGCGTTGAAAATCCACCAAAAATATTGTTATGTTTCTAAATCGACGAAAATCGTTTGGGATCGTCAAACACCGCCCGCAAAACTTGGCAGAACTTAAAATAACAAATCTCTAATTATGTACAAACCACTAATAAAATATATAAAGTTTGTTTATATCGGTGCGTTCCGGTTTCGCTTTCCTAACTGACTGGCCAGCGAGTGGCGCGGCCTCTGGAGGAAAAAAATTAGTAAAATTGGGAATGGAATTATATGAGTTTGGGTGATTCGTTTAGTGTCGTTCACTATTCAGTGCTTTTATGGATTCGCCAGAACTGCAAAACAATTGACCTTTTGATGAATGTCACCCAAATACTAAGCTATTATCCTAATAAGCACATTGCAGTAATACACTTGGCTTCTACAGTGGCCTTTAATTTCATAAGCAGAGGTTTTACTTTGCTAGTTGTAAAATGCAAAGAATATTAATTATTACGTTTACCGGCTCCCAGGAGCCAAAATGAGTGCAAAAATAACACAAAAACATAAATATAATTTCTCAACATTGTATATAACAGATTTGTAAGTGATGGATATACAGTCATCACTATAGAAATAGAGCCAGTTTAAACGTTCAATAAAGTTTGCTTTGTATTATTCTGAAAACTTTTTGTCTAGTTTTTGGATTTATTATACCGATTTTTGGTAAAAATAAATTAAGATTGACGCAACAATAAAAACAGTTGTCACAACAAAAAACAGTTTTGTTGTGACAATGGTATTTCGTGACCTTTCCCCTCTTCGGATCTCAATACTATTGAGATTCTTTCGACTTAAAAATGTAGTCAGTGCAGAATGGGAAACGATATCAGTAGAATGTTGTCTGAGGCTTATAAACTCTATACCCAGAAGATGAAGTTATTGAACACCATTTGTTGATGTTGTATTGTGTTTATTTCTTGTTTGTTAAATATTTGAATAATATAAATTTTAGGTTATATTTGTTATTACATGTTTCCGTGACTAATTCGAAGTTTGTAATAAAATTCGTTTTATAACTTGAATGCCATACTAAAAGTTTATTCGAAATGAGTCTATTTCTGTGACCACCACTGTAAAAGACCTTCCTGAATAATGCCACAAATATATATGGCATATAATTTAATTATCATTGAGGGAATTGTTTAAATGGCATCGAGGAGATTAAATACAGTGAAAACAAAAAAAAAAAAAACAAGTCAAGAACTAAACCTAAAGATTTTTTTATATTTCTCTTTATTATTTGCTTATTATTGTTTTTATTTATTTTTTTACTTTCATTTTTTATTTGTTTTTTAATCTTTATTTATGACAACTATGTTAATTCATTATCTTTGGGTGGGAAGTATGCATTGTTAGACATTATATAACAATATGCAGAGTTTAATGGGCAATATAAAATGTTTGCCAGCATTTTTTTCTTCGAAAACCTTTGGAGGTACTTTTTTTTGAGCGGAAAGAAACTTTCCTACAGAGAGGGTGGGACATCTTCGGATCAGTATTTGGGTTTCTACTGGGAGCCCAGTACCAACATTTCAAAAATGTATAAATGATTTCTTCTATTTGTGGTTTTTGTTACTAATTTGTTTATCTTATGTGAACCTCCGTCAGAAAATTCTAAATTTTTTACATCTTGCCTACGGGATGTCCCGGAAGCGGTGAAAGAAAGCGTGAATAAGTTTCGGATTTTTGACTTAAAATGTAAAGAAAAGGTTAATGCTTATTAAACGGTTCGCCTTGTATGTTGTTTCCCTTTTCTATAGATTTCTTTGTGGTGTATACTTCGGTAAATGTACAGGGTGTCACGTTAGCGTCGTCGGTTGATATCTGACATTTTGGTTGGTCTTAACTTATTGGGTTTTTGAAGGTATGTAGGGAAATAAGAAAACAAAATGTAGTGTTGGCACTCAAGTTTAAATGACATCAAAACACCAACAATTTTCTGAGATATGTCTATTTGATTTTTTTTTTAAATTGAACAACCTGTATATTTTATCAGTATTCAGTTCTAATTATAATTATATAACGCATCCTATATTTTATTCCCCCAGGTTTCGTGATATCGGCAACAATAAGAAATTTTCATATAATTTTGACATTTGACATATTGTTAGGCAATATTGATAAATGCTGACATTATTATTCTTTTTTTTTTCTAATTCAAGCTGTAAACGGAATTTTGTTTTTGACGAAGCCAATAAGTTGACAGATTTTCGGACACGTGGTAAATGTGGTTTAAGAAGTTTTAAATTTAAGGAAGGACCACAGTGGCAACTGTGGAGTTGCTTTGAAAAGTTGTGATGAAGTGTATTTTGTGATGGAAGCTTAATATCTTTAATGTGGAAATTATTAGAGATGGAGCAGACGTAAGGTGTTTTAATTCTGGGTTCAGTGACTTAGGACTAGTGGAATAAAGTAAAAACAGTTTTGTATATTTGTAATTAGTTTTAAGCTAATATACAGGGTATTCCATTTAAAAATATATAAAATTTTTCAGAAAATTGTTGGTGTTTTGTATTTTTATTTACCTTCATATCTTAAAATACAGAAAAGTTGCAGCCAATCCACTGAGTTGTAGCCCGCGGTGCGATCAAATTTTTCGTATTTTCCATCGGCAAAAACTAATCCTTTGCGTGTTTTTATATGTTGCAGCGAAACTCGATGGCGTCAACAAACCGCTGCGACCGTCCCGCACAATGGAAGAGTACCTCCAGCTGGACGATGACGTCTGGGAACCCACCGAACCAACAAAACCAGGACAGAAGAGGGTAAGTCCAACTTACGCAGCTCAAGCTTTTATTATAAAGTAACGGATTTTTAGAAGGGGGCCGGTGAGAAACCCCTATTTGCCGGATAATTGAAATATTCACGTTACAGTATAGGTTTTGGTTAGTTCCAGAAGTCTTTATATTATAGCATACAGTTTGGTTAGTTTTGGTTGGTCGCAGATTCATATTACACCATACGATTTGGTTAGTTCTAGTTAGTCTTAGAAATAGTCATATTACAGCGTAGAATTTCGTCGACTGAAACGGCATTTGTAACCTTCAAACCTTTGGTCGCCTTTATCGTCTATTTAGAACGTTATTTTTCAAATATATATATATATATATATATATATATATATATATATATATATATATATATATATATATATATATATATATATATATATATATATATATATATATATATATATATATATATATATATATATATATATATATATATAATCTTAAATTGTCACAATTACATTTCTGTCAGCAAAGAAAGTGAACATACCGCATCTTCTTATTCTTCTTGATTTCATGGACCATGGACACTCGCCCATGGCCGACGTCCGTTCGGGGATCTTTATAATTCCAAAGAACAATAGTAACATTTTAATTCTATAGAAGTAGATCACGCTACAAGTTCAAAGCACATATAACAGTCAGTTCCAAATTATTACATGTGAGGTCTCTATAAACGGATTGGGAGTAATTGCAGAGCACTTAAGCTTTAGCTGTAGGTGGCAGATGGTTGAGTGCCAATAATCTTATTGTAAACAAATATAAAACCCATACTTTGAACTTGAAACTTGACTAACTATAGTTTTAAAGTCCTAGATGACAAATTGTCGAAAACGGAAAATATACAGGGCGGGTCAAAAAGTAGATATCAATGCCAAATTCCTTTTTTTAAATTTAACAGTTATAATAGCAGTTCACTACAAGAGGTTCCTAATATTGATGATACGCTTCATTTGGATTTTTTGGAATATTTAATCAAGTAATGATTCACAGATAGAAGATTTTTCTTGTAGCATCATGCCCTTTAATGGGCAAAAGAATATTTAATTTTAAAACGAACAGGCGTGTAACTAGTACCGGTAAAGTGTTTTTAAAAAAGTGAATATGGCGCATCTAAATGAGAATTTAAATTTTAATTTTTATTAGATACGGAGACAAAACAAGACCTCAAAAAGAAGTTTGTAGCTTGTTTAGCACAAAATATCCAGAAAGACCAGTTGTAAGATACACAGTGAGTAATTTTGTCAAAGAAATTATTTTTTTGACAATATGCTAATTGGTTTAAACAGCCTTCCAAAACATTGCTCGTAATATTTTCATTAATTCGCAATATTTTTGCGGTTTTTCCTTATATACGTTTGATGCGAAATATTCGTCGACGCAAAAATTCAGCTGAGTAATATCTGGACAACTAGCAGGCCGTTCTATTGATTATCACTCTTTCTCTGCACAACTAGCAGGCCGTTCTATTGATTATCACTCTTGTTCTTATTTCTTATTTATTTCTTATTATTTAGTTTTCCAAAAATCTTCATAGGTTTCTTTTAGTTCATGTGCCATATATTTTAGATCTTCTTTGTCCCCTTCTATTACTGCCTGATCATTTGCATACTGTAGGTTAAAACCTTTTTTGTTTTTTTGTTTCCATTTTCCATCTAAGACAGAAAAGTGATCCATTTTCATTCAGAAGTTGGATTAAACAAAACATTAGTGAGTGCGCTGATTTATTTAATAAGACTGGATATTCAAGGAGAGATTTTTAAAGCTGCTAGGGTTCAATCAAGTTTAAGCTTTCTCGGACTTAATTCTTAAATATTTAATTAAAACTAGTGCCACCTGTTGCTAAACGAACATAAAGCTAAACGAAAATGTTTTTCGTAACATGGTTTCTGAAGATTTAAGCTACAATTAAAAAATCTATACACGGTGACCAAATAGTGTGTCAAAAAATATATATCTTGTTTATTATTTGTTTGAGAAAAAAATTTTAAATACAAAAGTTATAGGTGCGACTAAAAGAAACAAATTGATAGTATATTATGCGACAAGTGTGGTAAACGGCATTCGAGTCACCAGTTTATTTGGCACGGGCGGAACGAATGTTCAATAAACGAAGAACTTAAAAAAGTTTACCACATTTGTATGAATCACCCTGTATGTTTGGAAATAATTTTAAATTGTTTCTTTTAGTCTTATCTATAACTTTTGTATTTAAAATACTTTTTAAAATAAATAATAAATGAGATATACGACTTTAAGATACTATACCAAAATCTAGTCAGAAGTTCGCGAGAAAATTAATTTTGTATTCAAATGTTAGTAGTGAGTTAATTTTGATGCGGAGATTTTTTTGTTTGTTGAATCGAGACTTTGAACAGGTTCGATGGGCCGACCTGGAAGAACAGAAACAACAGAAGAAGATGAGGGCGTTGGGTTTCGTCGTAGGGCACACGAACTGGGACCGAATGATGGATCCTTCGAGCGGAGCGAACGCGTTGAGGCAGACGAAGTACATTGAGAGAGTGAATCGTTTTTGAAGTGTTGACTTTTTCATTAGTTTAAGACTGTATGCACTTTACATTAGGGCGTATATATTGCTGGATTACTATTCTAATTGTTTAGTCGCCGTTATCATAGATCAATATCGCTACGATTTATTTTATATGGAAATAATTTATTCAATACATTCTTGTAATATATATTAAATTTTGTTTCATTCCTTAGGCGATAAAAATAAAAAAAAAAATGAAAAACGGAATGAATGTTTTAATTTTACTTACCTTTTTTATTATTGGAAAATCCTTTTTATAAATTATTTTTGTTTCTAATGCTAAATATATTAATTATAAATATTATTCAAATATGAGTATTTAAAATCACAATGTCTTCGTATTATGTTGGTTTGTAGAGAGGATAACGTGCTATTTTTAAAACTAGATTTCCGATAATTTCTTCTGGAACATTACGACAAAGCATCGCGTATGTTTTTTTTTCGGAAAAATATGGACATTTTTATTTCCTAAGGGCTCTATATTTCCTTCTATGGCATAGCGAAGACTATCAGAATCAAACGGCAGACGGTCCTAATTTATTTTATCCCTTGTGTATGCTGTGGATGGGAGGAAGAGTTTGGGCTTAACCTCACTTTAATTGCCACAACAACGGGGCTGAAACGTCAAATTTTCGTTAAATGGAAAGTCATTCCGACCACCAAGTGCGTCTTTCGGTAAATAGCTAAAATCTTGGCGCGGTTCGGCGTTATTCGGCAATAGCGCCCTTAGCATGGAAGGAAAAAACACGGTAAGATCCAAAAAATGCAGTTTCGAACGCGTGTTTACTACCGCAATGCTTTGCCAATAGCGGAAAAACATATTTATCGGCTGACGCATTGTTTTCATTGGACTGATATGTTTTGAAACGCGCAGTTCTTTAAAGATAAGCGGTTTCACGCAATCGACTGATTAAAAATGATTATTTCAAGGGGACAGTGCAAGGAATTACCAGCTGGTATGGTAAAAAATGTAAACAAACAATGCCTAATGCATTTTAGTGAAATTATAAGAATGTTTTGGCTGATAATAATTCTTTATACAAGTGTCGTAGACAAGATTTAGATAGCTCCAGGATCTTGCCCTTTTTAGTTTTGGTTAGTGTAAGTAAATTAGTCTGGGTTGGACAAAATTGACTTTATGGTAAGCAGAACTTCTAAAAGAAATTGGATTTTTTTTCTTCCAGAATCTCATATTGTTATCTTTTTTTATTAAACCGAAGTTATTGACAAACCTAAACCAGGGAAAAAATATATCCCTTTACTCCATAATTTACCTTTTTTTCTGAAGACATAATGTTATCCGAATCTTATCTTCAAGGACACGATAGTTTAAACATGCTTGGGACATAATATATTGATAATGTTTTTTGTAGTGATCCTGATCAAAAATATGTCGGCTAGAATGGAGCAGACTTTATCAGGCCCAAATAAAAAGAAGTACAACATGGCATCGCGTTCACCTCTAATCCTGAACTCTTTAGATCCTAATATCAACAATCGGGAAAATGGTAGTGTCGATCCCCCTTCTCTATCGGATAGAGTTTCTTCCCAGCTCCTCGAGCAGCAGCTAGAATCGCTCAATCTTCAGGGAAACGTCAATCGGGGTTGCAGCAGTATTTTGTTGCTCGATGGAAGTGAAAACCTCAACATAAAATCGGAAAAGCTATTTTTGTCCGCTTTAAATTTGGAACCCAACAAAAAAGTGAAAGTTGTGTCCATATTCGGCAATACCGGAGAGGGTAAATCCTTTACTTTGAATAAGGTGTTCTTCAATGGCGACGAAGTTTTTAAAACGTCATCGGCTCAGACTTCGTGTACTATGGGGGTTTGGGCAAAATATGACCCCAACTTGAAAGTTATTTGTTTGGATACTGAAGGACTTTTAGGTGAGTTAATTGTTAAGATATAGATATAGATTGAGGTACTGGCAAACCACTTAGAATTGTCAAACAACTTCGGAATTATCAATATAAGTAAACCAAATGGGATAGTAAAGAATGCTTTTTTTCAAAATTGGGCTGTTTTCTTTACCATTGCTGACTGTTAATATTCTAACTAGATTTACGTGTTATCGCTAGAAGAAGATTTATAATCTTATTGAATATATAGTCAGAAATTATAATATATCCAAGAAGAAAAAAAAATCCAATTATATAATACATACAAAATAAGGTTCCCTTTTCCCTTAACTCCGGAATTATGAATGAGAGAACTTGCATAGTTTCATGCCAACTTTCTTATTTTAAATAAAACACCATTTATAGTAATGGCATTTTACGTCTAACAGTATTTGACAAATCTTGAATTAAATAATAAATGATTTGCACTTTTTCCAATAAGGGAGCCTTAATTTTATGATTTTGGTTGTGTAAAGGGACTTATTCTCATATATCGAGTAAATGGAAATTACTACAGGGAGAACAAAAATGAAGCACAAAAATTAAGTTACAAAAAATGTAAAAAGTTAACATTTTCAAAGGGGAACACCCTATTTATATTATTTGATCCGATTTGGCGTTACAAAATGAATATGCCTTTGTATAAATTTGTTTATTCAGGAACATAAAAATTACTTAATATATATCAGATATAAAAAATTGATAAAACAGCGTTTTTCATATGGATTCTTTTCAAATATCCCGAGTAGCGGGTTTGAACTGATTGGGTATATTTTTTACGATTTTTGATTTGCGGTAAATGGTATACTCGGAATAGAACAATTTTCTTGATCCTTTAAATTTTTGTCTATAATTGGAAAACCCTGTATATAATCAAAAAAATGCCCGAAATAAATGTTATAATATAAATTTTGACGATCCGGTGAATAGTGGTTAATGGTAAAAAAAAAAATACTTGGTGAAATTTTATTGCACCCAATTTCTACTGTTTAAATGTGGGCATGGACTTTTACTTCTCTGCTGTATTTTAAGTCGATATGTGCAAATTGAGGACACTTAACACATTTCTTATATAGCACGAAATATCGGGAACACCCTTTACAATAGATGAAAATCCTAAATACAAAAATTTTAGCTCTCTATACGGGTTATATCGTCATGTAAATGAACCAAACGGTTTTCGAGAAATGATTTTTTTCTTAGACCCTTGCAGACGCGATTTTTTATTTTCTTTTAAATACTTCCCGACCCCCCGAACCACCCGTTAGGAGACCAGACGCTATTTGATTTCCAAATTTGAAGTCGACATTACCCCGTGGACGGTTAAAAAGGAGCAAAATTTGAAGCGTACAGATCAAACCGTTCGGAAGTTATCGTCGAAAAACCCTGGAACAGAATGAAGAACGGACAGATCAAAATTTTTTTTTTCGACGCTGATAATTTCGGTACCAATGGCGGTCCCCCAGGACCAACCGTTACCGAGATCTCGTGTTTAGTGAAGAGCGCGTATATTTTCGAAAAATCCGCATTCATCGATTTTTCGAAAGTAACAAGATTGCTTTCGAAAAATCGTTGCTGGGTAGGGCAAGTTTGCATATCGCGAAGCAGCTTTTTATTTTAAAAAGAAAGTGCTTCGCAGTTTCTTGTGGTAAAGTAAAGTAAAATATCTTTCTATCTGCGAACCACTATGGAACTTTCTCAAAATCGATGTAATTTTATTGTGCATACACTCTGTATAAAGTGTGTTTCAAGCCTCGCCAAACTTCAAAGTTTCAGCAAATTTTGTTAAATATTTAAATTTGTACAAATAATAGGGTGTGTCGAATGATATTTTTTCAAATACCTCGCGCGCCTTGTAAAAATTAACGAAACCTGAAACTCTCTCTCGACACAGTTTACGATACCGTTCAAATCAAATAAACGGATTTTCAGCAGTCTTTCATTTGTCCCCAATAATTTACCAACAAAAACGAAAATTTTTAGGATATTCGTGATATTTTTACCCATAAACGACACACCCTGTATATGATTCACACAATGTTCGAAATAAATGTTATAGATAGCCCTGGATCTTCCACAATTCCTGGTATTTGATTTTTTTCAATGGAGTAAGTGGTTTTCAATAAAATATTTGTTTTCTGAAGTCATGCAGCACGTGGTAATAGTAAATGAGGTTATCACAATTGAAAAACCCTGTATATAATCCAAAAAATGCCTAAAATAAAACTCATAGCCCCGGATCTCCCACATTTTCTGGCTGTAAAATTTTGCCGATCGGTTGAAGGAGCTACCGTTGCCGAGATATAAGTTTCGTTGCCAAGCGGCGCATACTTTTGAAAAATTCTATTTTATCGATTTTTCGAAATTAACAAGGCTCTGTTGTTTTAGGCATATCTAATAAAGAAAACCAACGTACTCGGCTTTTACTCAAAGTGTTGGCCATTTCCGACATCATTATTTACCGAACGAGGGCCGAACGCTTGCAGAAGGACATGTACACCTTTCTGGGAGCTGCTTCTAAAGCGTACAGAGACCACTTTAGCGCGGCGCTGCAAAAGGCCTTATCGAAAGCCGATGGGGAAAAAATCGTGCCAGGTATTCGAACCAATAGAAAAACCGACAGCGAGTTTTTGATTTTATAAAATAGGTCTAGGCCCGGGTGTCGTTGTGTTCCACGAAACCCGTCACACGGAAACCCTGTTCAAAAGCACCAGTGTGACGCAATCGGCAGAGGACATAATAAGAACCACTTTCGGTGAACTCGACTTGAGTTGCGACGCTTTTAGTTTCCTGAAATACGTCGGAGTCAAGACCCAGGGACACACCGAGACGTCCTTTACAGAGTTGAAACGCGCCTTGGAGAAGGAACTGGAAAGTACGGACGTACGGTCGCCACGGGACGCGAAATACATTTATATGATGCTAAAGGTACGTCGCTACGCGCTCTTGATCGAAGGAATAACGGTCAAAAATCCAGTGCCAACAATTTGAAGGAAATGAAATGGTTATAGAGTTTCACTGCTTTACTCGGTTATCTGATATCGCTCGATAATGTAATGTCTAGTGCACAGTGAAGACCTATCATTAGAAGTAACAGTAAATGGCTACAAAAACAAACTGCTAAAAACTTTCACTTGCTGTTTCTGCGGTATTTAATATTTCGATTTTGTAGGCTATGCAGGTATAAATTTAAAAAATCGTTTCGTTAACATTAACTCGCAATAAAATAATACCACTTACGACTAATATCAACTTTTAACTGACATATCTCTGAAAATATTCAGAATAAACCAGTAACTAGGTGTAAAATAGTCAGCAGTTGGCTTGAAATTATTGAAAAAAAAAACAATTTTTGACAACAACTCACAACAAAATATTACCACTTACAAGAAATGTCAACTTTTATCTGACATATTTCTGAAAATATTCTAAATAAATAATTAACTATAAGGTTGTTCGGAAAGTCATTTCGTTTTTTCCCGTCAGAGGACTTAATTACGTTTTTTCGAAACCAACTTCACACTTAAGCCGCATAACCATTATATGTCTTGAGAGCTGATATTGCAAGGCTTGTGTGTGAAAAAGTTCTATTAATTCTACGCAGTAGTTTTTGGTTGGTGCCCTTTTAAATATGGAGAGCAATAAGTAGCATTTTCGTCATATTTTACTTTTTTACTTCAGAAAAGGTAAAAATGCTATCCAAGCGAGAAAAAAATTGACGGATGTGTATGGAGAAGGCGTGTTAACAGTACGCCAGTGCCAGAACTGGTTTGCAAAATTTCGATCCGGCAATTTTGATGTCGAAGATGCACCACGGTCTGGAAGGCCGGTCGAAGCTGACAAAGATGCGATAAAGGCATTAGTTGATGCAAATCGGCGAATAACCACACGAGAGATCGGTGAGAGATTAAATTTGTCGAATTCGACTGTTTATGGCCATTTGAAAGGCATGGGCTTAACCTCGAAGCTCGATGTGTGGGTGCCCCATGTCCTTACGGAGCGAAATTTGTGTCGTCGCGTTGACGTGTGTGATTTGCTCCTCAAACGTCAAGAAAATGATCCATTTTTGAAGCGGATTATTACTGGGGACGAAAAATGGGTTGTATACAACAATGTTAAACGCAAGAGGTCATGGAGCAGAAAAGATGAACCGGCTCAAAGCGTGTCAAAAGCCAACATTCACCAAAAAAAGGTGATGCTCTCCGTTTGGTGGGATGTCAAAGGAATCGTTTTTTTTTGAGCTTTTGCGGGGCAATACAACGATTAATTCAGAAGTCTATTGTCATCAACTGGACAAATTGAATGATTCACTTAAAGAGAAGAGGCCCGAATTAATCAAAGGAAGGGTGTAGTGTTCCACCAGGATAATGCGAGACCTCACACAAGTTTGGTCACTCGCCAAAAACTTTTACAGCTTGAATGAGACGTACTGCAACATCCACCATATTCTCCAGATCTGGCGCCTTCCGACTACTATTTGTTCCGGTCCCTGCAAAATTTTTTGGATGGCAAAACCTTTACCTCAAATGAAGATGTCAAAAACCACCTGAACTAGTTTTTTGCCAGCAAGGACCAAAACTTTTATGAGAGGGGAATTATGTTACTGCCAGAAAGATGGTGTTGGACCAGAATGGCCAATATATAATTTAATAAAATATTTATTCATTATACGAAAACTGTCTTTCATGTTCCCCAAAAAAAACGAAATGACTTTCCGAACAACCCAATAGTTATAGGGTATAATAGCCAACTGCCAGTTCATCTCAAATTATTACAAATTCGCCTGAAATTATTGAAAAATAAATTTTTGAGCATCAACTCATAATAAAATCGCACCACATGCAAGAAATGTCACTTTTTAACTGACATGTTTCTAAAAATATTCTTAATAAATTAGCAGCCAGGTGTACGGTATAATAGCCAGCAGCCAGTTCTGAAATTATTGAAAATTTTGAAAAGTTTTAACAGTTCACAATTATAAGAAATTTCAACTTTTGACTGACGTATCTCTGAAAATATTCAGCATAAACCATTAACTAGGTGTGGGGCATAATAGCCAGGAGTTCGCTTAAAATTATTGAAAACATTATTGAAAAACAGTTTTAACGTCAACCCGCAGTATAACTTACAAGAAATATTAAATTTTTTTTACCTCACATATTTTTGAAAATATTCAGAATGAACTATTAATTAGGTGTAGGGTATAACAGCCATGAGTTCGTCTGAAATGATTGAAAAATGGTGTTTTAACATCAATTCATAATAAAATTACACCACTTACAGGAAATGTCAACTTTTAACTGACTTATCTCTGAAAATATTCAGCAGAAACCGGTTGCTAGGTGTGAGATATAATAGTCAGGAGTTCGCCTGAATTTAGTGAAAAAAAGTATTGATAAATAGATTCTTAACATCAGCCCACAATGAAATCACACCATTTACAAGTAATGTCGACTTTTAACCCACATAACTCTGAAAATATTCAGCATTAACATTAGCTAGGTGTAGGCTGTAGTAGTCAGTAGTTCGCCTGAAGTTCTCAAGTTGGCATTTCCGATTTTCGGCCGGGATTTCCCTGAAACTCGCCTCCGTGCTGTCCCGATCGAATCCTACGTTTCGCAGAGTGTTAACGAAAAATTCTTGAGTCCCATTAACGACACCAACCCGCAGCAATATCTCGCCGCCTTTTTCACGTGTCCCGACAAGTGTCAGTCGTGCAGGGCCGGGTGCAGCCTCTCCATGGGCCACAAAGACGAGGGCGAGCCTCATTTCAGCAACAAAGTGTGCAAATACCAACACCAATATCAAAACTGCGTGTATTTGTGTAAGGTTAGTCGGTTCCCGTTTGACGATGTGTCCTTTAACTGAGGGCAAAACATATCTTTAAGCAATGTTACAAGACGGGAAGCCGAGTGGTGGTCAAGCCGAGCTACCAGACCATGAACGAAACTTCGTGGACGTCGTACTTGAATTACGTGTGGTCGGGTTACGTCATCGAGTGCCCGAATTGCGGGGAAATATACCGCAGTAGGCAGCACTGGTACGGCAATAAGAATCCGGAAGAAGGCGCAGTGAGAACGGAGATTGTCCACATCTGGCCGGGGGTGAGTGCGTTTAATATTTTCCAAGGCTTATTAGAACACTACAGGTGTTTGCAAAAGTCATCACATTAATTTGTAGTGATTGTTTTACTGTCAGGGAGTAGAGTAGACTAGTCATTTATTCATCAATACCAATATAACAAAAGAAAGAAGTGACAATGTGTCCAAATATTTGAAAAAATTATATGGGAGGTCCAAGTACTGGGTCAAAGTAATATATCTGGTTTATTTTTTCTTTTAGAACACTACAGGTGTTTGCAAAAATCATTGTGATTGTTTAGTGTCAGGAAGTAGAGTAGAATAGTCATTTATCCACCGATATTGATATAGCAAAAAAATATCTCGTTTATTATTTGAATAATAAAAAATATTAAATACAAACGTTATAGATGAGACTAAAACAAACAATTTAAAATTATTTTCAAATATACATGGTGATTTTTGAACATTATTGTATTAATGTACCGGGTGTTTTAACTTTTAGTATACAGGTTGGTAAAGTTTTCAAAATTAAAAAATATTTTTTTAATATCTATAATACCACTTTAGATATTTTCATGAAATTTGACACGCACATATTATGTATCAAGAGGGATCATTTAGTGTACCACAATTTTTTAAGAACACACCAGTGGCGGGCATACTGAATTTCAGTTTTCTATTTTGGCTGTCTATTGATGGTACGCCACTTAAAATAAAAATTTTTCTTATAATCTCCAATCATTTCTAATGAAATTTAATTTCTTGATTTTTTGCAATCCGATGTACACGGTTTTCGCTTAAACAATTAAAAACCTCTTAAGCAATCGTCAATATGAAGTAAGTATAGTTAAAAAAATAAAATAAATTTTAATAAGATTCGTTTATTTATCTTGTTAGGATCCTTCGGAATATTTAGTAAATTGTATATTAAAGTTTATATTTTATTGAAACCCACAACTAGAATATAACAAAAAAGGACAACAGAAGTGACTACAATAAATATTTCAATTCAACAAATTGATCGACGGACATTAATATTAATACTTTTAATACCAAGTATTGCATTTTCAAAATTTATTATCAGGATTTGAGGGGTTTAAGAGCTGTTTTTTTCTCAGCTGCCATCACTTTCTTTAAGTTGCTTTGCATTAATAATTATTATTATTATTATCATAATCTTGGTTAGTTAGTTGGTTAGGCTGGTCTCCGGGCTTGATTCGTTAAGATAACTCTAAATGAAAAACACATTTTCGTTGCCCCTTTTTCTGCTCTATAACTCGGTATGATTAAATATTGAATCTGACCTTTCGGCTTTTGGCGAACATCATCAATTTTTTAAATACAGACTTGTTTTTTTTTTTTTCAATTTAATTAAATCCTTTCATCACTCGTAAAACACTATGGAAGTTTTTTTCTGAAAAATTCTGATTTTATTAACGATTTCGAGTTAATGTTAAAAATTCACAACTTATAAAAAGTTAATTCTATTAGCGATAATAAAAATAATAATAATAGTAAGGCTTATTCTTTCAAGCTACAAATATGAAGAAATGGTAAGAGAAGGAAGTGCCACTGAACTACCATCCAATTTTAATGTTTTTTAAATGGAAATAGTAAAATCATTTATTTTATATTTATTAATTGTTTAAGCTGTTTGATTAGAAAAAAGTCTTCTGTTGGGGTGAAATCTTTTACAAGAGAAAAAAATTCCAACTCTTCAAATCCACGGCGAAGGTTTGGTTTAATTATTGAAAATGCCTTCTTTAGACATAATTTGCTTTAAATTTCAAATTCTCATCGTTCCTCACGTAAATATGCAAACGCCTGTTTCTATTCCCTCCTTTGCCGTTCGCTAATTAAAATAATAACTTGATATCACTGTAAGAAATGTATTTGCCTTTGCAACAAGTGTTCTTTTGAGCCTCCGTCATGGCTTTCATCCCATAGCGACAAATAAACGCCGCCCGTTAATAGGACAAGGCGTATTTTCAGGAAAGAGTACTTTTGAGCAGCCAAAATTCCGCCCAGAAAGTGCTCGACGGTGTAAACGTGATCACGGACGTGGTCGCCAACGTTAGCTGTCAACCGACGAGAGTGCTGACTAGCTGGGTAGCGGACAAAATCGCCCCCAGCTATTGGAGACCTAACCACGAGATTAAGGTGCTTAAAGTTTTATTATAACGTGACGGATACTTATAAAGATGTTTGTAAGAGACGTTAGCTGTTATAACAGTTTTATAAAAAGGCAATTGGTGTTATAATACCAAAAGACTTTAACTTTTATAAGATTAAAATCGAAAAGTTTATGTTTCTCTATCTTATAAAACCTTAGTACTTCATAAAACTCTCATACATCTCAAAACATCTAATAAATGTTTTATTGCTACTAGGAAATCTAAAGAATTTCAAAAAAACTGATACTCCAGTAACAATTTCTTTTTAAGTAGAAAGTGGCCGCAATGTAAGTTATGGCAGGCTTTATAGAAACTGTGCCAAAGCTAGGTGTGCAAAATTTTATATCCAATAATTTATAACACGAAAACAATAAAGAATCTGTTTACAATAAAAAACGAGGACAAATAAAAAAACAATTCAAAAATAAGGTTATGATTTCATAATTGTCATTTGATACATTTTATAAATTCCTTTTTGGTAGCCCTATGAAATCTAGGAGTATTTCAAATCCCGTTAGGTTTTATCGTAAGGGCAGTAATGCTGTTAGATACACGAGTAAGTATTAGAAAATTTTCCAAAATGTGTAATATTGCTAATATAAACCAACGGGCAAACGTCAAATGTCAATTATGCAAAGCTAAGCTTTTCAGTTTTCACTTTCTGCTAAGCTTGCTTTTTAAAATTGTTTAAACCCAAGAAGTTGGGAAAACAGTAATTTTTAGGTGATCACAGTTCAACAGTCCCCCCCTCCCCTAAAAAAGAGAAATGGAAACATACAAACAATAATTTATGAAGTTATGAATTTGTGAATTATGAAACAATAATTTTATGTTATTAGAAGATAATAGGCACTGCCACACAAGTATCTTTCAAAAACCTAGCATAGGAGTGAAACATTTTGGTATAGGTCTTGATGAAAGTCTAAATTTTGGCCTATTTCTTTTAGATTTTCTCTAGTTTTGGGCGATTTATAGCCTGGTGCGTTTTGCAAAATATCACAGGATTTCTAGAAAACCTAGCAGCAGTTTTTGTTGCCACTGTTGGTTAGCTTTTAACATCTTTAAGAAAACGATTACTAAACGCCATAACCGCAAAACAACTTATTAAAAGTTTTTTTCGCATTGTAAAACCAACGCCAAAGGTTTTTTTTATATAAAGTAATGGAAATGTTTTGGACGTAATTTTCTAAAACTTGAAAATAATGGTTTTTTTTATAAAATTATATTTATTTATTTAATCACATTCAAAACAATATTTGCACTTAAAAAGATTGAACTGAGGTGACTTTTAGTTGATGAAAATCCATTTAACAAAATAAATAAGAACTAAAAGTTCAAATTTTCACGAAATTATATATTTTGACATGACAATTGTTTCGACAACACCGTGTCTTTATCAAATGTAATATTTACAAACTACCTGCTACTATATATACCGAAAAATGACCATAAAACCTTAATTCATTTTGTTTTGAGAATTTAAGTTCAATAAACGAGAGCTATTTAAATCTAATTGATCGTTAAGCAACACATTTGAATGCCTCATTTTGTTAATCTCCATGGCTTCCAATAAATTTAATTTTCTACTTTTTGTGGTTATCTGTAAAATATGAAAATTGTCGTGAAAAATGTGTTTTTTTGTGTTTAAGGGTGTAGCATAATTAGAATCTAGACTATTGTTTTTAAACGCTCTTTTATGTTCATTAATGCGTTTCTTGAAGGATCTACCTGTTTGTCCAATATAAATTTTAGGACAAGATCCGTAATTCAAACCGTAGACACCTGATTTTTGAGATTTTGGTCATTTCGTTTTATTGTTTTTTTAAAAATTTTCCTATTGCGTTATTAGTTCTGAAAGCTATTTTTAAACCACATTTTGACAAATGAAACTTTTTCACTAGGTTCTGTTATGTATGTAATTATTTTAAATTGTTCTTGTTCTGTATTAGGTTTCGAATAAATAGAGTTTACTGTTGTCTTAAATTTCTATTGGACAAACAGGTAGATCCTTCCAGAAACGCATTAACGAACATAAAAGAGGGTTTAAAGACAATAGTTTAGATTCTATTTATGCTACACACTTAAACACAGAAAAACACATTTTTGACGACAATTTTGATATTTTACATACAGCCACGAAAAATTAAATTTATTGGAAGCAACAAAATGAGACATTGAAATGTTTTGCTTAAGGATCAATTAAATTTAAATACCTCTAGTTTATTGAACTTACATTCTCACAACAACATTAATTAAGGTTTTAATGTCGTTTTTCGGTATATACAGTAGAAGGTAGTTTATAATATTACATTTGATAAAGACACGGTGTTGTCGGAACAAGTGTCGTGTAAAAATATATAATTTCGTGAAAATCTGAACTTTTAGTTCTTATTTATTTTACATAAAAAGATACATATGTTTCGTCATAAAATGCCTACAAACAAATGCAATATAGAAACAATACATAATAAAACAAAATATAACATTTACTTCGTTGATATCACTTATAGACTCCTTCGGCAATCGTTTAACCGTTCTCCCACTCTCCTTCGAGGAAGTTTTACTCAATATTTTTTTTGTTGAATTTTAAATTTGCCTTATATAGTCCCACCTGGGACTCAACTCATGACGTAGAACTCGCAAGTTATGATGTGATTTAGAATTATATCTGTGAATTTTGCCAGATGTTAAAAAGTTACATAATGAAATCACAGTATCTTTAGCTACCTGAAGAGGTCTAAAGGAAAAGATACCTTTTTTAAATGTTATTGTTCTTATGATTTCGTTTTGGGCAGTCATTAACGGAGAGTTACAGAATTCATCAGTTTCCAAGATAATTTAAAATCTAAGTTTATGCGCAAGAATTTTACAACTCTGTCCGGTGGGGAGAAAATGACTGACTCTGTTTTAGTCATGCCCAAAGCATTGGATCACTTGTGGATCCACTGAGTTGTAGAGTATCACAACTTGTCACAACAAGAGCCATATCATCTGCAAATAGTTATTTTTTATGTCATAAATAAAGATTAGAACAAGAAGCGACACATGGATGCTGCCTTGTGGTACATCCCTTTCAATTAGCCGCCATTCTGAGCGGAATTCTTTCTGGATCTGTTTTGGAATTTGAAGATCGCCAACTATATGGCATATTTAATAAGTTTCATGTTTAACCATTTCCACTAATAAGCTAATTATTCATTTTCTGAATAATTGTCATTTTGGAAGCGGATCTGATCCTCAAATAAGCTGATGAACTTACTTAAAAGTCCACTGCAATAAGCTTTTCCATGAATTTTGGAAACAACTGAGAGCTAGGTCTATGCTAACTATCTGTTATTATTATAGCTATTTTTATTTTGCGTTTTGAGGAATGGAAAACCGCCTCCCTAGAGGACTGAGTATTAAGAAAAGCTATTACAAGAGTTAAGGTTCCTTATAACAGTATGTTGCGTTATAATAAAAACTTTAAGCTGCGAGAAATTTGTTTGACGAGTGTAAATACGAACGCTCGCGATCCCGCAGGAATGTTTCAAATGCCACACCCCCTTTGCTCCTGCCGCCACCAAGCATCATTGCCGTTCCTGCGGCGAGGGTTTCTGCGAGAACTGCTCGTCGAAACGTAGACCGGTGCGTCACAGGGGTTGGGATACAGACGTGAGGGTGTGCGACGATTGTTACGCGGAAATGGAAGAATCGGAACAGGACGCCAATAGCATTTCGCAGGACGGATTGGCCGAGATAAGGGCGCGCCAAATCGGGGAAACGGTGGTCAATCTGATATCCGCTGGGAAATCCGTGCTGGACATTCCCAAAGACTTTATAAAGGTAACGGGTTACTGTTATTTATAAATCTTCCGGATTCCTGCTTGCCGATCATCCTGTTCGCCTCTTCGGAACGCAAATGACATCTGCTTATATGCGGTCTGAGGGGCGGAGGGGGGAGCTAAAGGCGAGGCAAAACCTTACAAAGACCTTTGATCATAAGGTTCAATTACTTGGTTCTTATATAGAATGTTAATTCAAATTTACAAATGTTCGACTTCAGATTTGGCGGAAGGGTAGAAGTCCACACCCGCATTTCGTCTGTTGAAAAAGGACTTACGCAAAGTATTTTTTAAAAAATTTTGAATTTTTTTTTGATATATTTTAACTTTCAGAAAAAAATTATTTTCTCGAAAACTATTAACCCGATCGGCAAAATTTGTGAATCGGGAAATGCGGAAGATCCGGGACTATAACTTGGAGCGTTTTTCAATTATAGACAAAAAATCTAAAAGACCCTGAAAATCGTTCATTTCGCTATTAAATTATTAGCCATAAATCAAAATTCGTCAAAAATATTGCCAATTTTTTTAAATGATGTGGCCTTTACATCGAGAGCTACAATTTTTGTATTTACGCATTTCGTATAGCACATACGCTGTTCGAAATACTTCAAAAAATCTAAATGAAAATCACCATTTCTCTCCTTCAATTTAGACGTGGTGACGTCATTTACTTATTACGACATAATGCGTGGTATCAGAAAACAAGTATTTTTTCGAAAACCATTTACTCTATTGGAAAAATTATTATATCGGGAAACGTGGGGGATCTAGGTCTATAACTTTTTATTATGTACAGGATGTGTCGATTATTTGAAAAAAAAAAAAACAAAGAGATCCTGAAAATTGCTGTTTTCGTGGGTAAAGTATTAGCCGTTAACGAAAAACTGTAAAAGATATGAAAATTTCTTTTAAAGCGTATTTTATGAACTGTATCGAGACCTACAATTTTCATATTTACGGCTTTCGTCCACTACACAGTGCGTGAGATATTTGGAAAAACATAATAAATAAAACCATAAATCATCATAAAATGTCGACATTTGCAAAAAGTTGTTCCGGATTCGGATTTCTCATCATTGGTCAGGAATTTTTGATTTATGTCTCGCCTATTTCGAACTGTGGGAAATTGAAATCAAAACAATACCAAAAAGTCCCACAGAAGTTGTACCGTTTGCCTTTGGGAACGGTTTTTGTGGGAGGCTGAAAATTCTTAATAAATAATTAATTACAAGTAATTGGAGGGGGTTGGGGGGGGGGACTTTTTGGTATCTGCGGACAGACCTCATCGATCTCCGTCTTCAATAATTTTTCAACCTTCTTGAAGCAACGTAATTTAGAAAAATTAAATAGATACGGAAAAAATATTTTTGAAATTGTTGTTCCAATTTTCAAATGCGAAGTAATTAGATTTACTTTATAAATTAAAAAAATAAATAAGACTTGATTAAAGAAAAACATCACATGTTAAAATGTTGAAATAAAACAACGTGGAACATTTCACAAGTCCACAGGACCCTAAGAAGACCTTTTATTAATTTTCTGACTTTTCGCAAATCAACCTGTGAACTTCTTCAGAGCTAAGTGAGGGACCTGGACGTTGTCTCTGATGATCTAGCGCTACAAAAATTAGATAGATAGATAGGGAAAAAAAGTTGTCACTACAATTGGCAATTGCTGAGTGATCAGACATAAAGTATAAATTTTTGTTTATATATTTGGTGTTGTCTTTTTAATGTATTACATTAAGAATTTAAAAGTTGATTTAAAAAAACACCACAGATTAAAATTTTGAAGTCAAACAACTTGTAGCAATAAGTCGACAAGATCTTAAATCTTCTGACTTGTACTTTCTACCTGCTTATGTATTGTTTGAGGTGGGTGGAGTTAAATAATATTACTAAAGTGAGTAGCGATTAAAACTGTTCGATTGCTTATAGATTTCTATGGATTGTCGGATTTTTCTTTGGTGGAAGAATTAATTACACACAAGAATTTTCGTTCGTTCGTTCTGCTACTGACGTTTTGTCTTTGTCACTCTTATTTAATTTCCCATTAAAGTGACAGGGATAGAACAATCGTTTTCATGCGAAAGCAGTTTTCGTAGTTCATTAATCGGCACCCAGTTGTCTCAAATGGAATTTTGTCTGGAAAACTTTTTAGTTACCTTCTAAAATATATTAAGTTACACCCAAAAATGTGTAATCCCGTGTGTGATATTCATCGATGCGTAATTTAGAGTACTTAAATATCTTGGATGGTACCCTGTCTTGACCTTTGTACAACTGTCATTCGATTAGACGGTGGACAAGTCCGCATTCTGTCTTCTTGGCAAGCAAAAAGTCTTTTTTAAATTGGCATCATTTTCCTTTACATCTGGTTTCCAATATCCTGCTCCAACTGCAGAAAGACCATAGCAATAATAAACAAAAGTGAGGTTAGGCTACTATTTATTTTTCTTTTAATGATTTGTTTAGTTTTTTAAAGTACCTTAAATTTTTAAATAAACAATGAATAAAATACAAGATATATTAATAACGGACGAAAAAATGTCAGGCTGTCAACACGAAAACGCGCGAACAGCGGAAAATTATCATCATTAATTCTTTTAATTGAATAATCTGCAGGGACTCTATTCCGAATAATTTTCGAAACTAAATCACTGCATTTATATCGGTTTGTGAACAAAGGGAGAAATTCCCGCGACGGATGTCGGCCTTGGGCGAGTGTCCATAGTGGACTCACTTCCTTTAAAGGCAAAAGAAGTCGAAAAAGTACTCTGTGTAATGACTTACCATATCCGTCAATATTTATTTATTTTACCTATGCGTTATATAGCATATCTAAGAATTTTGTAGAATGCAAAGCACTAGCAGTGCAAAGAGAAAAAGGCGATCAAATCTTATCATCATACTTAATCGTGCTTATTTTTTGGTTAATTTTAAACAGTATTTGCTCTTTTCCTAGTCTGTTATAAACTGATTTGGCCTGAAATTAGGTTTGATCAGCAGATTACTCGAGGTACAGATTAAGGTATAGAATCTTTAATGTCTAATTGTCTGGCGTATACGGTTATCAGATTGAAGTGAATAGTTTCCTATCGTAGGAGACGGCCAGACCCAGCTACTGGACGCCCGACAGCGAGTGTCTCAACTGCGTCTTATGCAAGAATCCCTTCGGTGCGCTGTTGCCACTGCACCATTGTCGCGACTGCGGCAGAGGAGTTTGTGATAACTGTTCGAATTCGAGGCGGAGCGTTCCGGCTAGGGGTTGGGACGCTCCCGTACGAGTGTGCGATTCGTGCCGTTAAAGAGTAAGCATAATGGATTTCTTTCCTTTTGGTCATCTTGGAAAAATATAAATTTGGGTTAGTTCCAACGCGGTTACTTTTGGAGGGACAAACGATGAGATGAAATATGAAAATATAGTGGTTTATGTTTGCCGGGCTAACAAATTCAACTAAAAGATGAATTTTCGTGTAGAAGAACAACAATTGAGGTTTAAATATTCATCTAAGTCAGCGAGGTTTTATCTTTACTTAGCTATGGGTTTCGTCCGCTGTTCTGAGTATATAACTATCTGAATATATTTTATTAAAAAAAAAAGCTCTGGTTGAAAATTTTGACCAGACCAAGACCTCAAGCCCTAAACATTTATAATTTTTTTAAATTAATTTAAGTAATAAACTAACTCTACAACAAGAGTGTGGTAATATCCTATTATAATGTTTATTTGGAGAAAGTTATTCATTATCGATCTTGAAAAAAAAATGAAATCCGTTTGTTTTTCACTCAACTTCAATCACAAAATATTATTTTAAAAATAACATTTATTGCTGAAAATCATTTATTTATATTAGTATAATATTATATTGGTAAATATAGACTTTTTCATCCTTATATCGTTCTTGAAACATAACAGTCGATTTTTTTGGCCCGAAATGTTCATGTGCTTTTTTAAAATTTTATGTGATTCAATTTTATCTCTTTCTTTTTGTTTCTAGATCAACGATTTTGATATTACAAGATTTTCGACCCTTTTTTACCTGCAACGGTACATCACCTTTTGGGACTGTGTGTTTGGCAGTGTATTTTTAAGTGATTGAGAGGAAAATAGTAAAAAATCATACAGATACGGGGTGACATTGATTGGTAGTCCACGCATATGTACGTCGGTTTCTCTATCTAACCGCCTTTTTTTTCTGGAACCGACTCGCTTGGGCTCGAAGTTTTTAGTGGGTTTTATATTTTGTCCAAAAATTTGTCGCTATGCTTACATTTTTCTTTTTTATAATTTTTATATGGTTTTTATGCCATGGTACGTTTTTATACAGGGGTGATTGACGACGAATTGTATGTATAAAGGATGATTCAAGTTGACGTTCTGAAGATTTAAATAGGTTTATTTTTGCAAATTTTGCTAAGTGCGTCAGCATCGCCGGTTCTGTCTTCTTCTGCCGGTTTTCAATGTAAATAGTGCTTTCGAATCTTGATACTTGGTCTCGGATATCGGATTTCGTGTTTTATGTGAAAGTTTTAAAGAACAGGATACCTCGGCTGCGTCTTGTACTGCTTTTGTGCACTTCATTTGGGTTTTCACCATCTAACACGTCAAGCACTCAAGAAGGTTACTTCCTTGGTAGATACCGGCAAAGGTAGATGCAGTCACCTCTTATAAAAAAAAACTGTTGAATGTTGGGTTCCTCTCTTGGACGAACCTTTCATTCACGTGCCTCTTTACACTGTTTAAACTGTACTTAGTACACAATTGTGATGTTCAGTGAGAGAAGTGACCTTTTTGACATGCGTTCCTCTTGTTCTCTAAAGTAGGTTTTTTTTTAATGACTCCTTTCTTTAAATGTTTACAATCCTTTATCTTCTCGCCCTTGATGGGGAAGAAAAATGGCCTCGACAAAGCCACCGTGTTTATAAATTGCCAGTAATGGCATTTTGTAATAAAAGAGATGTAATGCAAGTCTACTGTACCAACAAGTGAGTAAAATATGGCCGTACACCACATGTGAAAACAAAAAACTGTTTAGTTCTCTAGAACGTCTAAAACGAATCACTCTTTATATTTCGGGTTTGAAAAGTATATGGAATTTAGTTTTTAAAGGTTTACCATCCTGGCTAAGCCAATATTTCGCTTATTTCGCCCGTTATCGATCATTTACGGCAGAATATCGTCGAACGTTTGTTATTTTTCTTTATTATGTGGACATTCCGCGTGACTGAATGCATTTAGAAGGTGGGAAAGTATATACTTTTGTTTTGTTTTATCTATTTTTTATATATATACAAGGTGTGCGCGTTTTTAATTGAGAAACCCGTTGACTAACTTTACACACGATATAAAGAATTGTTATGATCTGTGTGCAACTATTTTGTTAGTTGTTACCGAAAATATAGATTTAACTAACACATGGAGTTTTTTTGCCTTCACTACGTTATTTTTTTGTTGTCACTTTGGGATTTTTCAAAATTTTTAAATTGTTAATTTTTATTGGACCTATAAAAAAATGAAATAAAATGTAAAAGACAAAAATAAAAAAAAAGAAAACAGACGTGCTTAGAAATAGAATATCTCGAAAACGTAACTTCAATATGAATCGTAAGGTCAGAAAATTAAGTGGCATATTCAGAAAATCTATGATTGGCCTGTTAGATAGTAAAAGACAAGAGGATTGGCACAATATATAATTTTGATTCAGAGGTATACTGGGAACTAGAGTGGCAGAATGAAAGAGACTCTAGGGACCATAGGCATGGACTAGCGTGAGCAATATGACCATTCTGTTGACATAAAATGCCTTATAGAGAAAAAAGACCTTTTGCAAACCAAACGCAGACTACTTAAATGCAACGTCTGGTTTGTGCTCTTGTATGGCTGAACATTGCAAGCATCCACAAAGAAACGTGAAGAAGCCAACAGGATGATTGGGAAACGTCTGCAAGTTTGATTTATAAACAACCGACGCAGGAAGAATCCAGAAGATAATAATAGAGCCTGTGGAAGTTACTTTGAAAAATGAAATAATAAACACGTTAAATAATTATATATTATGGCCTACCGGAAGTCCAGATATAAATCCACTGAATTACTTCTAATGAGAAATTTATGAAATTTTACATCCTGAGACTATAAATGAACTATGGTCCAATTTAGTTCAGAGCTATTCCTGGTCGGTTTATTTAATCTGCAATACTAAAATTGAGAAATCTTATCATAAAATGCATTGAAGCAGCTGCCTTTCAATTTGAACATCTCATATTGTATTCTGTATTATTACCTATTTTACTATTTGGGATCCATGATATGAAATTCAAAGAGATATGGTCTGCTTCAGTTGATACTCCAGGTAAAGTTCTTAGGCAGAGGAGTAGCTGGAAGAATCTCCTGGTTGAAAAACCTTAAAACCCGGCAGTCAGTGATAATCACTATAGCCACATTCAGAAGAAAAATAATATTTTCCTTGAGTTCGATGACGACCGGCAAATAATAGACAAGTTAAATAGAGTATTTATGATGGTCTGCCGGAAGTCCAGACATAAATCCACTGGATTACTTCTAATGGGGGTATTTACAAAATAGTTTATATTGTCACACCCTGAATGACATAAATCAACTATCGGTCAATTGAGTTCAGAGCTATTTCTGCAAGCAAATGGCTCTCAATTTGAACATCTTATATTTTATTGTGTATTATTTACCTATTTTACTATTTGTGAACCACAATAAGGAGCCAAAAGAGATGGCCTGCTTCAGTTCATACTCCAGGTAAAGATCTTAAGCAAAAAAGCATCTAGAAGATTCGGAATCTCCTAGTAAAAACTTTGGAACTTGGTTTTCAGCCCGTAAAGTTTAAACACATTGCTTATCGTATTTAGAAGGAGAATACAAATTTAACCTGAAATATTTAAAAAATGGAAATAACTTTATTTTCAATAAATCGATAATATTACAAGTAATAAACATAAAATTCAAGTGATTACCACATGATACGATAATTCTGCAAAAGTAACAACAAATATAACATCCTTTTTTGTATGCGCAGTCGTTTTGCAAACTCGATTCATTTACGAAATAAGGTAAAGTGTATTGCAAAACTAAATGAAGATATTTATACAATGACAACTACCCAGGCAAATATTGAAAGGTACAAAACAATACTACATAAAATAAATTAACTTAGTCTCTAAATATTATGAGCGTTAACTAATCGAAAAACTAAATTATTAATTGAAAATAAACTAAACATTTTATTACATAATATTGAGTTAAAAATTAAAATTGAAGCCAAACTCGAAACACCATTTCGAAAAAAAAAAATTCTAGCGAGAGTAAATGAAAGCACGAACAAAGCCGCCTTTAATTAATGTTGTTAAAAAATTGTGAAAACTTCAACTCTACCCAGGGTGTCCCAATAAGACATAAGGAACAGCCCTAGAAGTTTATTAATTATTAAGTAAAGGGCCAAGAGAAAAAATGCTGGAAATTATTTTCTAGTTTCTGCATTTGAATTTTAAAATTTTCTACAATTTCAAATGCTTTTCGATCCATCTCTGTGATGAAATTGGAATATTTTCCTAAATAAATGTCCATTTCTTACCTGATTACTTACCTTACCACCAGGTGGTAAGATAAGTAATCAGGTATCCTATCCTATCCTAACCTAAAATATGATTAAAACAAAACGCTCGAAAGTTATTCGATATTTTAAAAATAAAACGCAATTATAATTTTTAGGATTCCAGATGATATTCAAAATAAAAAAATAAAATTTCGTTTTTATCTTTTACTTGGTTCACGCAAAATTACCCAGTAACATTTCTACGTTTTGAAATATCATCCAGCGTTTTTAATTAATTTATTACTATCATTAATTAATAATCAATAATACATTGTTCGTGACTAACCAATGTTATTGAAACTGAATGTATTGTTTTTCGTTTCTAAGCAAAGATTCCTTCTGGGCACTGAATTACGATGAGTTTCAATAAGATATTTTTGATGCAATAAACTTTAACAAGCTTGAAATAATTAAAACAGTAAGCAATCGAAAGACTAGAACAGCCAAAAGAGTCGTATTGTCTATTTTTTTACACATTTCTCTACTTAAATACGTCATTTTAGTTGGTTATCAGCATTTTTTAATTTTTAGAGAAAAAATAAGTGGTAATACTAATTATACGGACATATTTTAGGTTAGGTTCACCGGACTGTCGACTATCTAATGATGTAGATCAAATGACATCGTTGCATTTATTCTGTTTTCAGAACATGATTTTTTTTTGGTGGAAAACGCCACCTGCTGGCAAGGTGAGCCTAGGAAAAGCCTTTTTTTAAGGATTCCGAATTGATTAAACTGTATCATGGGCATATAAGTGTTGCATATGGGGTTGCATGTTGTCCAATGTTTAGATCTACCATTATATTAAACGCTTTTGCACGAATTTTATTTCTACAGACACTACTACAATTTTTTTTTGGAGAAACCTAGTTTTAAAATTCAAGAAACCCGAAAATATTTTCCCGCATTTTCTCTTCGCCGGTTTACTACATACTTATTTTTCTTTTTTTTTGGCTCAAATCTGTAGGACTCCCCGTTTCCCCAACACGTTTTGTCGGGATCCATTTTTGCTGACAAAATATATACAGTGCGGACATAAAGTCCGTCACTTTTGAACCGTTTGGTATATTGCCATATTCCGATTATTTTTTTTATACCGAAAATGACATTTTCATGATTCAAGTTATTTTTTAATGGAATAGTCATTTTTGGTTTTGAAGACGACCTTTTTTTCCCTATGTAGTTCAATTAGTCATTAATTGTAGCTAAAACAACGATAAATTAATAATAATAATAATAATAATAGTTATAATAAAATAAATATAAAATAAAATAAAGTGTCCCACCCCATAAAAAAATAAAGCGAAACGAGGATTGCGTCATATAATATCCCACCAGATGTCATCGCAATATACGAGACGGATCAAAAGTTGCAACATACTTTGTCTTCACTGTATATGGATAACAATTATTATAAATTTCAAAATGTTTTTTGTTTACGATTTTCAAAAAAACGATATCGAAAATCTCACGCCCATACCCGAAGTTTTAACAGAGTTCATTTCGGTACATCAATTTTTGTCCTGAACAGTCTACACATTATTTTTCTAACAGCCTAAAAATTACCTAAAATAAATCTAGTTCTCAATCGAATTTCAAAATTTACATTAGCACCATTTCGCATTAAATAAAGTTCACCTTAAAACTTGAAGTATAAATATGACGCAAAGAAGATTATTGCCAACTAATAGATTTTTTTTGTACAATAATATTGTTATGTTTATTATATATACACGTCGTTAAAAAAATAATTATTTCGCTTTCGACAATATATTTCCTCCTCGATTTTAATATGCTGGGGAACGACCTAGTTTTAATTTAAAAATAGATCGATGATTCCCTAGGGCAATAATCATATCGAAATCACCCTGTATACGTTAAAAATATGATAATTTAACTACTTTGTACAAATTTAATTGTTATTTGTTCGTTCTATTTTTGCTATTTAAAAAAAATCCGTTTGGCAACGCGTTGAATAAAAATCAGCGCTTTTACAAGGAGTTCAAATTCAAGATGGCGCTTTTATCCGGTTTTACTCTTTTTGACTTAACCACAAATTCTATAATAAGCGTTAAAATTAAAACAAAAAGGGCCGTTTTAGCGGTCGAGTTTGACGTTGAATATCCAGGTTGTGAAGAATTAGCGAATATAAATTTGTGACATCACAGTGTAGTAAATAAATATACGGTGATAGAAAAAAGAAAAAAATATCTTAAGATGTTCCTTTTTATCACGTTTAACACATGTAATTGGATGGTGGTCGGAAATAATTATGGAAACTTTTGAAACAAAAAATCTCGTTTTCAAAACGATCCTGGCTAGCTTCGTTTTTGACATACGGGGTGAACCAGAAAATTTTGCCACTACAGTTATGCCTTTCAAAACTGTAACGATAACACTACAGAATACAAAAGATAATAATTATTAAACTTCAATTTATGAAATTTAATGTACCCGGAGTTCCTCTAATTAGGCTGGGATCCAACGGTGACAGGCTACGTTGCCACATGTTTTTTTCCCTAAGGTACCAGACTTTCTCATGTTAAATAGAAAGGGTATGTTTTTATTCTATTTTTTGATTGATCTTAAAATTTTAAGTATTTTCCCTAACCGAAACTCGAAAGTTTTTGCAGGAATGATAGAAAAACGTAAGTAAAAATGATTTTAAAGAATTGGTAAACTTAAATAACAATAAAAACTATTTAAAACCAAAGAAAAAAAGGTGATGTTCAAAATGACAAACTAACCAAAACTATTTGCGTTTTTCGTTACTCCTTCAAAAACGGTTGAATTTGGGTGAAAAATAATTAGAACAGCAATTCAAAAAAGGAATAAAAATTTACCCTCTTTCTATTTCAAATAAGAAAATTTGGCGACTTAGGGAAAAACCATAAATGTGGCAATATGCGCTAATAAGGTCCGAGATATATTGGCATTGTGTCACTTTCGTATAAAGATGGTAATAAATATGTTATTGATAAAGTTCATATACCGTTTATATTCAATAATTGGATCCGCTTAACATTATGACAGGTAAATCCGGAGCAAGCGCCATCTCCCGGTGAAGCCATCTCAACCGAGTATGATAAATTCACGTATTTGATTGTCAACCAACAACTTTCTACAAAGATCAGTTTTTATAATACATAATTCTACACTGTACAGGGTGGCCAATTAATCGATGTCTCAGAAAATAAAAATAGAATTTCATCGAAAAAATACCGCTTAAGGTACATCACCCGCTTGCGCAAATTTTTGTCCGACGTAAAATGAAATGGCGGGAGCAGTTTTAACTTCAATTTAGAAAAAAAAAAAATTAACGCCGGCACCTAAATTACATCGGCGCCACTAGATGGCGCAAACCGAAACTATATTATATTTTAATTATTTCATTTAAATGAGAATTAAATTCTCCACGTTCAGGAAAAATCGCTTGTGCATTTTGATCAGATAATTTAAGAAATTTTATCGACAAAAAAATGCACGCCACCTACTCTCGCGATTTTTTATTGGCTTTTTGGATTGAGCAATCCAAAAAAATAAAACCTTTTCGGGCTTCAATGATGTTCGAACTGTCTAATGTTATTTTTCAAAAATGAAGTAATATACACGAAAAAGTTTTTTTTTTATATATAAATTAAACATTTTATACAAAAATATTTCAATACTTCACTGAAATTTTTAATAAATTAAGAAAGTACAAATATGAAATGATTTGTTATGTTTATTTAATTTTTGATTTATTTTCAACACTATTTTTATAAGAAAGTGGATTTGATTTATAATTTAGATTAGGTTATAAAACTGTGGTCTAATCGACTTCTAATCTTTTCGATCATTTACAGAATTTATTTCTTTTTTTTTTAATATAAATCATTTCTTTTATTGCTAATTGTGGATGATCATCATCTTGTGTTAAAATTTTAGTTTTGGTTAGCCAATTTATACGATTTTCCAAAAGCTTGCCTGTTATTCCAATATATTTTTTTGGGTAATTTGAACAATGCATTGAATATACATCATTTGACAGCTTTTTAGTTTTAATACGTAGATAGAATTTGTTTCATATTATCGCAACATATTTCTGATATTTCATTTTTATTATAAAACCATATAGGTTCTCCTTTTAAAAATTTCATTAATGTTATTTTCAGGGAACTGATTTTCAATTAAAATTTCTTTAAATTTTCATAAAATTTCTGTCCTGTATTCCTGATAGCACGATCTGTTAAACCAATATTTTTCCTGATTTTTGGGGACATTGGAGTTATAATTTAGATATCTTCCTGACCGCCTATCTTGTGTTTATACGTTATTATCAAGATTTCTTATTAAAGTTTAGTTAAAGGATTTTTTAATTATATATATTACGATAATAAATGTCACTAATGATAATTGAGCAAGTACAATAAAAAACAGACGCTATCTAATGTTGTCTAATGAAAAAAAATTTTAGCGAAAGATTTCGTAAAAAAAAAACAACATAAAAAAAGTGAAAATCGATACAATTTTTTATGAAAAACCATTTATAAAGTGACGACTAACGCCAACGGAAAAGCAAAATAGGCGTCAACGAAACACAAGATAACATATAAAAGATTTATTAGCCTCGGACTGCGTCGGGTTGTTTTTCCAATAGTAAGTTAAGTTGGAACAACATTAATTATCGATCAATCTTTGATCGGATCGAAATTATTAAAAATAAAACTCAGCTCAGCTCTTATGCTCACCAGAAAGAATTGAGACCGTAAAGACAACTATTGGTCATAGATTTCTTAAATCAACCACCCTGTACCTTAACCGGCTTAGGCACTTTTCCGAGGAAACAAAAAACCCAACCAAAACGACTAACCGAACCTTAATCATGACTGGTCGTGGCCGTTGGGTCCGCCCGCCTTAGGGGCGACGACCAGGACCGGACTGGGCGGTCCGGCCTTCCGAACCATCTGCGGGATGACCGTCAGCGACTTGGGAATGCGCGGCAACAGCATCGACGTGGTCCTGTCGCCGAACGATCTCGATTCCTGGCCCAGTTTCTCCACCTGCCGGTCCAGTTTTTCCAAAATCGTCTCCCCCCCGTCCCCCGCCGCTTTGACCTCGGTCCCGTTGGTTCTGCTAATCACCAAGCCCTTCCGCGGCATTATCGACTTCAAGACGGAATTGTGGTGACCGGCGAGCAGCAACGACTGCTGCTGTTCCTGCTGCAGCTTCTTCTGTTTCGCCTCGAAGCTGCGTTTGATCGCGCACATCTTCTTGTAATCCTCCAGCGTGATGTGGTAAGGTTTGCCACCCGATATGACTTGCACGAGCCCGGTTTTGCGCTCGTGTTTCCTCGTCGGATCGATCGGGATCAAGTTGGGTCGCCAGTTTTTCGTGATCGGGAACTTGATCTTTTGACCTTGGGGCAGGCCCTTCGGCGCCGGTCGCGACGTGCCCGCATTCAGCGAGATCAGACCGGGAGGCGTGCCCGACGATTTCGCCTTCGGGAAGTTCTGCAGGATCGGCGGGATCAGGGGCGGGCTGTTTAACTGCTGGAGCGTGATGGGGGCGCTCGTCGAAGTCGACTAGAGAGAAAGCCGACGGTAGATTAAGTTCTTACATACGAGGTTAGGTTAGGCTGACATAGATGCAGGTCCGGTATCGCGATAAAAGTTTATCTTCTTTTAAATATATATCTTAGTAGGTTGCGAAAAAAAAATGGAAGTCTTGCATCAAATAGTTTTTCATTGACAGCATTTTAAACAAGACGCGTCCGAAAAAATATCGCAAATCGAGTATAGAGCAGTCATAAAGTTAGCACCTAAAATTATTAAAGAAATGCTTTCTATCGTGCTCCTGCGGACCACTATGGAACTTTCGCAAAATCGATGCAATTTAATTGTGAATGCGTTATCGAATGATATTTTTCCAAATACCTCGCGCGCCCTGTATAATTGATGAAACCTGAAACGCTCTCTCTCTCGACACAGTTTACGATACTGCTCAAATCAAATTATCGCATCTGTAGCAGTTTTACATTTATCGCCATTTGCCCACAAAAACTGAAATTTTAAGAAACTTGCCCTGGATCTCTCACGTTTCCTGGTGTATGATTTTTTCCAATAGAGTAAGTTTTCTGAAACCATACAGTACGCCGTAATAATCAATGACGTCATCGGGTCTCGATTTCGCGCGAGAAATTATGATTTTCATTTGGATTTTTTCAAATATCTCTAACAGCGTATGTGATAAATGAAAACCGTAAATACAAAAATTTTAGCTCTCGATGTGGCTTATTACACTGTCTAAACCAATTGGCCATATTTTTCACGAATTTTGATTTACGGCTAATAATTTAATAGCGAAAAGAACGATTTCCATGGTCTTTTAGATTTTTGTCCATAATTGTAGACAATCGATCTCCCCCATTTCCTGGTTCTAAAATTTTGCCGATCGATTGAATAGTTTTTGAGAAAATCATGTTTTCCTGGAAGCCAAAATATTCAAAGAAAATTCTTCAATATTTTTTAAACAACACTTGGTGATACTTGATTACGCTCAAATTCTGTTTAGATGTGGGTACGGACATTTACTTCCTTGCCAAATTTAAAATCGATAGCTACATATTTGCGTCACTATGACGTTTTTGAATATAGCATGGAATATTCCTAACACACTGTACAGTATGTAAAAACTCTAATTAAAAAAGTTTTAGATGTCCATACGGGCCATATAGCTGTGTAAAAAAAGCTGCCAACAGAATCACAGCCTTCTTGTTACGGTCAATTATTATTACAAATCGGGACCAATTTTCAGGTTTTTGGAAATTACCGACGCACCCTGTACATTTTTAAAAAATCATCAAGAATAAAAGTTTTTGGTTCGGATCTTGCGCGTCGTTTGGTTAAAGAATTTTTTTGATCGCATAACTATCTTGGAGAAATGATTTTTTTTCTCGGTACCCTGCAAGTGCGGTTTTTAAATTTTTAAAAATACTTCGCGACCCCCCCGCTCCCCAGTTTCAATAGGCTTCGTTACGGAGCTAAGCCCTATATATCTATCAAATTTCAAGTGGATGGCTTCAAATTTCGGCCACTCATTTTTTACTGGTTTGTGTATCTCGTCCACGGCTTAAAAGGAGCCAAATTTGAAGGCCGTGTTGCAAACCGTTCAAAAGATATAGCCAATTAATGCCAGGTCTACAGAGAAACGGAGAACGGAGAACAGAAAATTTTAAAAATTTTATTTTTTCGACGCTGACCATTTGTGTACCAAAAGGGGTCCCCTATCGATTTTTCGAATGTAAGTTTTAAACGGAGACACGTCAAGTATCACTCACCCCGTTAGAGCCGGACTGAAGCTGCGGCACGAACACCTGAGACGAACAGCTACCCTGCTGCCCTCCGGCGGTGATGACGACCCCGCCGCTGGTCTTGTGCATCTTGTTGAACGGGATCATGCTTATCGGTTGGATGTTGCCAGCGTTCGAGGGTATATTATCGTACGCCCTCAACCGGTTATGGACGCTTTCGCGATAATTAATCGCGTGGTGACTCGCCGTCGGCGACAACATAAGGTCCCCGTTCCTAAAGTACTTTTCCAACAGGATCAGGTGGCGCAAAAAGCTGCTCTGATTCCCGTAGGGTTTTTGCAGTTCTTGCCACAGGTGTTTCGTTTCCTCGTCGTACTGGATCGTGGTCGAGCACTTTTTCCAACCCTCCGGCGTTTGCTCTTTCACGTGGTTGAAGTCGATCTGACCCGTCAACGGTAGCTCCTCCTCCCCGGGGAACAGTTGCCTGACCGATATGGCCGGGTTCGACGATAAGAGACGCTTGTCCCAGCTGTCGTGGTCGCTATCGGGCGAGCAAGCGGGGCGGAGCGATATCGACGGGTTCTGACCGAGTTTTTGCATCGCCAAATCGTTCGGTTTCGCTTTGTCCACCTTCACTTTGAAGTTTTTTGAAACTTCGACGGCCTCTTTTACCTTGAAATGAAAAAAAAAGGATGCACGAGGGACGTCGATTGGACCACACCTCCACAGTCATTTAGCAAATTCCAAGAACATAAATGGCATTAACTAGTTGTTAGCCCAGTTTGCCAGTAAGCTCGAATCACTAAGTACCATTTAGAATTTATATTGTTGAAATCATACAGACTATGTAACGAAACATGTTGAGTATTGTACAACCAATAATAACGTTTTAATTAATTTACAGTAAAGTCTGTTCATAGATATAAGAAGGTGACTAACTTATATGAACTAATGAAAGACCCGGGCAAGCTTTAAGAAAATGTTTTTTTTTTAAACTGATTCCTTAACTTCAAGATGCAATTTGTGAAGTGCTTTTGAAATCTGGTAGGAGAAAGACCGTTTATATAATTCTGTTTTGCGGAGAAGGTGTGTTTGGGTTCCCTTAAATCGAATATTTAAGTTGTGAACATCAGTTCTGAAGCGAATCTTGCGATAAAAATACATGGGTGTTGTACTAGTCAAAATGCAAAGGTAGAAAGTTGCTCTATGTAGGTAAAGTCAAAGAAATAAGAAAGTGACTAACTCATACGAATTAAGCAAGCTGTAAGAATGAAATATGGCCGAACAGGTCCGTACTTTGCTTAGAATTTAATTATTTGGGAGTTTGTTAGGAAAGGTACTAAACAATATTTATGTATGTACTTAAATTACTTAAAATTATTCACATAATATATCAGTATCACTATTGCTATCATCACCTGTTCTAATTATTATTTGTTCTATATTATTTGCAATATGGATATAAGATTCTTTTGTGGAGGGATGTTAAAAACTTCGGTTTCTATAAGTTTGTGGACATTGGAGTTAACACGGGGAAACACGTTGTTACGACGAATGGCAGATTTCAGTTGGTGCCAGACATGTTCAATGGGATTAAACATACAGTGGTAAGGTGGAAGCCTTAAAACTGTATGCCCTAGATGTTTTGCATAATTAGCACAGACGTGTTCCTTTTGTAAGTTCAAGCTTTGTAGAACCTCAATTAATTGCTTTTTGGTATAATCTTTGTGAAAATAAATGTCGTTATTATACATGTAGTTTTGGATTGTCGCTTTTGTGTCACATGAGGAAGGGGTTTTAATCAACTGACTACTGTGATGACTTGGATTGTCCATTACAATTACGCTATTAGGGGGAATGTTTGGAACTAGTTTGTTTTTAAACCAACTTTCAAATAAATCTGCGGTGGTGTCTTCATGGTAATCCAGGGAAGAATCTTTAATATTCTTCGCACACAGAGAAAGTCCATTTGGAATCTAACCATCTTTAGAGCCAGCATGCAAAATAGTTATTCTTTTACCTCTTTTTGATGGCGCGTTTGTTTTACACTTACCAGTTGACTCAACCCAACCCTTTTCCGGGGTATCATAAGTGTCGAATCAGGTTTCATCCAAGTAAATAATTGGCCTTTGTTGTTCTCTGTAAATCCTAATTTTTTTTGGATATTCCAGTCGCTATTTCCGAATTCTAAAAGATTCCATTAAAACTTGCCTTTTGTCAATTTTTTCAAATCTAAAACCCATGTGTTGAATACACTTCCATAAGGTAGTTCTGCCACATTTAACACCGGTTTCATCTTTTTGTAGGCACGCTTTGTTCCTCATATAACTGGTAAATTTTACGCCGTATTATATCTTGATCACATTTTTCCATACAGTTGATGTTGGAATTTTCGTCAATGTGGCCGGTTCTTCTAAAGATGCTTGCTTGCTGGCACCACGTTCAATGAGAGTCAAATAAACATTGTTTATAACTTCCTTAGTCTCAATAGAGTATTGCACACGATTCAACACACGCTGTATTGCACACGAAATAAGAATGATTACTAATAAACTTTAACTAAGTAGTATACCAAACCAAAGAATATTAAACACAGGTAGGTACAAAATTATTTTCTATTACGGACCACAATTTTACCTGAATTTAAATTCCGAAACTTTAGGTAATAATCTTGTTGCATTGTATGTTAATGACCACTCTTGGAATAACCCCATTCAAAAGCAATTGGTCACTTTCTTATATCTATGACCAGACCATACTATTTAGAATTTATATAATAAAAGTTGTATTGTTGAAAACATACAGACTATGTAACGAAACATGTTGGTATTGTACGACCAAAAATATAGTGCATTTATTGCTTTGACGTTTTCAGTACTTTACAGTACCTTCGCAGGACCGTGGTAATACCCATCCTAACAGATGCTGAATCTATACTAAGTAGGTCTTGTCAAAGATGGACCGTAACGAATTCGGATGCATGAGGGTCCACGACTCGACCACACCTCCAGAGTCATTTAGTAAATTCCAAGAACATAAATGGCATTAACTATTTTTTAGCCCAGTTTGCTGACTTTATGAACACAAAATTGTAAGCTCGAATAACTAAGTACCATTTAGAATTTATATTGTTGAAAACATACAGACTATGTAACGAAACATGTTGGTATTGTGCAACCAAAAATATAGTGCATTTATTGCTTTGACGTTTTCAGTACTTTAACGGTACCTTCACAGAACCATGGTAAAATCCATCCCAACAGATGTTTATTCTGCATTAATTAAGTCTTGCGTAACGAATATTTGTAGAAACTTGAAAATTTTATTTGAAACGTAAATGGACAGTTTTAAATTTGGTTACGCATTAGTGCTGTGGGGTATTTTCGAATTAGAAGAAGCGTTTTTTTTTTAACATCGGGGATAAATTGTAATACGTTTGTATATATTACAGAGGTACTGAATGTGATCCTTCCAGTATGTACGTCTTTATGTACATGATTTTCGAGCTTTTGACCCTGTGAAGCTGTTTTCAGTGGATAGTTCAAAGGCTAAAGATAAGTATCTGCACAGTATTTATCTTACAGGTAAGATTAAAAATAATCATTCTCGTATTGTGTGTTTGTCGATTAACAACATTCTCCTTACTTTTTACAAAACTTCTGGATTTCTCCTGCGTCGGTTTTTGCTGAGTCGAAACGTCAGCAATTTCGACTCAGCAAAAACTGACGCAGGAGGAATCCAGAAGTTTTGTAAAAAGTATTACAGTAGCCCGTGGAAGTTTCTTTGAAAAATTAACATTCTCCTTCTTGTATTTTTGTGTCTTCTACATAGTTCTTCGATTTGTTAACAACAATAGTCTTTTTTAAGACTATAGATTATAGTTGCGGTAGATAATGGTACGTCATAAGAATGAAGATAAATATTTATTAGAATCTTATAATTAACCATTTTTTGGAGGTTCCTGTTTTTTAACAGTTTAAAATGTGAAGTCCGTGGAATGAAGCAGATATTCCCCTGTTAAAAGAAGACATAGAAAATAACGCAGAATCTGAAGTCCAAGTGGAGATGGTATTTGTATATGTTTCAAAGTTAATCACGGGGTCGGTGGTAAAAGCACTATATTTCTGGTCTAAGTATAACAAAGTGATTCAAGCATCCAGACCACATAACGCCACGTCGATGCCGAGTGTAAGAGAAATGTTTCAATAAAATATTTTTAAGGGTAGACAACTGGGCAACAAAGTTTTATAACTTCCTACATAACCACCAAAATATTATACAACACAGAGTTATTATTTATTAATGTTAATTAACAAGTTATAAATCTTTGTTATTTAACATGTTTTTTACTATAAATTTGCTAATAAAGGTTAAACACATCAAATTAGATTGATAAACCAGAACTGTTTTTCTGTTGCCTTCTTCTTCTCTGTACCTGCTTATATATGGTTTGAGGGGGGGCGGTGCTAACAGATATTCAAGAATTTTTAAATTTCACAAATTGATTTTTGTAGGGGATATGTTAAAGGTCTAGTTTATGTGAATCCTGCTAAAATACCAGAAGATATGCTGAGGTAAGTAAAATGTGGAGTGGAGTGGAGTGGAATATTTTTTGAAATTGATAACAATTATAGTAACAGATATTTAATATTATTTACCTTTTCTGAGAATTTAAAATTTGGTTATTTCCAATAATAAACAAAAAATTGTTGATATCCATCTATAAATCATTGGATGAACTGTAAGCTCGAATCATTTCGTCTTAGTTTACAGAAGATCTACACGTACAGACTGCGCTTTAAAGCAATTTCCACATTAAGCGTTCCATCACAAAATACTCTTCACCATAACCTACCAAAGAAAGTGAGCCCCAAAGATATCCCACACCTACAACTTGACGCCTTCCTTACATCCAAAACATCGATGACCACATATCAAAAGTTCTTAAGAAATCTAATCTTCAATTCAATTCGAAATTTGTTTAGCTCCGCCCCCTTCAAACCGTATATGAGCAAGTACAGAGTAGAATGCGAGAAAGCTTCATTTGAGCTCTCAAGAAGCCAACAGGATGATTTGTAAATAAACCAGAACATTTTTGTTCCTTTCTATAGCAAGTATAAAAAAAATTCCTAACTTAAAAATATTTGCTACCAAGAGTAATCTAGTGGTGTTCACCAACTTTGAGGTGTTTGTCTGCTCTTCCAATATTTTTTATCACACTTGCAGGGTGTGATAACATTACAATAATTTTATTTAGGAATCAATTTATCAGCCAACTAGGTGCAATCATAGTGTAAGTGGCATACATTTTATTATTTATTGTTATTTCTCGTATTTGGAGAAGTTTTGTATATTTTAATATTTAATTATTAATTTAAACAATGAGTACGTCACGACTGCATACTGTTACTCAGATTCTTTAATACCAATGGTTAATAACTGATTTTAGGTATGCCGATGATACCACCCTAATAGCGAAAAAGCATGTCGGAAAAAATCACTATAGAAAGTAACCATCTTGGTTTTGAGATAAACGTTAATAAAATCAAACACACGCTGATTAATAGACTTAAGTAAAAACTGGGAATTGTGAGGCGGAGCTAAAAAGCAGGTTAGCAATGTCATGGAAGATTAAAGAAGATACGAAAAACCCCAAAAATGCTCTTGTTTGATCCATGCGGATCTGAGTCACAAACCACGAAGACTGCAGACACACAATTTAGGGGAGGGTGCTGCGAATCTCATCATCGCTACATCCATCCTGAACGACTTATCTTGCAATACTTCGACCATATCAGACATAGAGATGACGACAATCTTGAGAAACTAACATTTTAAGGTAAAACAGAAAAACGAAGACCCAGTGGCAGATCACCAACTGAGTACGAAAAATTACAACTTTCAATCAAATCTTCGAGAGGTTGAAGATCGGAAATGAAGAACTTTTAGAGCGAAAAGTAAATGTTGCCTGTAGGTTGTTTTTTTTTTAATATCTTCTTCGTCGGTTCTTGTATTAGTAATAGTAGTGAGTTAATTAATAATTTTATATATCAAACCTCAAAAATTTGAGTGATAAAAATTTTACCGTTTCGAGTCTCGGTATCCGCTTCTGGATACCTACTGTCATCTTTCGTGGGGCTTCTTTCTTATTGTCCGAATCGCTGGGACACTCCAGGTTGATGGTCGGTATGAGGGTGTTGTAATCGATGGACGAATACTCGTCATCGGGCGATTCGGACCTGGATTGGCTTTGGGAGTTGTTCGTGTCTGTCGAAGGCACTCTGTTCTGGAGTCTGGAAATATAAAACCGATAATAGCGATCGAGGGGAAACAACCACGGACCGACCTAGTTTGATGGTCTTCTAAATTATCACATTTGTCGAATTCGTTTTGGCTGTCGGTGTGTACGTTGCCGGACGATTCCCCAGATGAATGTCGATCCCTTTTCTTCTTTTTCACCGATTCCTTTTCCATCATTTTGTCGGCTTTGCTGGGCACTACGATGGGCTCTTCGGCGGCCGCCGCGTCCATGGGCACTATGTCGTTGTAGTGCAGCAGTCTGAAAGCAGGCGTTACACCGTCTTGGGGCGACCGAGGACCACCGAATCCTTCACCTTTTTTTGTAGTCCTCGAAGAAACTCGCGCTGTTGTCCGGCCTTTCTTCCGGGTCTTTCAGAATCACGGAAGCGAAACACTTGCACAGCTTGCACACCACCGGTTTGTCGCACAACGTTAGGGGTATCCCTTCGTCGTTCAACGCGGAGTTTAAGTCTTTCACTTCTGGTCCCAAATAATGAATGTGATTGCGGGCCAGACGCCGTTTGCACATGGCGCAGACCATCAGGTGTTCCAGAGAATTGTAGTGCTCGTCGCATATGGGAATGGAGTGTAGACCGGGGTTATCCAAATCGATGTTTATCTACGAATAAGTGTAAAATACAAATGTTTGAAGATTTTTGCTCTATTATCTTAAGAAAATGTCAGATAAAACAAACGACGATCGCAAGCTGTCAAAATGACAGGAACATCTTTTTTTTTTAATGTAATTCCCTTTATATTATTAGCTTAAATCGTAGATCCTGATTTCAAAAACATATAGTTTATTGACATTTCATTTAGTTTAAAAATAATTATCATTCCATTTCTGGACAATAGCCATATTGTTTAAAAATGGTCAAGATACTAACCACATTATCTATATTTGCAATTGTTTTAACAATGTTATACTTTTGACAACTAATCAAAACTAAAGATCGCCAGCGTAAGTTAAATAACTTAAAGATATTTCAAATGGATTATACCGAGGAAGAAAAATGCCAAATAATAAAATCTTATTATTCATAGGGTTAAAAGAGAATATCCCAAATATGTTCCGGTAGAAGAGTTCCTTCATTAAATATAATTTAACAAAATAAATAACAACTAAAAGTTCAGATTTTCACGAAATTATATATTTTGACATGACAATTGTTTCGACAACACCGCGTCTATAATGACCATAAAACCTAAATGAATATTAGAATTTAACTTTAATAAATTTTTATTTAAAAATAAATAAATAAAAAAATTTAATCTAATTGATCGTTCGATTGATCGACATTTGAATGTCTCATTTTGTTAATCTCCATCGCTTCCAATAAATTTAATTTTCTACTTTTTGTGGCTGTATGTAAATTATCAAAATTATCGTCAAAAATGTGTTTTTCTGTGTTTAAGTGTGGAGCATAATTACAATCCAGACTATTATTGTTTCTAAACGCTCTTTTATGTTCGTTAATGCGTTTCTTGCTGTTTGTCCAATATAAATTTTAGGACAAGATCCGCATTTCAATCTGTAGACACCTGATTTTTGAGATTTTGGACATTTCGATTTATTGTTTTAAAAAATTTTCCTATTGCGTTGTTAGTTCTGAAAGCTATTTTTAAACCACATTTTGACAAATGTTTTGAAATAAATTTATCCTAATACTAACCTAAAACTAACCAAAACATTTGTCAAAAACAGTAAAACGAAATGTCCATAATCTCAAAAATCAGGTTGAAATGCGGATCTTGTCCTAAAATTTATATTGGACAAACAGGTAGATCCTTCAAGAAACGAATTAACGAACATAAAAGAGCGTTCAGAAACAATAGTCTGGATTCTAATTATGCCACACACTTAAACATAGAAAAACACATTTTTGACGACAATTTTGATATGTTACATACAGCCACAAACTTAAATTTATTGGAAGTCATGGAAATTAACAAATTGAGACATTCAGATGTAATGTTTACCGATCAATTAGATTTAAATACCTGTCCTTTATTGAACTTAAATTCTTACAACAACAATAATTAAGGTTTTATGGTCATTTTTCGGTATATATAGTAGCAGGTAGTTTGTAAATATTACATTTGATCAAGACACGGTGTTGTCGAAACAATTTTCATGTCAAAATATATAATTTCGTGAAAATCTTAACTTTTAGTTGTTATTTATTTTGATAAATGGATTTTCATCAAGTAAAAGCCACCTCAGTTCAATATAATTAAACAATTTGAGGACCGAAATGAGGTCATACGAAAGACCAGGTCAATAGGAAGAAATTTTGATGAATATCTCAATAAATTATTTTATTTTCAAGGTAAATTATTATACTATTACGACACTTGACAACATGACTTTCAGTTCTACTTTCTTAATTTTTATATTTCATTTTTTTTAGAAAATCAATCCTGAATATTCTATACCCGATTATAAAAAATTATCTGGAAAATCTTATAGTAAAATTCAACGAACACTAAAATATCATAAGTTTTACCCATATAAGTTCCTTCCACTGCAAAATTTAAATGAAGAAGATAAAAGGCAGAGGCTCGAATTTGCAACAGAAATGTATAGAAGATGGAAATTTTCTTATAAAAATAATATTTACGGATGAGGCTTCATTCACAGCGGCAGGTGTATTTAATAGGAAGAATAAACATTTTTGGTCCGCCACCAATAAGGATGGACGTTAGTTAATTTATGGTTATTATATACAATACATGGGTATATATGAAGGATCCCTGAATGGCCAACGATATTTAAATTTCCTTGCTGCCGAAATAGAACAGTTGTTAGAAGATGTGAAAGTCAGGCATTATTTAAATTTAATTTGGCATCAAGATGGCACATCTGCACATAATGTCCAACCGGTTATAGACTTTGGATAGGTAGGCAAGGAACTATCAAATGGCCTGCCAACAACCCCGACCTGAATCCTTGTGACATTTTTTGTGGGGATACTTAAAAAATAAATTTTAGTATAATAGGCCTGAAAGTTTACAAGTGACAGGAAAAAGACAACATCGTTTTACAAGATCTAAACAGACAAAACCCTGATTTTATCATCTCGTGTATTAATAGGAAATTGAAAGGAAATATTGTCAAATGTATAGAAAATAAGGAAGGTTATGTGGAATATGTTTAACATTAATTATTGATATTTTTATTGCTTGAATAATATAATGTTATTATTTGGCGTTTTTCTTCCTCAGTATAACCCATTTGAAATATCTTAAGTTATTTAACTTACGTTGCATATTTTTAGTTTTGATTGGTTGCTATCAAGGTAGACTTGATCATTTTTAGACAATATGGCTATTGTCCAGATATCGAATGATAATTATTATTAAACTGAAATATCTCAAAAACGGCCAAATGAAATGTCAATAAACCACATGTTTTTGAAATCAGGAAAACAAGATCTACGATTTAAGCTAATCATGTATAGGACATTCCATTTTGCGATCGGGGTTTGTTTTTTCTGACATTTATATAAGATAATAGAGCAAAAATCTTCGAACTTCTGTATTTACACTTTTTTTTACTACCTTCCAAAATTAAACCAAAACTAACCAAGATTCACCCTGCAGGTAGGTGTCAAAATACAATGAATAACCAGGTACAGCTATGTAATAAACGCATTATTAATATTATTAAAAACTAAACTGTTAAGTTCATATTTTATAGAATACTTGATATTAATTAAACTATAGGCTTCAACAGTATCCGGTTTAACCAGATGTCTGCAATTACTCTCTCACTTTTATATACTTATATCTAGTAACACTCATTTTATTTCAAACACTGCATGCATTGTAAAATTTTCTAACCGCTATGTAATAAATGTATTTACTATTATTAAAAATAGGCTAAAAGTTCTAAATTCTTTGGTAAAGAAATAAATTGTTAAGTTCTATTGGTCCAAGTTATATATTTTTTGTTATAGAATACTTTGAATCAATTAAACTCTAGGTTTTAACTATCTCCGATTTAACTATGAGACTACCGCCAAAATTTCCCGGCCTGACATAGATGCAGCTCCAGTATCACGATAAAATTTTGTCTTCTTTTAAATATATATCTTAGTAGTCTGCGAAAAAAAATTGAAGTCTTGCGTCAGATAGTTTTTTATTGATAGCATTTTAAACAAGACGTGTTCGAAAAAATGTCGCAAATAACGCAAATTGAGTATAGAATAGTCATAAAGTTCTTGACAAAAGTAGGGTTAGCATCTAAAATTATTAAAGAAAGTCTGGATGATGTGTACGGCCAATGTTCTCCTTCGTATTCTGTAGTGAAAAAATGGGCAAAACGTTTTCGAATTTTTCGAAAATCTCAGAAATTACTAAGCTTTCTGATACAAGTGTTCGTCGAATCCTGCATGATCATTTAGGTATGCATAAGGTTAGTGCAAGATGGGTTCCTACAAACCTTTCGGCTATTCAAAAACAACTCTGTGCGTCGGAACCAAAGCCTGTGATAGAAATTAGTCTGACGGGAGATCAAACTATGGTTCTCTATTATGACCCTCTATCCAAAAAAGAATCAATGGAGTGGCGTCGTAAGGGTGAAACACCTCCAAGAAAATTCAGAGTCTGCCAGTCAACAAAAAAGGTGATGGCCACGATCTTTTGGGATTGTGAAGGAATTCTTTTAATAGATTTTAAAGAAACTAATACCGCTATCAATGGTAAATATTACGCAACATTATTACATAAATTGCGACACTGCATACGTGTAAAACATCGTAGAAACCTGACCAGAGGTGTGCGTCTTTTGCACGATAATGCACCTGTCCATACTGCTGGTGTTGCACAAGCTGCCATTTTAGAGTGTGGGTTCCAACAGATAGATCATCCTCCCTATGGTCCAGATATGGCCCCCAGCGACTATTATTTGTTTGGATATTTGAAAGACGATTTACGTGGACGGCGGTTTAACGACGAAGTTGAGTTAAAAGAAGCTGTTTTAGCTCATTTTGCAGACAAACCAAAAGAATATATATATATATATATATATATATATATATATATATATATATATATATATATATATATATATATATATATATATATATATATATATATATATATATATATATATATATATATATATATATATATATATATATATATATATATATATATATATATATATATATATATATATATATATATATATATATATATATATATATATATATATATATATATATATATATATATATATATATATATATATATATATATATATATATATATATATATATATATATATATATATATACATATATTTAAGGGATTGAGTTGTTAATAAAGAGATTTAATAAGTGTATCGAAGTTAAGGGGGATTATATTGAAAAATAATAAAAAAATGTTACTCTACTTTGTTTCTTTAATATTCAGGCCGGGAACTTTTGGCGCTGCCCTCGTATATGTCTGCAACTTCTCTCCCTCCTCCCTTCTCTCACCCTCTCCCTCCCATGCTTGCTCCATCACTCGTTTCCATCTAAACAAACACTCACCACTTGGCAAATGCTCTTCCTCATCTTGATTATCCATTTTCGCCGCAGTATGTTGGACGACACGTTACTACACCCCAGTACGTGGCAGTGATTTTGCCTGGGACCCGGAGCGACTAGTGAATTCCTCTTCAATGATTTATTGGTGTACGAAGGGGTATTGGATTTCCTGTCCACATGGCGGTAGCAAGCGTCGCAAAGACAAGAGTCCCTGGTCAAATGTTTCTCGGCTGAAAACGTAATGAACATTGACCACCCTGTTCCCCAATATCCCGAAAATTATCGTACTGGCCAGTATCTTGTTCTGTCGTTCGACGCTTTTCATCTGGGCGATGTGACATGGCGTGTCGAACAGGCCGAATTTCCCGAAACAATAAGAGCACTCGTCCTTACACAAGCGACCCGGGTGTATGCTGAACGAACTGGCTTTTTCAGGTATCACCAACGCTTTTGCCGGAGCACCGTTTTTGTCCAGGGGTCCGGTAGATTCTCCGTCGGACGTGTGCTCGCTGCTAGCTTCTGAAAAGTTTTCATGGTAAAGCACGTGAAAGCGGCCATTTAAAGTTAACCTTGCTGCGGTTTTATTCGAAAAAGATTAGAAATGTTAGCCGATAGATTCTATAGAAAACGTAGCCCGGTGCGGTGAGAGCGGTGATTAAAAAGGGAAGGTGCAGTAAAAGTACGGAACCCGATTGAATTCTTCGCAGCTTTAGGTAATGGATGTAAGTTCACTTTGTCTACGAAGCACTTTACGATTTCGGGTAATCTTAAAAAGGTTCTTGAAAACCTTCTGCCCTTGGGGTTTTATAATTTATTCTTAAAACTCTTATAATACTTAAAGCACCTAATAATTTTTCCATAGCCATCATGAAAAGTGGATTCCATGCGCTTCGAACAACAGTCAAACACGATAACATTTTCCCAACTTCATTCAGTTGCAGAATTCTAAAAGCTATGTTTAGTTTCATTCACCACTTTATCGAGATATTTATAAAAAAGTTATAACACTTCTTTGAAGAAATAAACAATTGAAAAGTGAGGTTATGATAGCATAAGAAATTATGAGATGCCCAAATTTTATCTGTGGCCCCTAAATGGCAGCCGCGCAGCGTTGCCAAACTGCCATATTCAATCGATTTTAATCGATTTATTTCGACCTTTGTTTCACTTTTAAACTAAACGCATGATCCGAACCTAGTGGGTCAAAAATTAAATCACAATAAATAAAACAATACCACAAAAAACATCTAAAAACCTAACCACAACTAAAACCCTCTCTGTTTCTTCTATCCCAGTAGATTTTTGCTAGCGTAAACATATATATCTGACAATTTCAATTTGTTTTTGGCGCATCATGTTCGATTTACGTGTTCAAAAGTGAAATAGAAAATTTATTAATGCATTTTTTGAAATCCGAAAGTTTTTAGATCAAATCTGATAAATATAGCTGTTTGGCAACACTGCATGACGTTTAGCGACCAAAGTTAAAATTTCTCTCCATAGAATTTTTTTTATGACGGCCATTATTATGTTTTTCCGAATTGACATATATTTTTTCATAAAAAAGGAAGCAATTTAAGCAACATTCCTGAAACTTGGAGACATAATTCTAAAACAATATACAATTTAAAAATGTTACGCATCGTAAATGTACTAGAAAAATGAAATTATTAGTGGACCAATGTCAAATGTTAATATACAACATAACCTCTTTTTTCAGTGTTGCCTGCTGTTTTGGTCCTTAAATAAGACCCTTTCATAATTGGCAATCGTTGTTCCCAACTGCATCGGTGGTAGTTATATCAGAGGTTATTTTCCAATATAACACTGTCCTTATGAAATTTCCCGTTCGACAAAATATTCTAAGTATTCCAAAATCACTTTAGGTTTTATTACAAGAGCATTATTGATATAAGATACTTGAGTAAGTATTATAAAAGTTTTCAAACGAATTTAGTGACCATGAAGTATTTTTGGCATAAATACTTTCTTTAAAAAAAGAAGCATTTTAAGCAGTCTTCGTGAAACTGCAAAACATAATTCCTCAAAAATATCCAATTAAAAAATGTTCGGCATTTTAATTCCAAAAGAAATTGAAAATTTCAAAACTATTACTGTGCCAATGTCAAATATTTAATCATAACCTCATTTTTCAGTGCAGTTTTCACCACTTAAAAGAGTGAATAACGCAAGTGCCACATTCTGATGTTTATTTTATTGCGAGTTTCTAATAGTGATCTAGGGCCTTTTGGAAAGTTGTTTTTAGAATTAGATTGTCTAAAATCGGCAACTAACATTTTTTCTTTCTTAATTGACAATCACTGTTCCCAACTTTATTGGTGCTAGTTTTATCAAAAGTTGTTAGCCATTATAATATTGTCCTAATGAAAGTGCAATGTTTGTTCTATGATGCATATGTTGAAATCACCTCGAAGGTATTTTAGCCAAATCAGATAACTATAACAGCATTATATCATTATAGATATTGCAAAATCACCTTATGCTAGAAGATACCTGAAGAAGTATTATAAACGTTTCCAAGCAAATTTGATGATCATGGTGTTTTTTTGCCCGTATTGTTGTTTTTGGAATTGGTATAAATACTTTTATAAAAAAGAAGGAATTTTATTCAAAAATATATGTTCCGCATCTTAAATCCAAAAGAAAAATGAAAATTTGAAAACTATTAGTGCACCAAAGTCAATTAGTCAATCATAACCCCACTTTTAGCTAAAAGAGTTAAAAATCCAAGGGTCACATTCTGATATTTGTGTTTTACTGGGAGTTGTCAATCGTGTTCTAAGGCACTTTGAAATGAGGCACTTAAGATGGTGGAAAATTTCGCAATATTACGACGGGTTCCGAAAGAGTTTCCATAGATTTAATTTTTTGCCAATATTTTTCAGCTTGTTTGTTGTTGGTTGTTTTGAAAAACCTAAACGTTTTGATAGCAATAAACCTCAAGCTGCGAAAAATGTCATCTCAAGATAAATGCGCTACTAACGTGCTCTACAGTGGAAGAAATCGAAATAATCAAACCCAAAACCATATAATTAATTACCCATGTTAGATCTGTTAGAATAATGTGATTTTCGGTGCGCACCGGCTGAATCCGAGGACTCTTTTCCTTGCTTGCCCGATCCGGCCGCTCCCTGAAAAACGAATTTTAACTCAAGAAAAAACAACAACTAACTAATCGACACCAACCTCTTTCATAATTTTGTACCCTTCGTCCGTTTGGCTTTGTTCCCCGTTGTCGCTCTTACTTTTGCTCTTTTGCAGCGTCATCTTGAACGAACTCCTCCCTTTCTTCTTATCCCGATTGATCTTTATCACAGTCTTCAAAGTTCCAGTGTAACTTTCGTTTTTCTCGATCCGCTTCGAAGCGGACCTGCCCCTTTGCTGCTTCGCCTGCTCCGCAGCGCGCAGGCTCTGCAGACCTAGTGCCTAGGGAAACAACGGAGCTATAGCAAAACGTCCCACGTAGGCTCATTGCGCGTTTTAATATGTGTATCAAACCATACAGATAATTCAGAAAAAGTGAGGTATATTTTAGTAAAAAACATGAGAAAACTAAATGCACCGAATTATTCTTTATCAGTTGGTTGCCTTTGATGTCCCGGAAAACAAGTAAAAAAGTTGTCAAATAAAGTGTGTATAATGGATATTATATAATGGTGCTTCAGTATTTTATCTGCTTCCAATCAGTCTGAGGATGGCAAAACCCACCCGTTTATTACAGTAGTTTCCACTACAAAACAGGGTCGTCTTGAATTATTATGGATAATGAAGATATATCATTCTAGACTAGAAAGTATACAGAATCAAGCCTCATAGATTACACGATGTTGTAGATGAATAAAGCTCTTGAAGGAATAAAATAGAAAAGATCAAAATGCAAATTAAAGATCCCAAATCACTATGGTGGATCGCAAAATTTGTCTATCAAGATCGTGTCATCTCAGCGAGACCAATAGAAAATAAAAACTAAAAAAAAAGATGTTAGTTCGGAGAGCTTCTCATTTGGTTTTACGCCCTTGCATGCCAAAATTCGTACCTTCGAATGTCTACTTAAAATTTACTAGTCAGAGATTCGAAAGAAAAACAAAGCATAGCTGAGCAAAACTTCTGCTTCCGTAGTAGGTGTGCATGAAACCCTTCGTAATTTTGTTGCAAGCACTTTCCTTTGGTGCACAGAAAGAAATTAAAGAGTTATCATGAGACTTTTATTCGCAAATATTCCCGAAAGGCCACTACGGAGACCTAATCCGTTCAGCTATTTTTTCATTGGATCCCGTAACCAACAGAAACTATCGAAAAAAAAAACTATTCTAAATCTTCCAAAAGTTTGTTACCAGAGGCTATTTGCCTTTACAAGTTCGCACGGTATCAATACCCGCTGCAGAATCTTCTCAAGAGGCTAGCATAGCATACAGAGATTTATCTAGCTTTCCTAGACCTGGAGAAAGATGTTGACAAACTTTCAAGATATGCGATGAACGAGAGTTTGATAGAGCTTGGTGTGGAAGGAAGACTAATTTCAGCCATAACGTTCATGTATAAGAGCAGCAAAAACAAGAGCTTTAGACAGGGAAGCGTTTTGAGTCCACTATTATTAAATTAGGGGAGATTTAACAAAAAAAAAAAACAGACCAGTACATCTGGCTTCTTACTAGGGTATAAAGATCTGTAACTCGTTACGCGCGTGTGCGTTTGCAGATGATGCGGTTGTATTTGCAAAAAATGAAAGGAAACTTAAGAGGAACCTGGTAACCTTACACCTTAGGGTGGATAGGTTAAAGATTATATACGGCTAAATGGCACTAGAAAAGAACAGTGGAAATATTTGTATACGAGTTGTAAATGAGTTCTAAAACCTTAGGTAGATAGGTTTAGGATTATATACGGTTAAATGGCACTTGATAAGAAAAGAGAGGATATTTGTATACGAGTTGGTAATGAGTTGCAAAACCCTAGAGAGAGAGAGAGAGAGAGAGAGAGAATATTTGTATACGAGTTGTAAACATCATTCAACCTTACACCTTAGGTTGGATAGGTTTAGGATTATATACGGCACTTTAGGGTAAATCGGTTTAGGATTATATACCGCTAAAAGGCACTAGATAAGAAGAGATATTTGTATACGAGGTAGGATTATATACTATTAAATGGGCATTATGTAAGGCAACAATAGGACTAGATAAGAAGAGAGAGGATATTTGTATACGAGTTGTAAAAACTTACACTATAAAGTTTAGAATTATATAATTCAAAATGGGCATTATATACGGCTACAATGGCACCAGATAAGAGGAGTGAGGATATTTGTATAAGAGTTTTAAGAGTTCTAAAACCTTACACCTTAGGGTAGATATGTTTAGGATTATATACGGCTAAATGGCACTAGATAAGAAGAGAGAGGATATTTGTATACGAGTTGTTAAAGAGTTGTAAAACCTTACACCTTAGGGTAGGTATGTTTAGGATTATATACGACTAAATGGCACTAAATAAGAAGAGACGAGGATATTTGTATACTAGTTGTAAATGAGTTGTAAAAACTTACACCTTAGGGTAGATAGGTTTAGGATTATATAATTCTAAATGGGCATTATATAGGGCCACTAGGGGCACTAGATAAGAAAAGAGAGGATATTTGCATAATAGTTTTAAGAGTTGTAAAACGTTACACCTTAGGGTAGATATGTTTAGGATTATATACGGGTGAATGGCACTAAATAAGAAGAGACGAGGATATTTGTATACGAGTTGCAAACATCGTTCAACCTTACACCTTAGGTTTATGATTATATATGACAAAATAGTACTAGACAAGAAGAGAGGGGATATTTATAGACGAGTTGTAAATACTATTCAACGTGATACCTTATGCTATATAGGTAAGGCATTCGTGATACTACAGGTGCTGAAATAATGCTTGCTGATTTTTTTCACCCACCTTCAATATACTCTCCTTCTTGGCCAACTGCTCGGGCGATTCCTCTTCCTCTTCTTCTTTCGCCGCTTCTTCGACGGCCTCGATTGGAATATCACATACTTTTTCAGTCGCTTCCTCTCCTAGTTCCTCGATACAAGGCGGAGCGTCAGCTGCGGCGTCGGCCGTTGCTTTCGAAGGCGGCTCGACACTGCACTCCAACTGGGGCGGCTCCAGGTCCTCGTTCCGAGGGATGAAATCCACCGCCTCCGCCATGTTTTCGATCACCGGCACCGAGTCATCGAGCGAAACGTCCCGGGGTATTTCTCCGATGCTCTCTATGCACTCCTGGACCATGTTCTCGAAGGAGCGCTGCTCTTCCGCTTCCTTGTCTTCGGAGGCGAAATCTCCCTCAGGAGTGGTCCCTTTTTCCTTCGGGCTGAGGCAATTCTCCCCCGTCGCAGCTTCGTCTTGCTTCACTCTCCCGTAAAACTTCGACACCTCGCACTTTTGGAGAGAAGTCTGAGTGTCGTTAAAGGTTTGCTTCATGATGTCCAATATCAGCCCTTTATCGGGAACTTTGGAGCTAGGACTGACGACCATGGCTACGGGGGGATCGACCTGGGTGGTCAAACCGCCGCACAAATTCGAATTGGTGTCGGTCACAGTCATCACAGCTAACGGAGTTTTGGGTTTTTGTTCGGCGATTGAGTATTCGTCCAGTAAATTATCCAATTCTTTGTTGTTTGAGGGTTCGCTGCCGTGCAAGGAAGCCATATCCGAGAAACTGCTATCCGAGTCGTACTCGGAAAGCTTCGAGCTGCTGAGGTCGGAACACAACCGTCTCCTCCTCTTCACCTCGTCCAGCCCATCCAAGAGGATCGCGTCCTTCAACTTCCTGTGTTTCCCGTTTCTGAGTATCCTGACCGGCGAATCGGACCTTGTATAAGGGCTGTTCCTTTTGAAAACGATCCCGTCCAAGCTCTGGTGGCGAATTTTCAGCGGCTTTTTAGAGGTCTTCGGACTGATGCACCTGGGAAGTTGATTGAAGATCGACAGCTGGGCCACCGGCTCAGATTCCACGCAGTTCAATGGGAACTTTTCTATGCTATGGCGGCGTTTGGTCGCTGGAACGTCGCGCCTGATCTTGCTGACGTTCAGGTCCAGCATGTCGATGATTTTCTTCTCGTCGGCGTCCAGTTTGCTCAGCGTGTTTTCGATGTTCTCCTTCTTGATCTCCTTTTTCAGCAGGTCGATCCGCTGGCGTTTCGTCAACTTCCTCGTAGGCTTCAGGGAGTCGCTCCGGCTGGACTCGGACATCGAGTCCGGTTCCTTTTTGATGTCCTCGCCTTTGATTAGAAATGTCAAGTCATTCATCACTTCCTCGATGGTGGCAGAATCTGTTTTCGATTTCTTCGGCTTGGCGGGTCTCCGCACGGGCTTCGAATCGAGCTCGGCGGAAGAAGAACCGTCTATGATATAGGGGAAAGACGGATAAGTTGACGAATCGCACTTGTTATACTTAGACCAGAAATATAGTGCTTTTGCAACCGACCCCTTACTGTTTATTACTCCAAAACACCCTCTCGAGCAGACCCCTTAAAGAACCCTAATGGAAATTTGTACTAACAACCTTTTTCGCCGAGCAATTCTTGAAATATGCACATAAAAAAATTATGCAAAATAACAATTCATTACGTTCTATTTCGTTACACCTAAAACATCAGACACAAATGTAGATATTCTTAATGGAGAAACACAGTTGGCGGCAGAACATGCCAATGTGGCAAAATGTGTTTTTAGTTCACTCAGATAATCATAAATACCCCACTTCCCCCTCAAATTTGCTTTGAACTAGGAAGTTTAAATAAACTAAAAGCATGAAAAATTCTCTTGACCTAAATGTATATAACTTAATTACAAATCAAATCACAAACTTGCTATTTAAAAATGTTAAAACCAAAATAAAATCTTTTTTTTTTTTTTGGAGCATTGTTTCTACTTCGTAGAGGAATACAAACAGAAGATAAAAGATATTACGTGATTACCTGATTCTTGATAGTGGCCACTGTTTGGTTGTGTTCGATATCTTCCTTTTCTTTTCTTTTTTTTCAGTTTTATTCATGTTTGTTTTTATGTGTTATGTATTACGTTGTTATACCTATTACTACTGTAGACTTTATCTAATCGTATGTGTATATGTATGTATGCGTGTGTATACATATTATATAATTGTATATTTTTTTCTCTTTTGTACTTAGACGTGCTGTAACATACTATTTATTGTAATTCTTTATCTATCTAATAATAATAATGTATCAGTCCTCCGCCACTAATCGTTCTCGATAAATGTTTTCTTTTTTTATTATTCGTGTTTCACAGTTAGACCAGCTTTGTATTCATATTTTAGCTAAAGTCTGTTCATAGATATAAGAAAGTGACTAATTGATACGAATTAAGGAAAGAGCCGGGCAAGCTGTAAGAATGAAATATGGCCGAACAGGTCTGTACTTTGCTTAGAATTTAATTATTTGGGATTTTGTTAGGAAAGATACTAAATAATATTTATTTATTTATGTATGTATTTATGTTTAAAATGTAAAATAAAATTACAAATGATTTTTATTACCTACTTAAATTACTTAAAATTATTCATATAATATATCAGTATCAGTATCGCTATCATCGCCTGTTCTAATTATTATTTGTTCTATATTATTTGCAATATGGATATAAGATTCTTCTGCTATTTTTATATGTTTAACAGAACTTGCTCAACTTTGTGGAGGGATGTTAAAAGCTTCGGTTTCTATAAGTTTGAGGACATTGGAGTTAACACGGGGAAAAACATTGTTAAGATGAATGACAGATTTCAGTTGGTGCCAAACATGTCCAATGGGATTAAGTATACAGTGGTAAGGTGGAAGCCTTAAAATTGTATTTTTTGCATAATTATCCTTTTGTAGGTTCAAGTCTACAAAGCTTTGTAGAACCTCGAATAATTGTTTTTTGGTGTAATCTTCGAGAAAATAAATGTAGTTAATATACATGCAGTTTTGGATTGTTGCATTTGTGTCACATGAGGAAGGCGTTTTAGTCAACTGTCTACTGTGATAACTTGCATTGTTCATTACAATGACGCTATTAGGAGGAATGTTTGGAACTAGTTTGTTTTTAGACCAACTTTCAAATAAATCACCGATTATCATGGTAATCCAGAGAAGAATCTTTAATATTTTTCGCAGACAGAGAAAGTCCACTTGGAATCCAAACATCTTTAGAGCCAGCATGCAAAATATTTATTCTTTTACCTACTTTTGATGAAGCGTTTGTTTTACACTTATCAGTTGAGCCAACCCAACCCTTTTCCGGGGTATCATAACCAGGTTTCATCTAAGTAAATAATTGGCCTTTGTTGTTCTCTGCAAATCCAAATTTTTTCTAGATATTCCAGTCGCCATTTCCGAATTCTAAAAGATTCCATTAAAACTTGCCTTTTGTCAATTTTTTAAAATCTAAAACCCATGTGTTGAATACACTTCCATAAGTTAGTTCTGCCACATTTAACACCGGTTCCATCTTTTTCAAGCCTCCTAATTAAGATATCTAATGTAGGCACGCTTTGTTCATCGTATAACTGGTAAATTTTAAGCCGTATTATATCTTGATCACTCTCATCTACACTCGAGAAAATGTTAGCATCGCTTCTTTTTTTCCTCGCTGAAATGGGATTATTCACAATTTTCCATACAGTTGATGTTGAAATTTTCGTCAATGTGGCCGTTTCTTCTAAAGTGGCTTGCTTGCTGGCACCACGTTCAACGAAAGTCAAATAAATATTGTTCATAACTACCTTAGTCTCAATAGAATAGTGTTTTTTACATTTGGGCGGGAGCATCTCCTGAGATACACTAGACTCGCACATATTTTGCATAATTCGCACACGATTCAACACACGCTGTATTACACACGAAATAAGAATAACTACTAATAAACTTAATCTATGTAGTATACCAAACCAAAGAATATTAAACACAGGTAGTTATAAAATTATTTTCTATTACGGACCACAATTTTACCTGAATTTAAATTCCGACACCTTAGGTAATAATCTTGTTGCATTGTATGTTAATGGCCACCCTTGGATAATTCCATTCAAAAGCAATTGGTCACTTTCTTATATCTATGAACAGACCAATGTCGACTACATTGAAGAAGAATTCATTTTTATGCACAATGCTAGGCCGCACAGCGCAAGGATCGTGCAAGATTACATTAAAGCAGCCGGTTTTTGAGTTATGGAGTGGCCAGCATGCAGTCCCGACCTCGATCCGATAGAACATTTATGGGATGAGCTAAAACGGAGAATTAGAGCTAAACTTCGTACCCCAACATCTATCCCAGAGCTTATTGTTGCAGTACAAGAAGAGTAGTTCAACATTCCACAAGAAACAATAGCGAACTTGACTAGATCTATGCCTAATCGAGTAAGAGATGTTATTAGGGCCAGAGGGGGTCATACCCATTATTAAAAAATAAGTGTTGAGTCGCTAATTGTCAATAACCCTATTAATAAAGCATATTAAATTTTTGTTTCGAACAGCATATTTTTTTTATCTGATCAGTAGTTATTAAAAGTAAATGAAGTCAGAGTTTTATTGGAGAGGGTCGGTCGAAAGCCAACGCGACGAAGATCGAGACGCGCCATAGCGCGAAACGGCAAACATCACTGAAAGAGAAAAACACCTGTCCAACTCACCCGACTTGCCCCTATCGCCGGGCGATTCCCCGTGGTCGACCAGTTCTTCCGTTTTCAGCAGCAGCAATTCGCTTTTGATCTTCTTCACGTCTATGAGCTTGGGCAGCGGTTTCTTCGCGATCCTCTTGCGCGTTTTCTTCGACTCCAAGTGCTCCTCCGGCGGAAAGATCGGCTCCAGGGCGTTCGCCGTTTTGCCGCCCCTGAGTCCGTTCTTCAGCAGCCGTTTCTTCGTCTCCAGCCCCTTTCCGTTTTGCTGTAGCGCTTTAGCCAGGCGGTTCATCTTGATCTTCAGCGGTTTCTTCGTTTTCGCTTTCATCTTGATGGCGCCGCCCGCCGTTTTCTTGATGATCTTTTTCGGCGGCATCCTTTTCGCGAGCCGTTTCGCGATACCCGCGACATTTTGCTTCGCGCTCCTGGGGGCGGGGCAGGGTTCGCTCGCTGTCTGGTCGCTTTTGGACGGGCCCGACTGTGGCGAGGCTATCTCCCTCGAATTTGCCGTTTGCTTTTTAATTCTGGCGGCCATTTCATTGGGCGAGGGATACGCGAGGACGCCCTGAAACAAAGAAGTACCGGTAAAAATATGGCGGGGAAAGATAGTAACACATGTTTCATGAAATGTTTGGTAATAATAATAATAATAATAATAATAAAGGCCTTTATTCAAAAAAGGAGGGCAAGATTCAGTACAACCAAGTTAAATAAATAACTGGAAGTGTGTTTTTACACCTAACCCAATCAAGAAGTACTGTAAAGGCCCGGCCTATACCGATGATACGCAGATTTATTTTCACTTTAATCACTCTGATTACGAAAATGCATCCAGGTTAATAAATGAGGACCTGAATATATTAAAACTACTTTCCTCAGAACATAACCTTAAACTCAATCCTCTTAAATCTAATTTAATGCTTCTCGGTCCAAAAATTAATAAGCAGTTTCTAAATGATAACGTGGATATTCGTCTCGATGGTATCAGGCTTTCAATGGTCAGTTCTGCGAAAAATTTGGGTATTATATTGGATACGGAGTTGCCCTTTAGAGAATATATTAAAATTCTAATTCAAAAATCATATCTTCCATTAAAAATCATATACAACAGCAGACAGACAGTAGAGGTTAGCGCCAAAATTTCCCGGAATAACATAGATGCAGCTCCAGTATCACGATAAAACTTTGTCTTCTTTTAAATATATATCTTAGTAGGCTGCGAAAAAAATTCAAGTCTTGCTTCAAATAGTTTTTTATTGACAGCATTTCAAACAAGATCTGTCCGAAAAAATGTCGCAAATAACGCAAATTGAGTGTAGAGAAGTCATAAAGTTCTTGACAAAAGAACGGTTAGCACCTAAAATTATTAAAGAAAGGCTGGATGGTGTGTACGGCCAAAGTTCTCCTTTGTATTCTGTAGTGAAAGAATGGGCAAAACGTTTTCGAATGGGGCAGGAGTCCCTTGAAGATGATTCATGATTCAAGGTCGACCACTGGAGGTCACAGCGGAAGATATTGTTGCGAATGTGGAACAGGTGGTATTGAGTGATCGACGTTTAAAGGTCAAGGAAATCTCAGAAGGTTAGTGCAAGATGGGTTCCTAAAATCTTTTCGGCTATTCAAAAACAACGCCGCGTCGAGTATGCGCGGTCTTTTTGGAACTCTATGCGTCGTCATCGAAGCCTGTGATAGAAACTATTGTGACGGGAGATGAAACTATGGTTCTCTATTATTACCCTCTATCGAAAAAAGAATCAATGGAGTGGCGTCGTAAGGGTGAAGAACATCCAGGAAAATTCAGAGCCTGACAGTCAACAAAAAAGGTGATGGCCACGATCTTTTGGGTTTGTGAAGGATTTCTTTTGATAGATTTTAAAGAGACTAATATCACTGTCAATGGCAAATATTACGCAATATTACTGCATAAATTGCGAGACTGCATAAGTGTAAAGCGTCGAGGAAAACTGACCAGAGGCGTGCGTCTTTTGCACGATAATGCACCGGTCCATACTGCTGGTGTTGCACAAGCTGCCATTTTAGAGTGTGGGTTCCATCAGATAGATCATCCTCCCTATAGTCCAGATATGGCCCCCAGCGACTATTATTTGTTTGGATAGTTGAAAAACGACTTACGTGGACGGCGATTTAACGACGAAGTTGAGTTAAAAGAGGCTGTTTTAGCTCATTTTCCAGACAAACCAAAATAAATTTTTTAAAGGGATTGAGTTGTTAATAAACAGATGTAATAAGTGTATTAAAGTTAAGGGGGATTATATTGAAAAATAATAAAAAATTGTTACTCTACTTTGTTTTTTTCATATTCAGGCCAGGAAATTTTGGTGCTGCCTTCGTAGTTCTCCTTTACATAGAATGCTCTGTGAATCTCTTGTGCTTTTTAGATTCAACTTTTGTGATGTTATTTATGGCCCTTGTCTTGATGTCGCAGACAAAAATAGATTTCCAAAAGTGCAAAATACATGTTCACGCCTTATTTTAGGACTAACAAAATATGACCATATCTCGCACACATTTAAAGAGCTTAATTGGTTGAAAATGGAGAGTCGCAGAGCGCTTCATTTGGGTAATTTTGCGATGAAAGTCCTGACGAACCCTGTGCTGCCTTTATCTTTTAAGTAATAGCTTTGTTTTTCGGAAGACGGCACACGCACGGAATGTCAGATTTATTAATAAAATCACTGTGCCACGTTACCAGACTGACATCATCCAGAGATCGTTTACTTATAACGGTATTAAATTTTATAAAAAACGACATAAAAGTTATCTGTTTAGTGTGCAATGCCAATGTCCATAAATATGCTTTTTTTTGTTTTACGTGTAACTTTCTTTTTCTCCTATACAGATTCTCTTGAAAGAATAGTATTGTAGCTCCCAGTTTTTGTGAGTGTATATTGTTTTTTTTTTGTTTATTAATCTTAAGTTACGTTATACCTCTATCTTACAACATTATATTTTATATTTTCTCATATAATTAAAAAAAACATTGTGCAATAATCCGACGATTTAGGGTTCAGTAGAGTAGCCCGTTCGGCTAGACTGCGTCCCGGATTGTATTATATTGTGAGTATGTATATATATTTTTTTATTTGACTAATAAAAAAAGCCGTTCATTATTATTATTATTATTATTATTATTATTATTAACGCAACCGGAAAATTACCATATAAGTTTTAACAAATTCAAAAAAGAAATTATAACACGAAAGACAAAACATAATAGCTAAACTAATAATGAAGTAATAATAAAGTGACACATACGAACAACAAAGTTTATGGTTACGTAATCTGGCGGCAGTAGAGAATCATTCAATAATTATATAAACATAAGGAAAATAAGAAAAAATCACACGAGTTAACATTGTTATTAAACAGCCCCATTTTCATTCTTCTGAATATAGTTTCTGGGACACTTTTTTCTAAAATGTTTTTTTTGAAACTGATTCTTTAACATCAAGATGCAATTTGTGAAGTGCTTTTGAAATCTGGTAGGAGAAAGACCGTTTATATAATTCTGTTTTGTGGAGAACGTGTGTTTGTGTTCCCTTAAATCGAATATTTAAGTTGTGAACATCAGTTATGAAGCGAAAATGCAAAGGTAGAAAGTTGCTCTATGTAGGTAAAGTCAAAGAAATAAAAAAGTGACTAACTCATACGAATTAAGCAAGCTGTAAGAATGAAATATGGCCGAACAGGTCCGTACTTTGGTTAGAATTTAATTATTTGGGGTTTTGTTAGGAAAGATACTAAACAATATTTATTTATTTATGTATGTATATATGTTTCATTCTAAAATGAAATTACAAATTATTTTTATTACCTACTTAAATTACTTAAAATTATTCACATAATATATCAGTATCACTATAGCTATGATCGCCTGTTCTAATTATTATTTGTTCTATATTATTAGCAACATGAATATACGATTGTTCTGCTTTTTCTATATGTTTAACAGAATTTGCCCAACTTTGTGGAGGGATGTTAAAAACTTCGATTTCTATAAGTTTGAGGACATTGGAGTTAACACGGGAAAAACATTGTTACGACGAATGGCAGATTTCAGTTGGTGCCAAACATGTTCAATGAGATTAAATATACAGTGGTAAGGTGGAAGCCTTAAAACTGTATGCCCTAGATTTTTTACATAATTATCACAGAATCCAACCATCTTTAGAGCCAGCATGCAAAATAGTTATTCGTTTACCTTTTTTTGATGGCGCGTTTGTTTTACACTTATCAGTTGAGTTAACCCAACCCTTTTCCGGAGTATCATAAGTGTCGAACCAGGTTTCATCCAAGTAAATAATTGGCCTTTGTTGTTCTCTGTAAATCCCAATTTTTTCTAAATATTCCAGTCGCTATTTGCGAACTCTAAAAGATTCCATTAAAACTTGCCATAAGGTAGTTCTGCCACATTTAACACCGGTTTCATCTTTTTGTAGGCACGCTTTGTTCCTCATATAACTGGTAAATTTTACGCCGTATTATATCTTGATCACATTTTTCCATACAGTTGATGTTGGAATTTTCGTTAATGTGGCCGTTTCTTCTAAAGATGCTTGCTTGCTGGCACCACGTTCAAAACATTGTTTATAACTTCCTTAGTCTCAATAGAATAGTGTTTTCTACATTTGGGCGGGAGCATCTGTTGAGATACACTAGACTCGCACATATTTTGCATAATTCGCACACGACGCTGTATTACACACGAAATAAGAATGATTAACTTAAACTAAGTAGTATACCAAACCAAAGAATATTAAACACAGTTTAAATTCCGAAACTATAGGTAAAAATCTTATTGCATTGTATGTTAATGACCACCCTTGGACCATCCCATTCAAAAGCAATTGGTCATTTTCTTATATCTATGAACAGACCAGATCTTAAATTTTAACGTATGACTGACCGGATGGCGCTTTTTTATTCCATAAATAAGCGCAAAGCACGAATTTTGAAGTTTCTGTATTCGTCTTATATCTGTGCTTTTTAGACAAGGAGCATAAACAATATCATAATATTTAACCTGTGAAAGGACCAGCGAGTCACACAGCACTGACTTTACGTCTCTGGTTAGGACATTTCTGTGTTGATATATCCGTTTTAAGTTCATATAACCTTTCTGGAGGCAACAACTTACATGCTTTGTGAATCGCATATCCTGGTCGAGGGTCAGTCCTAGATTTATAAAAGTTTCATAGAATTGGGCTCACCCTATATTAAAATATCGAGTTTGTGTATTTTCAAAATCTTTTATCTCAATCTTCCTGTGAAATATCATAACAGCCGATTTATTTGGATTGAGTTGCAAGCAGCGTTTTTTGGAGAATTCCTTGAAATTTTCAAGACTATAATTAGGGGCAACGAGAGCTTGAACGCTTTCATCGGGATTAAACGACAGGTAAAGCTGCATAACAATGTTGGGTGCATGACTGAAAAATAGAAGGGAAGTCCGACACATAGACTGAAAAAAAGAGGGGCCTAGAATTTAACCTTGAGGTACTCCGGTTGTAATATTTAATGAAAGAGAAGTTTTTCCTGCAAAGT